CAGTACCAGAGTCCCCATTCTGTGGAAGCACCGCTGCTCCTTGTGCCAATCTGCCGGGGTCCTGGTGGTGATGGGCGGCCGCTGTGTTGGCACACACCCAATCTATCTGGAATAAGCCGGACTCAACCACGGTCGTACATGGGAATTAGAACATTGGCGTCTTCTCCTGATCACCGTCCCAACGTCGAAACGTCCCCGTTCGGTGGCATTCGTTTCAATGACGATCGCCGGCCGTTAGCTTCACGTCAAGTCAGGTATGCGGGCATCATGCTGGTGCTTTGTGCGTGCTTTGGTTGAGAAATATTTGCAACGAATCACGCACTACCTTGCGTTGTTCCAGCAGTCGAGGAATGAGTCCACCAAAGACGTCAGATGCCCTCGGCCAAGCGGTTCTTTATCGTCTGCTGCTGGTTACCTGTAGTAGCTGACAGTTACACGCTTCATTGCGTGCGCCATCTGGGATCAAGCGAGAATGCATCTGCAGTTCCTTCTGTCTCCTACCTATGCTTCTAGCGGGCAGCGAAGTTGCACCTCGAAGCTCTATCAAAGGTGAGGTGCCACCTGCCTTGGCCGTGTGTCTACTACTCTGATAGTAGCTTTGGTTTCCTTTTAAACCATGTCCGTGCAACCTGTCAACCCTTTCGCCTCCTACTCGTCACTTTCACGGCTGCTCGGGCCCCAATCCCGCTCCTCATGATGATGATCCTCGGCTGTGCTTCAGTAACAGCTTCAACGAGATGATGCTTCATTGGCTCCGTGCCGCTCTTTGTTGGCGCAGCTGATCACTGTTTATGCTGCCACGTCAGGACAACACCCAGCGATGGCGGCAAGTCGAAGCGTTGGGGTTTAAGCTTCCCCCCCCTCTAACCCCCCGGACAGGTCAAGATGCACACCGGATCACGGACTCGGGCCATGGGAGCCTCGCTCTCACCATGCATCACCGCCATACATGCCACTATTCGTCACTCGCGAACAAGCAAGACACAGTTTCAGGCCTCGGACATTTCCGGAGAGGGCACTTGCTCTGTCGTCTCGAGTCGTTCGTACGGGTACTTTGTACGAAGCTTGGACTCGTCCCGCATGGAAGACAAACGCCTGTGGTTTTAAGGTGCTGATCCCTCTCATTGCCCAGTGATCACGTTGTGCATGTCAGAGCGAATGACAGCGGTGGGACAGACCGTTTCTCCCTCTCTGCCCGTAAGCGCCGCTGTGCACCCCCATGAAGATGAAACGACAGACAACGAGACTGCAGAGATCGGCGCGATGAGCAAGTTCGGCCCTTGGCCCTTGGCGCTCCTTGGTGCTGGTCTGCCTGCGGGAACCCTCTGCGGTGCATGATGAAGTGAGGCCCGCGAAGACCACTTCTGGAAAAAATGGAAAGGAAGAAAACCTTTCAAGTGCGAGAAGAGGGGCACGAACTGGTTGTGATGCTACAGCTGACAGCTACTACGACCGTTCCGGCCTTGGTGCACGAGTAGTGCTAATCTGAGGCTGCGGATACGAAGGTCTGGTCTGGCTAGGCGCCGGAACCCAGCGGGCAGAGCCAACAGGACGCGGGAAGGGCATGGGAGCTATCCTATCTGCTGCTGCTGCTGCTTCTGGGGAGATGGCAGAGACGACTCCATTCGTGCTTGATCAAGTGATGCTGGCCAGGCTTCACTGCCAAGACTGCCTATGAGCCGAATGGCCGCCTGGGCTTCCCCGCCATCCAAGCCCTAGCCCCCGAATGGATGCCTCATCAGCAGCGGCGAGCATTTGGGCCAGTCGGAGAGGCCAGTCGTGGGATACGCTCCTCCACAAGTACGAAATTCCATGTGCGTGATGCGTTTGCCTCGACGTCGTGCTCCAGGCAGTGAGAGACCGGTGCGGCCTGGCACGTAGCGCCGCGCATCGAGGATTACTAGCACAAATCCATTGACTGACCTGATTTTGCCTGACCTGGCCCTACATACCTACTGTACAGACCTTGCAGGAGATATTACGGTACGACGAGGACGAGGTCGAGGTCGAGGTCGAGGGTGGATGACGACTGTCTGTACCTTCTGGGCTGATGCGATAACTTCTGTCTCACCTCTGTTGGCTACCCAATACCACCTACATACTACCTTCTTACCTTGTCCTTCCATGACTCCTGTACACACTAACATGCCGTTACACCACAAGGCCGCGCTGCAGATGAGATGCCCCCGCGCGCCGTCGACGCCATTCGAAGCCAGCATGCGGCCCGGCTAGCAAGACACCCAAGGCCCTTGTGTGCGCCGGTGAGCACGCTCTGCAGTCTGGCTCTGACCTCTACGATATTAGCTCTGCGGTCTACGAGGACGTCCATGTAGGATGCATGAAGCGGCCCTTTTTTGACTGGGCAACCCAGCTGCTGACTCTGGCATCCCGCGGTTTGGCGCAAGAGAATCCCACAGGACACACCCCCTCGACCCAATCGCTCCTCGCCGTATGCGTTCGATACATGAATAGTGCGGGACAGGCACGTCAAGCTGAAGTTTTCTACGAATGTGTCTGTACGGCGTACCTGAAAGGGGATGAGGCTTTTGGGGGGACATGGCACCGGGACCAGTTGCCACGGGGCACTCTTCCGGAGATGCATGCAGCCGAGACGTGATTCGGGGGGCTCCCAAAGTAGCATCCAAGGCATCGTATTGGTGCAAGTGCAGCAGACAGAGATGCTTCGAGGTTTGTACGCAGTTGATGGTTTATTGGCGACGGGACCTCTGGGACGACGGCACGAGGCGCAAGCACCCGTACGTACGACCTGCATTGGCATTTGGTGCTAATGTAAGGGTAGTTACACAGGTATCGGCATGCTTAACATGGAAGCTGTGCTTCGTTCCAGTATTTGGAAAAGCTCTGACACAGGCAGAGGGAACTCGGTTGGTATGCTTGGGTGGCTGAGATGCATCGCGTCCAGTGTCATTGATCTAAGTGGCATCATATGTGCAGCTTGGCTACCTGTACGTGGTCTCCGTGATGCTCAGACAAGCTGCCACAAATGGCGGCTTCGGAATGTCTTGCTACTAATTAAAGCAGCAGCGCAACTGATAGGGCTTCCGCAGTTAAGGCGTCAACCTGCGGGAACGATGAGATCATCGCTTGCTTATTTTTTCCCTTTATTTTGGTTGTCCTTCTCTTCTCTTGTCCCCTCCAATTCCAGCCCACAGAACAAGGGTTTTGAAAGGAAAGAAGAAGAAAAAATTGCAAAGAGGAGCCCAGACGGAATGGCCCTTGGACCTGACGGAGCCAGCACCACACACAGCCCTTCCGTCGAGTCTCCGGCGGTCTGGTCTGGCCTGGCCTGGCCTGGCCTGGTCTCGTCTGGGGGTGTATCTAACAGTCCATCCAGAAGCTGTCATATCAAGCAAGGGCACAAGAGCCGCTGCGACCTCTGATCCGTATCTCGCCTTTTATTGGACGCTTGCTGCATCTGATTACTTGTACGACCACGCGCGTATCGTTTGACGCATGCGGTGCGAGGCCAGTGATATGGACAAGTACGTATGTACGTACTCGTATCGCGCACCTCACTTTTCATCCGTCAAGCCAAAGGCAGAATGGCGTCACTGGTGGTTGAGCCAAACAGGCACCTGGGCTGTCTCGTCCCCGCTGGAAAGAGTTGCTGCCCTGATGGCGGGCGGGAGAAGCCCTGGAGAGGTCAGATTGAGGTCAGGAACAGGGCCTGGAGGAATGTGCCGGGTGCCAAGAGCAAGGGCGCTAAGGCGCTGCTCGTATTCAATCTCTGGCCGGCAGAAAGCACCACCACTGCTTGTTCACACTACATCCTGGCTTCCCACGACCACGAACGACGAAGCAACGCAGAATACTAATCGAGCGCGACACATGCCTGCACCTGCCGGCCTAGCCTGGTCTGGCCTCTGCAGCCTTGTGAAGCGCATGCTGCTCATCCAGTCAATCCATCACCCATCGGCCCTGTACGAAGATGCATTAGCGAGCCGCAATCCATGCCGCAGAGCGGTCAAGAGCGTCACCTGAGCCGTCCAGATATTACGCCGTCGACCATTGAGTGACCACCAAGCCTGCCGGAATCAGCAACGGCTAGTTCACTTTATTGCAGAGTCACCGAGAATGAGGTTGGTTCCCAATGGGGCGCGGGATACGGTTCTACTTGCGGAAGCCGTGCAGTAGCATCGCGCATGCTGATTCTCGTTGGCAGGAGCATCAAACGACGGGATCCTCTCGGTTTCCCTCTTCCCTCTTCTTCCCCATTGGATCCCTTCCCCTGCAAGCCCACGGCGACTACGAGGGATCATTGTATGCCTACAGACAATCTGGAGGTCTCTAGTGGGTGCATCCTATTGCATGTTCAATGCCTCAGGCCCGTACAACGGAAGCAATGGACAAGCCCAATGCCTCCCAACCGGGCCTGATGTCTCGCCAGCAAACAATGCTCTGACCGTGACCTGCCTCTCTCACTCCGGCTCAGCGAGCATCGTGGGATTTAGTGCAGCGCTTCGGGCGGACGAAGGCCTCAGACACCCATGCACGCCCAACTGCGGGGTCTTCCGTCTATCCTCATAAGAGTCATCGATGGCAAGACAGACGCCTCGAATTTCACCGACTTTTAAAGACCGGCACATCGCGTCATGAGGCCACCGAAGATCGAGGTCCAGCTTCCGCACCAGACTTGGCGGCACGACAGGCCAGAGTACCCGGTCGGACGAGACGCAAGGCTCCGAGAGAGTCGCGCAATTCACCTTTCGAGACAGCGCCTATCGGATGCGGTGTATGGAGTATGGCGAGCGCACGTTTTCCCTCAGGTGCTTCAGTCTGTCTGCCTTTGCTCACCGGAGTCGGGACGTCGAGCCAACCATCGATATCGCCAGCTCAAGCGATAGGGCCCCTACCGTACGAGTGCTGTCATGCACAAATCGACATGGGAGACGGGCCACAAGACACAGGCGGAGGTTGCCTCAAACCGACGGGCTGGGCCACGGGCTGCCGCCGTAGGGTTGCCGTTTCATGCCGCCAATCTAGTACCATGACGTCCTTAACCCTGAAGCCGCCCAATCGGCTGCCGCCTTTTCCTTGTGCCAATGCGCAGCCTTACTAGCCCAACTGGGGATCTGCTTCAGAAGCCACGGCTTGAAGACGACTTGTCGCGCCCAAGCAGATCTGAAGTCTACGGAGCTATGCTTCAGACTCTCTTCTTGAATCATGCCTCGCCAGCCGGGGATCTGTATCAGGGGATGGTCTTCCCCTGGTACCTGGGCTGCTGCGCCGCTATTGCTGTTCTCGTCATTTGAGGCAGCCCATCGGGTACCGCTGCCCTCGACAAAGGCCAGGCTCGACCCCAGAGGAGATATTACCCGAACTGCCAAGCAGCTTTGGCGATGCTATTGGTTCTCAGACCTTACTTGTGACGTAAAGCGACCAGAGCCATCATCTCCGGGTCCGGAGCTCGAGGTTCACCCACGCACCACACTACTGACCGCACCGCACTTACTGTACTTATTTGTACGACACAAAGCGCTGGCTCATCTTAACCCTGCTTAACAACGGACTGTCAGTATCCCATCAGTACCGTTTCTGAACCTCACCTGGGTGGTCATGATCAAGCCACTTTGTCTCTTGTTCTTGCGTCCTTTGAATGCTGAAGAACTGAATTCTCTGTTGTCAGTCACGCCTGACTGGAAGAAACACAACGACGGCGGCCAAAGTACTTCGGTATGCCCCGAAGCAGACAGGAGAAGACCATACACAGTCATGGTGGGCAAAGTAACGACAAAGGTGGGAATCCCAGACGGTTTATTACCTACTCAGAGTCCATTCATTTGAACCTCCAACCCTGTTCATGCCTTTTGCTTGCCCGCCTTGCTTTCTTTTTCAATGGCAAAACTACCCAGTACCTATGCAGCCACGAGGGGGAAAATAAAGGCAAAGACGCACGCCTTCACCTGTTTGTGCGAGAAGAACCTCATCATCTCGCACTCCTTCACAGTTTTCTGGTCCATAATACTACGAAGTACTCTACCCGACTTACAAAATACAAGGGTCTGCCATTTCCAACAGACCCCTCTTATTCCCTTTCGGTCGCTTCCTTTTGCCGTCTTGGCTCTTGAGCTGATCGTATTGGCACAGAGTGCCTAGCGATTTATGATCAAAACATGCTGCCAAGAGGTTACAACTGAAACGACAGCAAATCAACATGTGCTCTCCGCTCTGTCTTGGCCCGGCTGCGTCGGATATATCTCAATTCAGTCTAGGTCGACATAGCCAGGCAACAAGAGAAGCAAGGGAGATTTACCTCCTCATTACTTGGACACCTTGAGAAGCTCATCTGATTTCGCTGAGTCCTTCTCAGCGGCGCCTGTCACCTCAACACAGAAATTCAGTCAGCAGATATCGTTCATTCCATGTCAGGGCTGAAGCGCCCGAAGGCCATGATGCGAATGCGTTATTCGTTCCATTACAATGAATACGTGTCCAGACACGCCTATACATACACACATGAGAGAAGGAACAGGCAAAAAAGAGGCAACAAGAAGCACAGAGAGTGACGCCTCTGCGAGGATACCACTCAACTCCTGCCACCAGAGTGTGACGCAAATGGCCGACCCGGTCGACATTGCAGATGCAATGGATGCCATCCGCCGCCGCAGAGTCCCCCAACTTATTAGTGAATAAGCCCGAATCTCGCTTCTACGGCTACGAGGTACGAGCCACACGAATTTCCCACAAGCTTGGCTTGCCAACAGCTGAGACAAAAGGACCATGGATTCAGCCTCACGTTGGCAAACATACATGAAAGCTAGCGGCGTAATCCTATCCCCTGCCACGTCCGATGCAGAGCATCCGCGCCGTTGCAACACACCTCCCGCATTCATTACTGGATCCCACCCGCCTTCAAAATGCACAAGTACACGCATACTTGCGACCACCGTGGCTTCAGAAATGATGTTCAATTATGCGTCTCCATACCCGAAACTCCGCCAGAGGGTTTATCACTTCGCACGCATTTCAAGTCCCACTGGTGCATATACGGGATACTGACCAGTCGACTTCTTGTATGGACAACGGGTCAAATTGGATACTCTCCTGCTGCTCCTCGCTGCAAACGCTCCGGCCTCCTGGAGGAGACTGTACGCAACCTTACAGCCATGCCGTTGACTCATTGTCCACCACATACTGCCGTTTGCGCAAAGGCCCTTGAGGATGGATAGCTAGCTCAAGCGACTGGCTACTTCGCGCAGAATTGCCTCCGTCGACATTGGACTGGCATATATGTACGCCTGCAAGACCGCATGGCGTCTATCAGCCTACGGCCACTGCTATGTACAAGTCTGTGCTAAGTAGCGGCGAAGCCTCAGCCTGCGGTCCCTGGCGTGGCTGGGTGGTTGCTGAGTGAGCTGGCTGTGCGAGGCGGTTGGATCGCTTGCTCCCTGAAGACGCCTCATCCATTTGGGCGGGATTGATGCGGGGGAGGCTTGAGACTGACCTTGCCGAGGCCCATCACCTGCGTCGGATCGTCTTCAATCATACCTTATCTGCCGATAAGAGCTTGTGTTTGTGTTGCCACGACCCTGGCCGGGTTGCAAGGGTCATTACGCGATTTGGGAGCGTGGAGCTGTGTTGCTGGCGGCACTCGCGGGAACGAAGGGGTGTGGGTTCGGGTCGGTCTCATGCTCTCAGGAGATGCTGTCGTGGCTCACTCTTGGTGGCCTCACTGCACTGATTGTCATCTGCTACGGAGGATTTCGGGTGCGACTCGGCCCCAATTGCACGCGCCGAGACAGTTACACGGCAGAAAGTACGGGTAACAATGCCCTCTGGCAGGTGCTTCTTCGTCCGCGCTGGGGAGAGGAGGGGATCCAGCTGATCTCAAGAACTCGCGCGCCGCTCACTTTGGGCCACCTTGCATCGATCAGGATGTGTTCGTACCATTGCGCAGGCATTCATGTATTCGCCCGATTGACAGGGTCTTTCCGACCATCACAAATGTTCATCGCAACTCATGTCTCCTGAACAACAAACATGCATTTGTACGGGTGTGCCATCTTTCCCTTTGCGTGTTGGTTACACCAAGCTACATATTACCGTCCTGTTCGACATGCGATGTTGCCTGCGCCAGGTCTTGCAGAAAGCAGGTCACGAGTTTCGGCTTTGCAGAGAACAATGCATTAGATCAAGGGCTAGCTGTACTTCCCTTGCAGCATATGCACCCATCGAGCAACTCTTGCAGATGAACCGAGCAAAATTCATGGAGGAAAAGATACATTCCAGGTATCTCCGGCTACTTTTGTCGCTATTGGAAAGAAGCTTGCTAGGGATACGTCCTCAGGCATGTCGGTCTGTCAATCAGGCCGCCGCCCCAGATGAACATTTCATTCGTCGCGGCATATACCCGGTATAAAGGACGGAGCCAGGAGATCGCATAGGAGACCAGGTCTACTTCTGAAGCCAACTAGGGGGTAGTAGGCGCCATATCTGGAATACGTGTAGGTATACATACGAGTACTACATGCCTTGGAGTATCATCGGCCCTCGTTGCGTATGCAGATCTGGATGAATGGAGACACTACTAGCGGGCAGGCTCTCGGGCTCTTATCCGCGGTCTTTTCATCCCCATTTCCGCCCCATCTTCGCAGGCTGACTATCGTTTCTGGCAAGGGTTGTCCCATGGCAACTCCCTGCTTCTTTTGGGTTCTCTCTGGACAAACAAGCCATGGAAGTGGCGAGTATTGGGTGCAGAACCTCAAGAGATAAGGCGAGGTTGACCGCGATCGTCTCGGGGATAGAGAGCTGATCAAAGGCCATACAACCTCTAAATGCGACTTTGTTCTGTATTAGGTGCAGAGCGTGCGCTGCAGACAAGGCATCCGGGACTCTTGGAAAGGCCGTCTTGTTTCCAGTCCCATCACCAGTGACAGAAGTTCCGTCTGGTCGGGTTTCCAGGCGGTTGGTACAACTGGCAATTGTGCCAAGAGGGTGGCCTGTCAGATAAACTCCCTGTCCCCGACAGATGTACGGGAGAAATGATTCCGAGAACAGCTCGGAGAGGATGGGATGCAGCAATGGAAACTTGCGGTACCTGCTATCGCTGCCGTCTCCAACAACCTTCAAGTACGGAGCTCAGGACATACGTTGGACATGTACTCGTGAGTTTGCAGATGCCAGAATGGTGGAGAGATCGAGCAAATATAGCCGAGCCGATTTGCCAGAAAGGGGTGGTATGAATTGTGACGGCGGATGCCATGATGAGGGCATAGTGACGCCTCTGATGTCGGGCAACATAAGGATTCATCGACCAGTCTGACTGACATGCAGCAGATGAGCTGCCGAATGACGAACTGGCTGGGGTTTGAGAGGTGCTAGAGACGCACGAACGGCTGCCACGACAGCAACCACAGGAACCCCATCTTGCCATGAAGTACGGGGCGTTTTATGAAGCAATGTGGGGGACGACGCGCACTTGTCAGGCTCAGCAGGTTGGTGAAGGTGAACTCCTCTGAATCCTACTCGTACCTCGTGCAGATAGTCTATGCTGCCTGCATTGGAGGTTGAATTGTTCCGCCGTCTGGTTTCCAGGGCATCTACCTCTTTGCTGGTCGCCTTCTCCACACCACCCAGCATGAGGACGAGTATCATGCAGCCCAGCCATGCATGGGCTCGCACGCACACCACGCAGTCTCCGCACGCCACTGCCGCGTCGTGTCACCATTGGCAGCCAGTCACGGCCATCCATCTTGGTTTGGGGAGAGCCATTGGCAGGCAACGGACCACATGTGCCTTTTACCTTCTCCTCTTCGGCTCTACTGGCGATCAAGAGAACGCCGCGGGGAAGAAGGGGCAGAGCGGCAAGAAGGGGTGTGATGGAGGGTGTCCCGGCCAGCTGGAGATCAATCTTCTAGAATTTTTCTCTTTCGCAATTGGCGGCTCGGGACGTGTGGGCTTACCCCGAGTTGCGCCCTGGCTGGTGCCCAGTCTCTCACACTACTTAGCCGCCATGCTTGTATTATCTCCTCAAGCATTGCCATCTTTTGATACTCCCAGGAGCACTAGCAAAGAGGAACGGTTCGGAGGATGCGCTACCGTCCAAACTGTGGTCTTGGGTGTCTGGCAAGGATGCTGGCAGGCAGTGGCCAGTGGTCCGTGGGCAACATGCAATATGCAATGGCCAACGGACAATGGACTTGGAGGTATGAGGCATCTGTATGACCGGATGCGTAGGCGTTGTGGACTGAGCTATTTCCCCCCTTTGGGCAGGCCGAGGGGGGCAGATGTGACGATGCTACTATTTTGGCGCCATATTCTGCCTCTACGAGACTTGGAGAACGTCAACCGTCGCCGCCGGCCACCGGTACAATCACGATCCTGGCGCCCCAACCGCGTTTCTGGGCCGCTGCATCTCGATCTTCTGACCAGATAATATGCAGTGAGAGTAAGCAGACGAACGCACCAGATACCTCTGGGTTTGGTCTGTCTGCGGCCTCTCATCCTTCTGTTTGTCCGGCTGCCGAATATGGCAACGTCGTGACGGGCAGCGTTTTGCCGTTGCAGGGCTGAGAGCGGCTACTAAACCTGCTTCAGCTCGACAGCCCGCACACTCATACCAACGACCTTGAGGACACTGGGAAGTTGGAGGGTTTCCCCCCTCGTCATCTCACAAATCATCTTTCCTTATACGTCGGTTTCACTCCGTCGCATCAGCATCGTCGAATGAAAACGAACAGCACTGCTGTCAGCCAGTAGCCAGCGGCCAACCAACGCCCATAAGCCCGCGCGTGTACGGACGCACGGCCGTTTCCGTCACTTGACAGGAGCAGCAGCAGCAGCAGCAGTGTTGCTGGGCATGATGTTACTGGCGCGTCCTCCCCCCTCTTTGCCAGCCGTGGACTGCGTTTGAGTGAGGCTGACCTGCAAGTGGCCGCCTTTTTCTCCTTCAAGAACGCTCCGTGGCTGGCTGGCCTGTTACATGCATAGGAGCTTCTTGGCCCGGGCTGGCCCAGCTTTGGCGGAGCACTCGGTGCAGAGTGCTATGAGTCTGTCTTACAACATTATTCGGGACGAGGAGAGAGCAGAGGGATTGGTCCGGTGAAGTCAGCGCTGGTGGGGACACAAGATGCTCTGATATCTGGAATAACGAGCTGCCATCTACTCCGTATGGCGCCATCAACGCCTTATCACGCGACCCGGGTCTCACGGGGGTCGCACCGCGACCGCGAACCGCTCAGCTGAGCCGCATAACGAAAACCACTCGCCTTTGAGGACAAGGCAATGTTTGAGATGTTGCAGGATTCCAGGCTTTGGCATTGGCAAAGTGCTCCTACCGGTTCCTTGGCCATGATACCTTCCTGGTACCTTGTTTTGTACCCCTGGATGCTGATAGGAGCACACCATTTCTCCTTCAGCTCCCAGCTGCCGCCCAGCAGGGAGACCCTGACCCTGGCGATGTGAGCTGGGAACACGGGACCCTCGTCTCCGGCAATCGCCAGGCAACTTGGTCCAGCCTGACGGGGCACCTTATCCGTAGAAATGGTTACGGCCCGAAGTACCCTTATTCACGCGGTACATCATGTGTACGAACCTGGAAGTACGAAGTACTGAAGACAACTGCCTGATTTATCTGTGACGACAGATGCTGTTTATGGATGAAGACTTTGGTCACGTTTCCTTCTTCCAACGACCAACCAAACGCCAAACGCGAGATCTGGATCAGACCAATTCGCCCCCCTATGCTGAGGAGCAAGACTCTATTTCCCTTTGTTCGGTTTGCATTCGAGCATTACGGAGTCCTATATTCATATTCATGCCGGGCATTAATACTTATACTTGGGCGAACGTACGTTCTGCAGCCTTGCGCCTCTTCTATACTGCTGGCTCAGGCTGCCGGCAGGCAGGCAGGCAGGCAGGCAGGGCTTCGATGGAGGCAGAATGGCTTCCAAAACCACGGGCATCGCAACGGACAAGCTACCTCTGGAAAGGCTTACAATACTCACACTGAGCATCCCAACTTCGCGCAGTCAAGCACCGTCCGTAGCCGTCTACGCAGGCGGATGAGCGAGATACAGCGTACAAGGGGTAGAATGGATCTCTCTCTACTGGCCACTCATACTTGTACGTGACGCGCCTTTGATGCAGTGCAGTGCAGTGCAGCATGCCATTGGCAACCTGCTGATTTCCAAAAGGCAAGTCGTGCCGAACGATGATCACGGCGCAGCAATACGGCGGCTGAACAAGATCGGTCCACGAATGCGGTTGAATGCGTGTGTCCCAAGCTGGCGCCATTCGCCCACGGATGTGCTTTGAGCGTCGATAGTGGCGAACGGGTCGGGCCTCCAGTGCGGTTCTATTGGAATAAGCAGCTGAAAGGTGTCGACGGTGTCTTTCTGCCGCTCGCTCGGGCCGTCTCTTCTTCGCCGAAGGGCCTGTGTCCACCACCATGGTTGTGTTCACAAACAACGACTGGTCACTTTTCACGACCCCTTCGCAATGCTTTGTAGGGTCATGTCTGAGCTAATTCTGCAGCTACTGCCCACTTGCGTGATGCTGAGGCAGTTGATGTCTGTGATTCCACGGTGCTGGGCAACCTCAGCTGGGTATCGACAACCCATATTGGACATCGGAGAGGGGGACTCCTCTGTCTTCTTCGTCGTTTGTTCTTGCCGTGGACGAAGACACGCACATTGCGAGGCGAAACTCCATCCAACATGCCTGCCGGGGTGGACTATTGCTACCCTGCCTGCATATCGAGCGGCAGAAAGGAGCCTTGCTGCAGTGTGATGCTGGGCTCTCAAAGCAGTCCTGTCAACCGTTGCCATATACTAAGCGATGGAGGCATTGGCGAGACATACAGGTATTCAAAGCACGACTCCGCCTGAAGAACCGAGTTAGGCAGATGTAGGGGACTCAGCACTGGAGTGACGCAAACGCTTCCTTGGATGGAGGGAGCAGACTGCCCCCAGGACCATGAGCTGTCGCCTTTTGCCAGCATGCAGGGCGGGTCGATGCACGGGGCCAAGCGATACCGTAACTGAAGCTGGCTATGCATCCCCCCGTTGGCCGGTTTCAGGGTTCGTCGGCTGAGTTGCCCGCTGCCAACGGGCACATGCCGCTGCGCGCAAGGCGTCATGCACGCGGCGAGACGAGTGGAAGGGGTTCACCGAAGAAGACATGGCGGGTCCATGGCGGCCTCTTGTACTCATACGAGGAGCAACGCTGATCCCTGGTGCCCACAAGGCATCTCGTCGCGACCTCGTCCGCTTGCTGGCGGGCCACCTGAGCTATCGGACACTATTCTATCCTGCCGCCGAAAGGTGAAAAGCGGTCGAACCGTCCATCAGGTGCCCAGCGCAATGGCGGCGTGAACGGATTGCCTCGCACGCTGACTGCATGTGCATGCGTTGGCCATCCGATGCAGACGAGAGCTGACGTGCCGATGCTCACGCGTATGTCCCCAGCGAGCAGTCAGTTGTCTGCGATGATAGGCGGGCAAACTTATGTATATGCTCTTGGACGATGCGATGTTGGAGTCGTTCTTTCGGTGCTGCCTGCCTGCGCCGCTCCTCCAGGAAGAGAGATGTTGACTGCTGAGGTGAGCGGCGACAGCGATCGACGGCGTGATCGCTTGCTCTGCATGCGATGGACCACTGTCTGCTTCGTAACGAGCGAATTCTTGCGCAGGAGGACGAAAAGGAAGCGGGCTCGGGGCGCTGAGGCAGCACCGCTGGGCACAAGGAGCAGCGCTCGCGTATGAGCTATCGCACGCATGAGAGCGCTTGTCTGAGCTCGCCGCCTGCTTGGACGGACTGCACAAGATGGTCGGGTTGCAAAGAGCCCGTGCATGGACGCATCGCGGCTGCACGCGGCGATTGCAACGCACACGCTGTCATGTCAGGACATACAAGGACGGAGTGCAGAGTGCAGAGCGCAGAGTGCAGGGTACAGAGGGTGTGTTACCCTGATGTTTGCAGATTCTGCCAAGCGAGTCCGGTGTCGCCCAGTCGATCGGAGCTGGCTCCGTGGCGACTGCTGGTTTTCTCTGGCGTTGGCTTCACAACTCTGTGCGACTTGCGTGGCCGCTGTCTTGCCGTATTCAAGTACGCAAGTACGGAATATGACTCCTCGTAATAGCTGGACCTCGTCTCGTCCCGTCCCGTGTGCCACCAAGGGACCAGGTTGACGGCCGGCCCACTCTGCGAGACCCTGAGTCAACTATCACCTCTCTCGCTGACTTGCGTGAACAGGTACGGGACTTCATTACGAACTCCGCCGTACTCTGCTGGTGGACTTTCGGACAGAGGAAGGATCCGGCTTCCTGGTTGGATCACGATTGAGTGGCCCAAGGCTGGCTTGGAGCATACATAACTGACCGAAAGGAGAGACATTTCACTGGTCTGGGATGATGGAACCGGGCAGACCCTCCTCGGCAGTGGTGGTGAATATGCAGGGCGAGCTCTCTCATTGGGGCTGCGGCAGCTTCGGCAGCCTCGCAATCCTGATCCCGGCGTGGATGGGCAGGCGTTCCATTATCGAAGGTTGGTTATTCCTCCCCTCACCCCCCTGGTCGCTGATTATTTTCTTTCTTTTTTTCTATTTACCGTTTTTCATTTCATTCCTTTTTCTTTTTTTTGTCCCCTAATTCCAACAGGTTGGGACACGGAATCCCTGCTGATCCCATGGCTGGCAACTTTGACCACCCCTTGGCTCCAATTCGGCCTCCTTTCCAGCCCAGCTAACAGGGGTGGTGCTGCTACTGGTATTATGGTGGGCTCTCCAAGTACATAGCCAACGGCACGAGCTACAAGTACGACCAAATACTTGGTACTCTACATGACACCCTCGAGACGGGGGAGGCGTGTGCATTGGAAAAGACGACTATTGCTTCATGCGCGCGCTGCGCTGCTCGTGTAGGCAGAAGTACTGCTACCTCGACCGGAGCAGTAACGGGCGTACGAAGTACGAAATACCTTGTTTGAGAGAAGGGTGCTGCCGCGTCCCTCCCACCCTTAGGGATTTTTGTGGACGCTCCCAAGGGGGCCGGGAGCGAAAATCTGGGGAAATGGCATGCCGCCCATGCCCTCCATGTCCAGTGCCTGTGGTGCTCTCGTGGTGCTCTTTTGCTGGGCCCCCCCGGCAAGCAGGGTGCTTTGTGCCTGGTGCCTGGCCGGCGTCTCCCGCCTGCTTGTCCGAGAGTGATAGCAAAGGCAGCACGCTGAAGACGAGACGACGTCGAGTTGAGTAAGCCGCCAAAGCAAAGCACGCAGTGCGAGTAAGCTTTAGCATAGCCCGGCCGGGCCGTCAGCGGCGTTCGCGGCACGGCACCAGGAACCACAATCTTGATTGTAGATCTATTTCACGAACAAACCACAACGGGCAAGGCTTTGCATTGCCTGAACACGGCCAGCGCAAGAACTAGGCTCAAGCGAGCCTAGCCGTCTGCTGCCCTTGGTCCCGGGCTGCTGGCTAAGAAAAGGGCGGTGGATATGGCCTTGGTGATAGGTCACAGCAAGGCTGGAGATGCTCACATATCACGCCGCCCAGTTGCATCAGCCAAGACGCTGCCATCATATCAGGCAGAGAGAGGATCAGCTGTAAAAATAGAAGCAGCATGGGGAGGAGCAGAGTCCATGGGGCACTATGGCCTTGTACTCATGAGGTAAAAGCCGTGCTTCTGATGCTTCGTTAGCCCCCTTCTGAACGTAGGTTCCCATGCCGATCGGTGTCTTGAGCACTTTATACGGAGGATTTCCGTAGGTTTAGACAGCCTTTCTGCCTTGTTGTTCCTTGCTAGTCTGCTCATGATCCCTGGGAGCGGCATCCGGAAGGCTGACGTGTCGTTGCAAGGCTGATGATGGCTGCGGCGCTACTGCACGAGCATGAGACCGGGGAGCATGTTGCTTTTTCGAGAGCATGAATGATACAAATACCGTGCTGTTTTGTTTTGTTGGTACATGAGTAATCCTCTGCTGCTCATTATTCCTGGTAATGGTGTTTTTTGTTTTCGGACTCATCGGGGTCCCTCCTGATTCTCCATAGATGCCTGCAACTTGCCAACGCATGAGGAGGGATTCGTCCTGCCAGATTAATTACCGGCAAGGGGGGGTGCATTTTTATGCTGGTGAACAAGGGGGGAGTGGAGGATCGTATGTGTATACTATAAACGTAGAAAAAAGAGGCAAGGACGAAAACAGGCTGAGCCGAGCCGAGCTGAGCTGACAATTCTCATTTCCATCTTTTTCGGTCTTTGTTGAATTTGTTTCTGTGTTTTGGCTGGACTGACTCGGAGAAGGGCCAGCTGGGGGGGAGGATGTGAGTCAGGAGGGGGGGTTTTGGGAAGCGGACGGGGCTGAAGACTGATTGATGATGCCTCTGCTGCTGCTGCTGATTATGATGATGTTGATTACGATGCTGCTGCTGCGGCGATGCTTGTGCATGGGTGTTTGAAGCAGAATGTCGAGGTGATGGAAGATGGATTGCATGTGGACAGAGAATATAAGAGTTGACGGAGGATGAGTGATGATGTTTGTTTTGTTCTTTTTTTCTGGGCGGTGAGAATATGGATGCCAATCTATTTCGTTTCTGGCTGAATTTGGGCTGCCATTTCTGTTGTAGGAAAGGGATTCATACGTTTTGTTCATTCATTCATTCACAAAGAGGTACTTGAGGCAACAGTATATGTGAAATCTAACCCTGATAGAGATGGACCGACGGTACGTAGACAAATGATCATCTCGGGGCTCCAGTGTATAGATACAGGCGATGCAAAAGGTCAATCCAATGAATATGATTTCCAACGTTTGGTGTAGAAGAATAGCTTCAAGCAGGCATTTTATTTTACACGCACCCCCTTATCTTCTAGAACGCCAATAAAACCTGGAAGTTGTGTATAAGTTATAAGCAACAACACCTTAAAAGGTACATACGCCAGATGAATTACTTTCCACGCCCACCGTCGGCCGCTGCAGGGAAACGAGTCATGGCGGGAAAGAAAATATCGAACGATTTTTTTGATCGATTTGGAAACGTTTTTGATTCGAATATGCGAACTGATTGACGCAGAATGGGGCTGGCTGGTTGTCAGATGTTTTTGGCTTCCGGGTATGTATCAATGCAATTGGGGGTTGCTTTTTTCTTTTTTTCTAGGGGATAATTTAGCTGGGCTTGCTGTACCTTGGCATGGTTCCGGCTGCCTTGGCAGATTTAAGAAGGAAAAAAAAAAAAAAAATTGAAAAGAAAGAAGAGAAAGAAACAACTTGGAAAAAGGGGTAAATCGGCTCTTCCGAAGAGAGAAGAATATCCTGGAGGGGAGTTTCAAGAGTTTCGTAGTCAAGAATTGGGCTTCCTAGTGAAATTAGGTGGCAAAAAGCTGCCACACCCCAAGTACAGAAAAAGGAAGGGCAAAAAGAGAAAAAGACAAACGCTGGACGAACGGGGAATCGAACCCCGGACCTTTCCCAGGTAATTTGCATGATGCTAAGGGAAAATTATACCACTAAACCATCCGCCCATGTCGTGCGTTGCTGTCGACTGCGGACAAGAAGCTCATGAAGCCATCGCCAAAATTCAACTTGGTGCAGAGTATTATCGTGCGACTGCTGATGAGAAAGGGATATCACAACATACATACTTCAAAGGAACAGAACATAGAGAGCGCCGTGTACACCAGATTTCATCATCGTATAGTCATTGTATTCATCAACAAGCCTCATCTAGCCAGCGGCTGTTTGGCTTTAATCTCCTTGATCGTCTCCCTGGTTCTCGCATTGTCCTCAAAGCTGGCGTGTATCAGATCAATGACCTCGTCGACGGTAAAGTACAAGCTGAGCTCGCTCTCGCACCACAAAAACTTGACTTCGTTGAGGTTGCTCTGCAGCACCTCGCCGAGGTACTTGAGACGCAGCCAGCTCGGCGCATACTGAGCCGTCGTTGGCAATTCATCCGGCACCGGGGCCGTGCCGGCGAGTTTGCTGGGGAGGAATAGATCATCCAGCTCGGTTGCCGAAGCGATGAGCTGGGCAATGCTGTATGCTTCATCTTGTCCAATCGACGGCATCTCCAGCACGTCTGATATCAGCCGTGACGCGAGCGAGTCCGCAAGAGACCCGACAGCCTGAGACCAGACAGATCTCCTCAGGATGGGATCCCATGTCGCGGCCACGCTCCGGATACGTGCTGTTCCGGCTTCTATGGACGACTCCTTATCGTCTTGCTGTGCCAGGCTCTGTGACCCTCCGAGGAGGTCTTGTAGAATTGTCTTTTGAAGACTCATTTCGTTGGAATAGCTGCGGTTGGCAAAACTTTTGAGCGTCCGGACATCATTGTCGATACGGAGCATGCTTCGCGCACGGGGTGTCAGGTCTTCCCGTTGCTTCCAAGCCATGGAAAAGTCGGACAGCTTCTCGGACAGATACATGGCGTCGTTATATAGGAACCTGAAGGTCATGTCAGTATCACGGTTGAGCTTGCGGTGTGGGAATCATCGTGCTGCCAAACTTACATGTTGCCTCCAGCGTCAGACGAGTAGTAGTGAGGCGAGATGGCTCGGAACAGAGCCAAGACAAAGGTAGGCAAGCTGAAGAGGCCAGGTGCCGTCGCTGCTAACAGACTGTACTCGTTCCCGTCCTTTGTCAACGCGGCTCCGTCTTCCAGGATCGAGAATATCAGTTCGAGCACAGGCTCGGGCATCGACGAAATGCTGTAAGTCTCTTTGAAAACCAACTCCCTCGTCTCTTCCTTGGCCTTGCCCGACTTCGCTTTGGCTGCCGGAGCTACTGGCGCAGGGGCCTGAGCGGGTGCAGGCTCTGCTTGGGCCTCTTCTTCGGGACCGTCGCCGTCATCGCCCCAACCCCATGCATCAGCTCCATCGTCCTCATCCGGGGCGTCGGCAGGTTCGTTAGCCTCTGGCTTCGTTTCCTCCGGTTTCTCGTCTGCATCCTTGGCCGCATCATCGTTGTCATCCCACCCCCAAGCATCTGCAGCGCCGTCGTCGTCTTCAACGTGATTGTCCTCGTGTCCTTCCACCTGCGACGCTTGCTCTTGGTCATCCCCTGCCTTTTCATCGTCCCATGCCTCTCCCCAGTCGTCTCCCCAGTCGTTTGAGTCTGCAACAGCTCCGGCCCCAGTTCTCGATAGTTCTTTGCCCTCGGCTATGGAAACCATCTGCCTCTCAATCTTTTCGACACGTTTCGATTCCCCAATCCCACCGGCAAGCTTGACTCGGACGCTATCGAGTGCCGTCTCTCTGCTTTTTTCAAGCCATATTGTAGGCGCCTTGGTGGCCCAGTCCTGGATCTGCTCGAGGCCAGGGAATCCGTTATGCTGCAAAGTGTCGCAAAACCCCTTCATCTTGGACACCAGAGCTTGGAATGTATCCAAGTCCTTGAGTCCCGAAGGAACGGCAGGGTTGAGCCACCCCTTGGTAAGCTTGGATATAATGTCGCCCATCATGACATCAGCCAGTGGCCGCAATAGATCGGCTGGCAGCTTCTGAGCGACAAAAGTCAGAATCTGTTCGAGATCTGATAGCAAGGATTCGGCCGAGCCGTCAGAGGACCCCGCAAGCTCCAGCACATCTCCCTCCACCCTGATGCCGGGTATGTTTGATCTTGTAGCATCCATGCGCGGCGACACTACTGCTGCATCCAGGTTGTGCCACAGCTGCTCCATTCTCTCATCAACCTCCTTGTAAGCTTTCAGCCCAATCACGGCATCGCTCAGGTTCATTTTCTCATCTTATCAGAATCAGCAAGCGTCGTAAAGAAGTGCAAACATTTACGTCCACAAACCTTGTCGCGAATTGTAGATGGCAACCTTTCCCGACTCTGTGTCGACTTGCACCAGAGTCTTCCACACGTGGTTGAAGACTTGGTGTATATCGGACTTTAACTCAAAGGCCCTCAAGTCCAAGAGCTTCATTACCCGGGTGGTTTTGCTGATGCCCACATCGTCAAGAGCTTTCCATGATCCTTTTCGAGGTCAGCCTCAGTCAGCAATAAACGGCACGAATGGGGAATACGCACGCTCCAGCAGCTGCAGAGAGTCGACAACACGCCTTTCTCTGCTTGCCTGCTCGACTTGGACGAGGAGCTGGTTGACTTGCTGGATCCGCCTCAAGACACCATGAATCTGCTGGCTGTACTGGACCTCTCGATTAAGAAACTCGGCCTTCTCTTCTGCATCCAGGACCGCTTCTCCGGTCACCTCAGGTTCCTCGGACTGACGGATGATGTCATTGGCGATGGTCTTGGATCGGATGATGTCCTCCTGCAGAACCTTTGCGTTTCTCATCCACGAGCTGATATCGTCCTTGGTCTCTTCGTTTATGGTGTGTATCTCGGCCTAGATTAGGCAGGTTCAGTCAGAACACGTTGCAATGCCAGCGACGCCTGCAGTGACGATTCATGTACCTCGATATCCGCCTTGGCCTTGCTCAGGGCCTCAATTGTCGGGTTCAGATCAGTCTCCGAGACCGACTGCAGCGCGGTAGCATCTTCAGGGAAGCTCCCTTCCAATGCAAACGACAGGATGGCGTTGCTGAGCTGTTGCGACTCGGCTGCGGTCGCCATCTTGGTGGTTCTCGATGACGTTTGCTAGCTGTCGTTTCGGTGGCGCGCAAGCAATCTCTTGCCTGGGTGTGAGGAAAGGTCAGGGCAAGGCGTGGGAAATGGCATCAACGGCGCACAAGAAACTCGCTCGCATCGCAGGACAGGGAACATGTAAGTTGGGGTTGAGGCGCGTCGATTTGCGCAAATCGGACGGTAATATGTCTGGGCTTTGCTTGGATGGTGTTTGCTGGCATTTGAGCTCGCTTTCACAAGCAAAGGTACGTATCGATTGCAGCTCTCACTGCAGCTGGCATGTGTTGCGCCACACGTGCTGAGGCTTATGTACCATACAACATAAGGTAACTCGTAATGGCGATTGAAACCCCTCATGATGTGGCGCAGCTTCATCCCACCTCGCGCTGCGAAGGACTGCTAAACCCACTGAAGTGAAGCCACCAAGGTGCACACTGGACGAGTACCTACGGATCAACTGCCTGCTTCTTTCGTCCATCCTGCCCCACCACCTTTTGACGACTTGGAACAAACACTTCGGCGGTACGTACTTTGATATTGTTCCCCTGCTGGAGATCCTTCGCCCGACTTCCTCTGCGACTAGCCAGGGCGCGACAGCCGGCAAAGGTACAATAGGTATTTAAACCCCAGGTCAGTGCTCGAGCCCCTCCATAAGCAATCGCTGCCCCTCTCGGACAAGCAGACGCAGGGTCTTCCTCTCGTCCCTTTGCCGTCTTCTCTTGGCTGACCAGCGGGGTAGACTGAGCGCAAACACCAACCCTTCAAAAGACGCTGTTGAGAGCGTTCAGTCTTGGCCAGAGAGAGAGCAGCTTGCTCTGTGTCTCCGTACTCGGCCGTTGTGTTTGGTGAGTTGCTCCGCCTTGTGTCTCTCTGGAGCCTCTGGAGCCTACACAGCCTGTTGAGTCTGTCTCCTGTATTCCCTCCATCCCCTCTGTCTCCTCCACCACATCTACCCCCCTGTACGTCCCTTGTCAGAGTCCAGAAGCAGAAATCACATTCGACTTCTGCAGGACACAGCCAGGCAGGAGATACTGGTCGATGCTCTCAGCCAGGCTTACAAGCAAGATCCTGCCGCTCCTTGTCGCGGTCCTCAGCGCTGGCTTGTACGTCCTGTCCATCAGCAATCATGGCCCGACTTCTGTCTACGCCTTGTTGGAAAGCTGCCTGCTGAGGTTGGTTCTTTTCATAGCCACCCACTCTCTCAGCGGTCCATGCGGACAAAACAACCGCTTGCTTACACCTCCTCTTCGAAACATTACCCCATGTGGCTTTGATCTGCTTCCTCACAAGGCATCAATATGGATGTCAGTGACTGGGGCTCGGCCTGGCTTGTGCCACGTATTCTTGCGCATTGATTTCTCTGTCTAGTCTCGCTGCTCTGCCGAAATCGTTCAGTTGCCTTGCTTGTTTCTTTCTTTGGTATACAGACTAACTCTGATATAGGTCTGGCTGGAAGGGGCGTCTTTACCCGCAAGACTTCAATATGCCTTCTCAAAAGCTAAAGCCCAGCTTCCGCAAGGTGCAAACCTTCAAGACCGATTATGCGCCCTGCACAATCACCCAATATGTCTCCGAAAGGAGTGGCATGCAGGTGGTAGTTGCTGACCGCAAGGGACCAAAGATCAATGGCTACTTCACCCTAGCTACTGAAATCTTTGACGATTCCGGAGCCCCCCATACGCTCGAGCATCTGGTTTTCATGGGCTCCAAATCTTACCGGTGGAAAGGTCTTTTGGACAAGCTGTCGTCCCGCGCATACTCCGGTACGAATGCCTGGACTGCCACCGATCATACAGCTTATACTCTTGAGACGGCGGGCTGGGAGGGTTTTGCCCAGATCCTTCCCGTCTACCTGGAGCATGTGATTCTTCCTACGATTACCGATGAGGCCGTTGTCACCGAGGTCTGGCACATTGATGGCGAGGGCAATGATGCAGGCGTCGTGTACTCGGAGATGCAGGGTACAGAGAACCGCAGCGCCGAACGCATGGACCTAACGGCTCGCCGACTCTTCTACCCGGAAAACGTCGGGTTCCGGTACGAAACGGGTGGCAAGACGGAAGCGCTGCGAGTCCTCACCCCTGAACGCATTCGCCAATTCCATCGGGACATGTACCAGCCGCGCAACTTGTGTGTTGTCATTGTCGGCGAGGCGGATCATGAGAATCTTCTGGAAATCCTGGATTCGTTTGAAGAGAGCATCAAGGACGATATCCCTTCTCTCGACACTCCTTTCAAGAGGCCTTGGGTAGACTCGGCCCAGCCGCCTCTGCTTCAAGAGACCATTGTCACGACGGAAGAATTTCCGGAGGAAGACGAATCCGTGGGTGAAATTCTCATTGGATTTTTCGGCCCTCACTGCAGCGACGTTCTTGCTACATCGGCTCTCAACATCCTTCTGACCTATCTTTGTGGATCGTCTGTTTCCGTGTTGGAGAATACCCTTGTGGAACGGGAGGAGCTTGCCAGCTCTGTTTCGTACTGGTGGGAGTCCAGACCGAACTCGCTCATTTGGCTGCAGCCTACCGGCGTGGCGACTGAAAAGCTGGAATTTGTGGAGAAGCGTCTTTTCGAAGTCCTCAAGGATGTCGTGTCAAAGCCCCTGGATATGGATTACATGAGAGAATGCATCCGAAGAGAGAAGCGGCAGGTCAAGTATCATGCCGAGACGTCGGAGTCTTTCTACGCTACCAACATCATAACCGACTACCTGTTCGGCAAGCGTGATGGCTCAACGCTCAGGGAACTGGAAACCTTGGCGGAGTACGAGGTCCTTGAGAAGTGGTCGGATGAGGAGTGGCGAGAGTTTATGCGTAACTGGATGGCTGATGCCCACCACATCTCCGTCTTGGGTAAACCGTCTCTGGAGCTCGCTCTCAAGTTGAAGAAGGACCATGAAGCTCGCATCGCCGAGCGCAAGGAGAAACTTGGGCCAGAGGGGCTGAAGAAGCTAGCGCAAAAGCTCGAGGAGGCCAAGAAGAAGAACGATGCGCCCATCCCACCGGATGTTATCGATCGCTGGGCGGTTCCTGGCACAGAGTCGATTCACTTCATCGAATCCGATACTGCTCGCTCCGGTAATGCCAAGTCTGTTGGTCTGGGCGCCGGGCGTGCCCAGAAGCTCATCAATGCCGCCTCTGATGGCAAGCGGCCTCTTTTCATACAATTCGAAGACGTCCCCACAAACTTTGTCCACATCACCCTGCATGTTGGCACGTCTCAGGTTCCCGTCCACTTGAAGCCCCTCTTGTCAATCTTCAGCGACAACTTCTTCAACACGCACATCGTGCGAGATGGACAGCAGATCAACTTTGAGCAGGTCGTCATGGAGCTCGAGAGAGACAGCGTCGGCTACGATATTGGAAGTTCCCGCCAGCTTGGTGACGGCGAAGGGTACATGATTCAATTCCAGGCGGAGCCAGACAAGTATGATGCAGCCGTGAACTGGCTTCGTACTATGATGTTCGACTCCGTCTTTGACCCCATCCGAATCAAGGCCGCTGTTATGAAAGCCCTGGCCGACATCCCCGAATCGAAGCGCGATGGGCGCAGCATGTCCACTGAAGTTGACACCGCCGTACACCTGGAACGCTCTTCCCTTTCGGTTGCTCGGCGAGTTCTCGTCAAGGCAGTGTACTTGAAGCGTCTCAAGAAGCTCCTCAAGAAGAATCCGGACCAGGTCGTGCAATGGTTCCAAGATATCCGCAACTCCCTCTTCACCTTTGAGAATGTAAGAGTCCTCGTCACGGCCAACTTGGAAAAGCTCCCCAACCCCATCGCTACCTGGGATCCGCTCTCCACGGCACTCAAGTCGCAAAACGGGCCCATGGCGCCTATCCCCAAGCCATCCAGTCTTCTGAACGCCGAAGGAAAGGCACCCGGCTCCGTCGGTGCCACCATCATCCCAATGACGGCTCTCGACAGCTCCTTCTCCGTGAGCACCGCCGCTGGTCTCTATTCGTTTTCTGATCCCATGCTGCCCGCCATCATGGTGGCCATCGGATACCTCGAGACTGTGGAGGGACCTCTGTGGAATGCCGTTCGGGGCGCCGGCTACGCCTACGGAACCTTCTTCTCGCGCAACATCGAGAGCGGCGTCATCTCCTACAAGGTGTACCGCTCCCCAGACGCCTCCAAGGCAATCATCGCCTCGCGGGACGCCATCCAGAAAATCGCCAACGCGGAGGTGCCCATCGACAAGCACCTCCTCGAGGGCACCATCAGCCAGATTGTGGTCTCGTTCGCAGACGAACAGTCCACCATGCCCAGCGCCGCGCAGCAGAACTTTGTCCAGAGCGTCTTCAAGGAGCTGCCCAAGGACTGGAGCAAGGTGATTCTGAAGCGCGTGCGAGAGGTCACCGAGGACGAGATCCGACAGGCGCTCAAGGACTACATCATGCCTTGCTTCGAGCCGGGGAAGAGCAATGTGGTGATTACGTGCGCTAAGACTATGCAGGAGGTATGCATCCCCTTACTTCCAACCCTTTTTCATTCTGCAATTCTCGTGTGACGTGCTGACATTTCCCTTGTAGGGCATGGAGACTGCGTTCAAGGGGGTGGGCTACAAGGTCCAGACCCATGAACTGAGCCACTTCCACGATGACTACGGTCTGGATGCCGGCGATGATGACGAGGAAGAAGATGAAGACGAAGATGACGAGGATGAGGACGAGGATGAATATGACGATGAAGAGGGAAGCGAAGAGGACGAGGATGATGACGACGAGGACTAGGTGGACACAATGTTCCAGCTCGGTCACCCATAGGTAGTGTAGTAAGGAGACACGTAAGGTTTATATAGAGAGTAACATAGGCAACTAAACCATGTTGCGATATGGTAAGAATCACATTTGCACGTAAAGGAATCTAATCGTTTCACAATTCATGTCTTATTCACTCTAAAGTTTGTTTCGTTGAAGAACAAGAACTGCGCTCTTTCTTTATCCTTGTACATCATCTTCACAACTCGTCGCGCCCACTGGCCTTGACGACGCCCTCCTGCTCCTTGTCCTTCTCGCTGGTAACAGCCTGCTCGCCCTTCCAATCGAGGGCCTTGAGGCGCTCCGAAAGATGAGGGTGCGAGAAGTGGTAGCTCGCGTACATCCAGTCGGCGTCCATGGAGCTGAGGTTCTGCACGTGCAGCTTGATGAGCGACGTGGCCAGCTCGGCGCGCATGCCCAGGCTGTTGGCGAAGGCGTCGGCCTGGAACTCGAAGGTGCGGGAGACGATGTGCAGGAGGAACTGGATGACGGTGTCCATGGGAGACAGGGCGTCGGAGAAGAGGAGGAAGCCGATGATGATGGGGCGCTCGTTGTGGAAGCCGAACGAGGAGTACAGGGAGCGGTTGTTGATGAAGACGGAGAAGAGGCTGAAGATGTAGAGCAGGTGGGCCTGAGCAGTGGTGAGGTCAGTGGCAGTTGTTCAGCGGACATTTTACGGAGAGGGAAGTGGGAAAGCGAAATCGTACCTGAGAGATGCCAAAGAGGCTGGTAGTGTGACCCAGTTTCCAGTGGCCGAGCTCGTGAGCCAGGATAGCAAGGACCTCCTCCGGCTCAGACTTTTCCAAGAGGGTATCGTAGATGACAATGTGCTTCTTCCAGGGGAGGCCGTAGAAGAAGGCGTTGGAGTGAGCGCTGCGCTTGCTACCATCAATGACATACAGCTCGTGCAGGGGGAACTTGAAGCGGGCCGCCAGCTCGTTGACCTTGGTCTTGAGCTCGCCGTCCTCGAGGGGGGAGAGCTTGTTGAAGAGGGGCTGGATGAAGGTGGGGTAGAGGGTAGTCATGAGAAGCTGGATGCCGGCAGTGAAGACCCATGTGTAGAAGACGAACTGCGAGCCCGTCTTCTGGATGATCTTGAGGAAGCCGGCGAGGATCGGGGGCATGAGGACGGCCGTGAGCAGGTTGGTCTTGACCATGTCGGAGACGAAGAGGCCGGGCGTCTGCTTGTTGAAGCCAAACTTTTCTTCCAGGACAAAGGTGCTGTAGATGCGGGTGGGCAGGCTGAGCCCCTGCTGGATGAGCATGAAGGCGAAGACGAAGGCGATGGAGTGCGAGATCTCGCCCGTGAAGCGCGCGGGCGCGTACTTGAGCAGCAGGTCGCCGGTCCAGGACCAGAGCTTGGGCATGACGTCGAGCTGGATGAAGGCGAAGTTGGCAACCTGGCCCCAGAGGCCGCTGACGACGGAGAACTGGGCCTTGGCGCGGCCGTAGGCTTGCGACTTGTCAAACGTCTCCTGGGAGACTTCCTTGGCGAGGACGGCGGGCGGCTTGGGCGACTGGAGGACACGGTACTGGCGGAAGGTGAGGACGGACTCGAAGAGGAACTGGCCCACGGAGAAGCCCAGGATGAGGCGCTTCCATGGGAACAGCGGGCGGTCGAGGAACTGCGACAGGCGCTGCGGGGGAGGAGATGCATGATTAGCTTCAGGCTGTACAGTAGAGATGGATGGCAGCTCAGGGAATCTTTGGTGTTGCTTATATCGGAAGGGGAGATGGGAAATAGTAGATGGACGCAGCTGCGAGATGCTCAACCAATGCCAATGGCATCATCGTAGCAGCTTACCTGTAGGAAGTCCATGATGGCTGTATTCTGATGCCTTCAGGACATCAACAGCTCAATCGGACCGTTACTGAGTGTAGAGGCTGAAGATGGATGAAGAATCAGCCTTCTCCAATGAATGTAGTAGTAATACTACTACCAGAGTGGGAGGCCAGGGTGTCAGCTAAAGGCAAGGCACCGCGTTGCTGAGCTAATAATGCATTCCCCAGAGCGGCTCGGAAGGCTCCCCGGTAATAATGCCCTGGAAAAGGTACATACATATGTAGATAGTAGGTACCTTACCCAAGCTTCCAAGTTCTTGCCACCAGAGGCCTGCTGCAAAAAAGTACCTCGAATGACGATTCTGACTCGTCAAAAAAGGTGTTTTCTTACTGCAAGATCAGGTCGATATCATTTACAGCATAGTCGGCGTGTCAGCGCCTGTTGGACGTCACTGCAGCGGTTGCTTTAAGGCCGTCCCAAGGTTGGCGTCTGCGCTACGAGATGAGGCACCGCCCTCTGTTACGTGCCCCGATAAGGTACCTTGAAATGTGCCGGCGAGGTACTGCCTCGTACCCCTCCCTGCTGCTGCTTCTGCCCTCTCCCCCACCGCAGCAGCAGCCGGTACCTGCGCAGTACATACCTCAATTACGACTCTCCATGCTAGGCGTTTTCGAGTTGTTAGGGCAATGTGTTTGGGTCGAGAGACAGAAACCCTCTCCTACTACTAGGTATGTAGGTCTCTTTTCTTACTAAGTCGTGGTCCACAAGGTGTCCAAGCATGACTATCACGACAAGTAATACTTAGACGGCTGGAGCACGCGACGGGGCAACGGCCGTGTCCTCACTCCTAGCAACGGCCCAGCCCCGAGGTCCAGAAGAGTCGCTGAAGGAAAAATCAATATGATACTAGGTAAGACAGCGTCAAGGAATATAGCTACACTATTAAACAAACATACACTGGGATGCGCTATATCATCGCTGCCAGACAAGAGGCCACGCCCGTTGCGACGCATCAAGCTCGGTTGTTGCGCCTTATGCGTTTGACCAGCTCCCAGAAGATTGGGGTGCGTTCGTCTGGGGGCACCTGGACAAAGTCCGGCCGAGTAAGCCCGGGAGGCAGAACCCTATCTAGACACATGTTAAGCAGTATGGGCAGACATGGTTCGTCTTTCAGCAGCTCCAGCAGCCGTGGCAGCGTCTGATCCAGCGGCACGTGCTCCAGCCTGAACTCCCTTTGTATCGCCTCCGGAGGCGCGCCCGTAGCCAGACACTCAAGAGCGTATTCCTAATGCCCATTCGTAGCTGGCTGAGGCGGGCGTTCCGGACCGTATGGTACTGGGGCGCTCTGCTCGCTCGGCTGAGGCTCCTCCTCGGTGTCGTCGTCGAACTCGCTAAGTCCTTCTTCCTCACCCTCCTCGTCCGAGTATTCGCTGTCCTCGCCTTGGCCCTCGGCCTGGCCCTCGACCACTGCCGCCCCTTGGCTCTCCGGATAGCACGCCTCCACTGTGCTGGCGGCGGCAGGAGGAACTTTGCGCCCTTGTTGTTGCATCTGCTGGATGATACTCATGAGCTTCTCGTTCTTCTTCTCCGCGGCCTCGATTTTCCTCTTCCACTCTTGCCGCTCTTCCGCCATGTGGATAATGTTGGCCGTGGTCGCCTCCTTTTGTCTCTTGAGCGCCTCGTTCTCCTTCTCTAAGCGCTTGCCCTTCTTCGACATATCCTCCATCTCTTTTCGGAAAGAGAGAAACAGGTCGTTGCTGTTGTTTAATGTGTCCTCTACCTATGCACTTAAGCGTTAGGAGATGGATTACCAAACGCATCGGTGTGCACACCGCATCACATACCTGCTTAAACTTGTCCACGTAAACATTGAGCTGGTTCCTCAGCTCCGTTTCCGTCTTGGTGAAGGCGTGAACTTGGGCTTGTAGGTGGCGCGCTTTGGTCGCTTCTGCCTCGGCATTCTTCTTTTCCCTGTCGTGGCGAGACAGGTGGTACTGGACCTCCAATTCCTTCGTCCTCATAAGAGAATGGAAGTGAAGTTCGCGCAGCTCGTACTGTTCGATAAAGGACTTGAAGCGGACTCGGAACCTAGTAATTTGGTCAGACGCCGTACTCTCGTAGGAAGTATTGAAAAGCGATGTGCGGGGGAGCGGGCAGGCATACAGTTCGTCCATCTCCATATCGACCACTTGTTTCTTCGGGGTGTCTTTTTCTTCCTGGTACCCTTCCAATTTGGATAATAAGCTCGCAAACTTTTCGTCCCATGCCGTATTATTCCGCTTCTGTGTGCTTTGGAGTTCTTTATTCTCATTCTAGGACCCCAAAGTCAGTGGACACGTCAGACCAAGGTCTCATACGGCTGATTTGTTGGGCTGACCTTCATCTTGTTGTTGTCCCTCTGTAATTCTCGGCACAACTTTTCAAGCTTCTCCTTGAGCCCTACCGTCTTGCTGAGTTCCGTACGGCTTGCATCTCGCTCTTTCTGTAGGGCGTCTCCGCGTTTCTTGTTTTTCTGGTTTTCCCTTTCCAGGCGTCGCATGTCGGCTAGCAGTTCGCTGGAGCGCTTCATGAGGTGTTCGATCTTCTGCATATCGTCCATCTTCGATACTTGCTGCAAAAGATCTCGATTGGCGCGCTTGACCTCTCTTTCTGTGACACACATATGAGCATTCATCCACCTCGGACGTCGTAGATGGCGCAGCTGGCTCGAGCGGTCCCCTCATCGCGAAATTGACTTTGAACGCACCTATTTCCATCTCTTGGTCTTTCTCTCCAGCAGCATCCTGCTCCAGCTGCGAGATGCGTGCCTGGAGCAGGCGCGAAGCTTCGGTCGAATCCATCCCTCGCTTTCCCTTGGCTTTCTTTCCAGCGGGCGATGCGTGAACATGCGATTCGTGGCCATTCGTCAAGGCCGCCTCCACGTGGGTTGCTGGCATGGCTCCAGAGGTGCGTCAAGGCGGAGAGTGTCGGTAGGGCACGAGTCGCATCAAGGGCCAGATCACATTGACGGATGAATCACGGGTACACGGTGGAGCGCTCGTCCAACGACGGACTCGCCCGTACGTCCTCGATATAGCTGCAATGAATCGATATGGGGTGCTAAGCGGCGTTCGGCCTGCAGACTCTGGCGGGCAACGGCTTCGGCGGGAAGTCGAGCGGGAATGGTCGTCAAAATCGTTCGCCGTCCGTCTGGGCGGCTGGCCGGGGTGCTGGACAATGCAGTAGGCGATGCTGGTGCTTACGAGACGGCGCCGGGTCGCGAATTGAGGGCCGGGCCGGACGGGGTGAGGCGTCGTTGCGATCCTGAGGTGCCTGGACTCGCCGCAGCCCGTCGATGAAAAGTATGCGTAGGTCTGGAGGCGTGACCAGGCGGGTGGTAATTCGTAGAATTCTAATAGTGCGATGATGCGGCGTGCAGGTTGCAATTTGTTAGTGCCTCAGGGATTAGGTCAGCAGCCAATATGGTGGGGTTGTTAGTGCACTATCTAGTAGCAGCCGAGTGGCCGGAAGACCTTGGCGAAGACATCACTGGCCGCCCTGACTAAGCAGCGGCTGGTGGCGGGCTGCGACCCGGGAATTTTCTCGAGGGACAGGCAGAGCAACTCGGGAGTATCACGGTCCTCGTCATCCATCAATTCGCGTTTTCTTCTGCTGTTTTTGTCTCTCTCTCTCTCTCTCTCTCCCCCTTTCTCTCTCTCTCTTGAACTTGCATGAGTTGATACTAGATTCTGCGCAGCTCTCATGTATAATTAGAGTCTTTCTCTTTCTTCTCCCCCCTCTCTTATAGATCGATCGATCGTTGTCGCTCTCACCATGTTGCGCAACGCAGCCAATACGGCTCGCAAGACCGTCACGGATCTCGCGCTGTATCCGAAGCCCGGGTCCAAGCTGCATGGCTTCACCCTCATCCGAGCAAAGCACGTCCCGGAGCTGGAGTTGACGGCACTGCAGCTGCAGCACGACAAGACCGGCGCCGACTATCTGCATATTGCGCGTGATGACACCAACAATGTCTTCTCCATCGGCTTCAAGACGAATCCCCCCGATGATACCGGCGTTCCCCACATTCTGGAGCATACCACTCTTTGCGGCAGCGAGAAGTACGGATGCCCTTCCAGCAGTCGCCGAGATATAGACTGACTGACAACATCTTAGGTATCCTATTCGCGACCCATTCTTCAAGATGCTCCCTCGGACGCTCTCCAACTTCATGAATGCAATGACGGCTTCAGATCATACCTTTTATCCCTTCGCAACCACGAACGAGCAGGACTTCAAGAACCTCATGTCCGTGTACCTCGACGCCACACTTCATCCCTTGTTAAAGCAATCCGACTTTCTCCAGGAAGGGTGGCGAATTGGACCCGAGAATCCATCGGCTGAAGACGCAGAGGGCAAAAGGCTCGTTTTCAAGGGCGTCGTGTACAACGAGATGAAGGGGCAGATGTCGGATGCAGGATACCTTTACTACATTCGATTTCACGATCACATCTTCCCCGATATCAACAACTCTGGCGGCGATCCTCAGAAAATCACGGACCTTACCTACGAGCAACTCAAGAACTTCCATGCTGAAAACTACCATCCGAGCAACGCCAAGCTGTTCACCTACGGAGACATGCCTCTGGCCGACCACCTGCGAGAGGTTGACGCCAGGCTTCAGGCATTTGAGAAGATTGCCAAGGACAAGGTCATCCACTTGCCCATCGAGCTGAATGGCCCCAAGGAAGTCACCCTCCATGGGCCGTTGGATCCATTGGTTGCTCCGGACCGACAATACAAGACGTCAGTGTCTTGGATAACAGGTGACACTACGGATGTAGTGGAGTCGTTCTCCGTATCACTGCTTTCTACACTGTTGATGGATGGCTACGGTTCGCCGTTGTACCGTGGCTTGATTGAGGCTGGCATGGGCGCCGACTGGAGCCCCAACGCAGGCTACGACAGCTATGCGAAGCGTGGCATCTTCTCAATCGGCCTCACTGGCGTTCAAGAGTCCGATGTTCCCAAGGTCAAGGGCAAGATTCAAGAGATCCTGCGCGAAGTGAGGGATAAAGGCTTCGACCAGGGCAAGATTGATGGCACGCTGCACCAGCTGGAGCTTTCCCTCAAGCACAAGACGGCCAACTTTGGTTATTCTATGCTCAACAGACTGAAGCCGAAGTGGTTTAATGGCAGCGATCCCTTCAACCAATTGGCCTGGAATGACACCATTGCTGGTTTCCAGGCCAAGATGGCCGAGGGCGGTTACCTTGAAGGCCTGATGGACAAATACCTGCTCAACGACAACACCTTGACTTTCACTATGGCACCGTCAGCAACTTTCGGCGAGGATCTGATTGCTGAGGAACAGGCGCGACTATCTTCCAAAATCCAGGACGCCGTGAAGAAGGCCGGTGACGAGGAGGCTGCTCGCCTGCAGTTCGAGAAGCAGGAGCAGGACCTGCTGGTGGAGCAAAACAAGACGAATACCGAAGACCTGAGCTGCCTGCCAACTGTCCATGTCAAGGACATTCCGAGATCAATCGAGCCGACGGTAGTGCGAGACGAATTTGCGGATGGTATCCCGATCCAATGGCGAGAGGCGCCGACCAATGGCCTCACTTACTTCCGCGCCATCAACACGCTGGAAGGTCTGCCCGATGATCTTCGAGAGCTTATTCCCCTGTTTACGGACAGCATTATGCGTCTTGGCACAAGAGACATGACGATGGAGCAGCTCGAGGATCTCATCAAGCTCAAGACGGGCGGCGTTTCTGTCGGCTATCATTCCACGGCTTCGCCCACGGACTTTACGCAGTCGAGCGAAGGCATTATCTTTACTGGCATGGCACTTGACAGGAACGTACCGGTCATGTACGACATTCTGCGCAAGTTGGTGCAGGAGACCGACTTCGACAGCCCGGAGGCCTCGCTACGGATTCGACAGCTGCTGCAAGCTTCAGCCGACGGTGTTGTCAACGACATCGCCTCATCCGGACATCGATTTGCGATGGGTCACGCCGAGTCGAGCCTGACCCGCAGCGCTTGGCTACGGCAGCAGGTGGCTGGCTTATCACAGGTTAAGCTGGTCACCTCGTTGACGAGCAGGCCTGAATCCGATCAGCTGGAGGATGTCATTGGCAAGCTCAAGCGGATCCAAGAGTTCGCCCTGACCCGAGGCAAGATGCGCACTGCCCTTACGTGCGGCACCGAGCACGTGGAAGAGAACCTGAACTCGCTGAAGAGCTTTACGGGGGCGCTGCCTCGAGAGGCATCAGGGATGCCGCACACCAGCCCGTCACCCCTCCCGAAAGATAGCAAGGCCTTCTTCCCTCTGCCATATCAAGTCTACTACGGAGGCCTCTCTGTCTCCACAACATCCTATACGTCACCCGAAGGTGCGCCGCTGCAGATTCTTGCACAGCTGTTAACACATAAGCACCTTCACCACGAAATTCGAGAGAAGGGTGGTGCGTATGGCGGTGGAGCTTATTCAAAGGCCCTGGATGGCCTCTTTGGATTCTATTCGTATCGCGACCCTAACCCACAAAACACGCTGGGCATCATGCGCAATGCTGGCCGGTGGGCAGTGGAGAAGCAATGGAGCGATCGCGACCTGGAGGAAGCCAAGATTTCCGTTTTCCAGGGAGTCGACGCTCCGAAGTCGGTGAACCAAGAGGGCATGGCGAGGTTCTTGTCCGGTATCACAGAGGAGATGAAGCAGAGGAAGAGAGAGCAGTTGTTGGACGTGACGAAAGACCAAGTCAGAGACGTGGCACAAAAGTACCTTGTTGATGCTATCGAAAGGGGAGAGGAGCGCACAACCTTTTTGGGAGAAAAGCAGGGCTGGGTTGACGGAACCTGGACCGTCCATGAGATGAACGTCAACGGCTCTCAGGAGTAAGGCGGCAGGCCTAGCACACCAAAGTGTACGAGTACAATGGGGAAAACGGGCGTCAATAGCAGGGCTACGGCATAGGTACGTTGTGATGATATGGATGTATTTACGACACAAGATGTACATTATACATAGAAAGATTTCTTCTCTCTCCCGAGGGTACATTGATCGGACTGGGGTATTTTCTTTTTTCCTTCATTTTCTCTTCTTCTTTATTTTGCTGCACAGACGCGTTCAGGTACGATACATCTTCTTGCCGAGTCCGGTTTCGACCGACTCACTTTCCCCCATGGCATGGAGATCACAGAGCAACGCAAGAGCAAAATCACGCACGCCATCACTCATGTACGCTTGACGGCCTTATGTCTCTGCAACTCGCACTTCGGGCCCGTGCTGCGTTGCGCAAGCAACAAGCACTGGATCTTCCTCGAAGAGAGGGGAAACAGAGAGTCGGACGTGGAGTGACGTGAATGAGATGGGAGTAGCAGGTCGTTCTATCAGAGCCAGAGCCCCTGAGCTTTGGGTTCCTGGACTAAAGAGCTGAGCACATTTGCAAAGAAGTAGTAGATAGTATTGACTGATATGTTGTCTGGAGGTGAGTGATGGGGAAGGGGGGCTGTGTTGAGTAGCGCATGTGAGGTATTTGTTATACTAGTAGTCTTTGTTAATAGAGGCTTGTTTGCCCGGAGGTGCTTCTCCTTATATTACCACTACTAGGGGGGTCTTAAAAACAACCTGCGTTTCCTAACCTAGCTCTACTAGGTCAGGGGGGACGCTAAATAGTAAAAAGACTATTAATTTATAAAAAAATTAGATATATAATTTATAGTATAGTCTTTATAAAAATAAAGGTACTTTAGTTTAAATTTATATCTCTTTTAATTTAAAAAGTTATTTTACTAAAGTTATAATAAAGTAAGAAAACACACTTTATATATAATACTAATACGCTTAATTTTATAATTATAATAATGCCTATATATAAGCCTTATTTTCTTTTTTTAATAATACTATTAAACTTTTATTATTTTTAATTATTTTTATAATAATAGATTTTTTAAAAGCTGCTAATTTTACTATATTATAATAAATTAATCTTAATATTAGCAGGCCTATCTTTTAGTAATATAATACTAAGAATCTTAAGCGCTAAACTATTATAATAGCTAAGCTATATTAAAAGGGCTATTATAAGTTTATTATATTAGCAGCCTAAGCCCTTAAAGTTCTTTATTTTTAAGTTTATAATTAAATTTAAGAATATTATTTAAAGTCTTTTAATAGCAGTAACTATATATTATTATAATAAAAAAAAAAAAGAGAGATTTTTATTTAAGTATATTACTATATTACTTAAGGGTATTATATTTAACTTTATGCTTTTTAGTATTATACTAATATAATTCTTATAGCTAAAGGCAAGACTATAATTATTTTATACTCTTAAGTAAAGAGATTTATATACTATATAAAAAGACACTTTTATATTTATAAATTAATATCTTATAATACTAAATATAAGGCTATATAAAACTAAAGTATAGTTAAGTCTTTTTATTATACCTAGTATAATTTTTTAATAAAATATAAGGTTAAGAAGAGAAATATATAGAATTTTAATAAAACTAGCTTTATAATAAGCTATTTTTTTATTAAAATCCTCTTATAGACTTTTATCTTAATTAAGAACCTAACTTTAACTAATTCTTATAATACTATTTTTATAACTATTATAAAAGTAATCTTAGCTAATAGCTATATTATTCTTTTATTTATAATCTTTTTTAAAGTCTAGCTTTTTAAAAAATAATTTAAAAATAGCCTTAAAAGTAGTATAATTTTAGCTATAAGTCTAAAAGGCTATATTATAAATATTATAGCTTTAAAATAGCTTTAATACTTTAAGAAATATATAAAGCCTTAAGACCTTAAGGAAATAAAAGTCTTATTTATAAATAAATATAAAAATTACTATATTAATAAGTTTATTTATTTTATAAAGTAGTATAAGATTAAGCTCTTCTCTTTATTATTATATCTTACTTATTATTTTTAACCTTTTAATATTAGTGCTTTTTAATTTTATAAGTATTAGTATTAAGAAATCTTATATTATAAAGTTATTAATAGTATTATAAACTTTAAGAAAACTAACTTCTTTTATTATCTTTAAGAAATTTATAATTAAATATTTAAAAAATATATAATACTCTTAGTATAAAAGAAAATAGGTCTTTTCTTATATAACTTAGTAATTATCTTAAACTAGCTTTAAAATACCCTCTCTTCCTTAATAAAAACTATTAGTAAGTAAGATATTACTAGCTATATTAATCCTAATAGTGCCTTAGGCTTATTATAGCTATTATTATTAAAAAGCTTATTAAAAAGCTTATTAAAAAGCTTATTAAAAAGCTTATTAAAAGCTTTATTAAACTAAGCCTTATCTTATTAAAAAGAAAAGAAAAAGAGTAAGGCTATAATACTGCAGATATTAGTAGTATTATACTTTAATTAAAAGACTGCCTTAATATTAAACCTTTATATTTATATAATTAATTAGTATTATAAATATATTTAGTATTAGCTTAAGGTATTTATTATTTTAAAAGTACTATTAACTCCTTTTATATCTTATATTTTTAAAAAAGCTAAAAAGGCCTTATATACTTTTATATTAAATAATATAATAGTAATAGCTAAAATAAAAAGTTTAAAAGAAAAGAATATTAAGAGATTAAGCCTTTTTTAAGGGATATTAATTATAGTAAAATTTAGCTTTTTATTTATTAATAATACTAGAATTTAGCTTATTAAAAATAATTATAATAAACAGGCAGTATAAAAAAAAGAGGTAGTATAAATTTATAATAAAAAAGCTTATAATAAAGTTCCTTTCCTTTATTATTAGTTAAAAAAGGTTAGATTACTACTATAAGCTAGTATTATAATCCTATACCTTATAAATAACCTCCTTCCTAGCTATATAATATTAATTAAAGGCAGACTATTATATATTACTAAATAATAATAAGTAAATTTCCTATTATTATTACTTTTATTATAAGCTTTATATTATAAAGTAGTTATTAAGTAAGTATTAAAAAGTATATTAACTCTTACTTAAGGTATGCTATTAAAAGGCAAGTAAAAGCCCTTATATATTAAAAGGAAAGGGGGTAAAGGCAGGGCTAAGCCTTTATAGCCTAGCATACTTATATATCTTACAGGCACTATTATAATAATTATCCTCCCCTTTTAAAGCAGTATCTTTATTACTAAAATAACTTTTTCTCTTTAATAAATCTATAATATAACTTTTTATAAATAACTCTAGTAATATATATAAGCCTTATATATATAATAGCTTAATAAAAATCTATTTTTTCTTTATTATTATATATATTATTATTTAGTCTTATATTTTTTAAATTTCTTATATCTTTTTTTTATACCCTTTTTTTAATAATACTTTTATACCTTTCTTTTAATACTTTCCTTAGCCTTTTATAAGATAATATAGCTTGCTAATTAACCTGCTTAACTAATAGTATCTTTTAAATAATCTGCTTTATAAGTAGCTTTATAAAATAGGAGAAGTATATAATATTTTTACTAAGTATAAAGGTAATATAAGACTTTCCTTATTATTTTAAACCTAGCTAACTTAGTATATATTTAGCTAAAATAAGTGCTTTTACCTTTATATTTTAATAAGATAATACTATTAATAAAGCTAGTAATAAAAATAGTATCTCTTTTACTTTTAAAAATACCCTTACTTATTATAAAAAGTATATTTAAGTATTAAAGGCAGTTATTTACTAAATATATATTATAAAGGCTATTAATAAGCAGTTATATAAGATTAAGGTATATTAAAAGTATATAAAGCCTTTTAGTATTAATTACTTATAATATATAAAATGCTTTTAAGCTATTATTAAAGACTATAGTAAAGACCTAGCTATAAAACTGCTTATATATAATAATAAGAAATTTATTAAATATATTTTTAATTTAGCTAACTTTATTTATTATTATTATTATAACTAGGTAAATGCTTTTTATTATTTATAAGTTTTTTAAACCTTTTATAAATATATCTAGTATAAAGCTTAAAAAGTATAAGCTAGCTATTATACTAGTTAAAAATATACTTAATTATATTAAAATTCTATATTATCTTTTAGTTTAATATAATAAAGTAGCTAATTTTAAAAAGAATAAGAATAAGAATTTTAAAGTAAAACTCCTTTTTTTAAAAATAAATTATAAAGCTATTATATACTTAAGCTATAATTTATATATTACTTTTAATAGTATTAAGACCTAGTACTGCTTTAACTATAGTCTTATAAATAGTAAAATTAATAAGAATATTTATACTGCTTATTACTTACTTATAGCTAAATATAAAACCTTTTTATTTTACTAATTTACTTATTTTTTATTATATTATTAAAATAAGGTAAGTTTTTTATAAATTTATAAAGATATTATTAAGCTAATGCCTTTTAAGAATTTAATAAGGAATTTACTAATTATATTTAAAAAGCTTAAGATATATAATAATATAATATATAACCTTACTTACTCTTTATTAATAAATATTATATAGGCTAGTAAGTAGTATTATTAGCTATATATAAAGGCTAATATAAGATTATAAATAATATAAAAGAGCTATTACTTTTCCTTATTTAATAAGCCTTACTTTTAAACTAGCTTATTAAGGCCTAGGACTAGTACTAATTAGTTATTAAAAGGATATTATAGGTATTTTTATATATTTTTAAGGTAGTTATTTTTAAAATTACCTTAAGTAATTAATAATAAAAAATAGGAATTTTATATTATATTACTTTTTTATTAAGTATTTTTATTATTAGGGTTTTTATTAATCTTTTACTTATAACTTTTTTATTTTTTATTTAACTTTTATCTTAGCTTACTGATACTTTTTAATAAGCCTTATAGTATTTCTTATATCTTTTTTAACTACTTATTAATTATATTTTAAAAGCTACTCTTTTTACTTAACTAAGTAGTAGAGTTTATTATAAATAACTTTATTATTAAAAACCTCTTTAACTTCTTATTCTTTATTATCCTTTTTAAAAGGAGGTATTAATAAAGTCTTCTTATCTTTTTAAAGGTTTTTTATTTATAGCTTTAAAAGGCTTATATAAAATATATTATAAATATAGTTATATTATTTTAATAAAGCTAACTAATATGCCTAGGTTTTAATTTTCTTTAGAATTTAAAAAGGTTTAATAAACTTAAGTATTAGCTTCTTTTTCTCTCCTTTTAGCTTAAGGTTTTTTATTAATAATTTAACTAAATCCCTTTTTTTTAAGGTTAGCTTTTAATACTTTTTATTATACTAAATTACTATTCTTTTTATTATAATTTACTATTAGATTTTTAATTATTAATAAAGCTATATAAGTCTTTTTACTTTTACTTATATATTTAGTACCTTCTTTTTTATAATATTATCCTTAATATTTATATAAAAATCTATATTATATTTAAATACTGCCTTATATAGGCTTATCTTAGTTATTATATTCTTAGTATTATTATATACTTACTATATATTTTAAAAGAGATTTAGCTAGGTTATTTATTAGGTTTTTATAAAGTATTATAAATAATATTTTAATACCTAGTTTATTCTTTTAGTTTATTTATTAATTTATAAGTAAAAAGTAGTAAAAAGTTATTAATAAATCTTTAAGTAAAAGTATAATTTTAACTAGAATTTACTTATAAAAACACTTCCTTTATTTAATATAATTCCTTTAACTAGTTTATACTAAAGCTTTACTTTTTTATAAAAAAGTTTAACTAGTTATATAGTATTAATTATAATAAATATAAAAAAAAAAAGTATATATTTTAAGAATTAGTTTATAATTACTAAAATTATATTAATCTCTTCTCTTTTATATATTACTATTAAAAGACTTATAATAAAGTTTATACTAACTTCCTTTTAAAGGCAGTTAGAAATTAATAAGGATTTAAGCTTATTATAAGGCTAATGCTTATAAATTACATTCCTTTAATAAATCTAATATTTCTTAATATAAGCCTAGACCTTTTAATTTATTTTATACTATTAGAATTTTTATTTAAAAAGGGTTAATATTTACTCTTTATTAAAATCGCCTGCTAGTAGATTATTATAATATAGCTTTAAGAGTTTTTTATAAAGTAATATATCTTTAAGAATATATATTAGTCTTTTAAATTATAATATCTTTTAGTTTATATTCTAGTATTTATTACTTTTATATAGCTTTTTTTTTAAGATTTATATAATATGCTTTTTTACTTTTATATTTTATTTTTATACCTTTTTAATTTAGGCTAGTAAGTTATTAATAACTCTTATACTATATACCTTTTTAATATATATTATATTTTATAAAAAAGCAAGTTACTTATAATTAACTATTACCTTAGCCTAGTTAGCTAGTTTAAATAAGTTTATAACCTTTTCTTTTATATTTTTATTAGTTTAAGTCTTATCTTAAATAGCTATTATTATAAACTAAATATAAACTTTTATTATTATTATAAAATAAGACTTTAAGTTAAGTTTAAACTAGTCTTTTATTTAAGGGTTTTTTTTTATAAAGGCTTTTTATTATATACTTATAATTACCTTATTAAATTAAAAAGTAAATTAGTATTTAAAAGGGATTTTTTATAATAATTTACTTATTTTAAAAATATATTTATAAGGTTACTTTTCCTTATATAATGCTTAATTATAAAGTAAAATAGCATTAACTTTATATATTACTATACTTAATATTTATTTAGCTTTAGCTTTTTTATAAAAGACTAAAGGTTATTATAATTTAATAATACTTTTACTAAATTTAGTACTTTTTTAATATAGTATTACTAATATTTAAAAAACTTTATAATAGTAAATATCTCTTAATTTAAGGTATTATAGTTTTATTTTATTAATATAAACTTTTAAAATTAAAAGGCTATTAAATAGTATTATTTTTTATTATTAAGTTAAGATAAAATACTAGCTATTATATACTTTAATATATTAGTCTTAATATATATTAACTACTTAAAGTTAAAGTATTATAATAAAGGTACTTTATTAAACTTATCTTATAGTTAAAGAAATACAGCCTTTTTTTTAAGGTTTAATATTAAATTCTCTAGCTTCTTCTTATTCTTACTGCCCTTTAATAAAAAGGTTAAGAGTTAGGCTATATTTAAATAACCTTAAATAAACTAATAGTAAAAGTTATAAAACCTTAAAAAGACCTAGATCTTATAATAGCTTTATAGCTTAAGCTAGGTTTAAATTAACTTAACTTACTTTAAGTTTATAATAATCCTTTTTATAAATAAAATAAAGCTTAAGAATTTTATTTATTTCTTATAAAAAGAGTATTTAAAAGCTTTAGTATATAGCTATATATTTTAAAGCCTTTTAAGCACTTATTAAATATACTTTATATACTCTTTCTTAATTTTAAAAAAAATAAAAATATTATTTAAGTAAATTATATAAATAGTATTTACTAGTCTTTTTAATATATTATATATATAGTATTAAAAAGTAATAAAAGTATTTATAAGTTTTATAAGTATTATAAGGAATTTATAATAGCTATATTATATATAAAAAGCTATTTTTTATTCTTTTTCTTTTTTTATATAAATATAATAATATATATCTTATATATTAATTTTAAAAAAGAATTATACCTTATTATATTAATTAAGCAGTTTTAAAATAAAAGGTAAAAGGTAATAATTCTTTTTAATAATAATATTAAGACCTTAATAGTCTATATATAGCTAAAAGGATTTATCTTTTTTAAGGATAAAGAGGATTAAGGCTTTAGTAAGACTTTATAAAGGTTATATATAGCTAGCCTTTAAATTCTTATTTAAATACTTTTATAATACTTAAAGCTTTTAAAAAGAAAGGGGATAAATACTATTATAAAAGAGAGTAGTGCTTAAAAGTAAAGGAATCTTATACTTAATTACTTTATAAGTAAGAAAAGTATTAAATTACTTATTATTAAAGATATTCTTAAAGCCCTTTAATTTTTTAAAGATATTAAGTATTATTAAGTTATTTTTTATAACTAATTCTCTTTTAATATTAATCTTATATTTTTAAAAGGTTATTATAAAAATAAGGATATTTTTTTTTATAGCTTAAAGTAATTTTTAAAGCTAGATCTTTTAAACCTATTCTTTTATAATTTTAAACTACTACTTTTTAATTTATAATATATTAATATATTTATTAACTACTATAAGCATTTTTAATAAAATAAGGTTTTCTTTTATTCTTAAGTCTTTATTAATAATAATATATATTTATATAAATTTATAAATAATACTTTATATATTTATAATATAAAAAAGAACTTTTTATACTTTATAATTAAAAAGGCTTAACTTTATAATATTAATTAGTATAAGAAGGTAATTAATAAGTATTTATTATAGTCTTTAAGCCTAAGTAAAAGTAATATTAATAAGGTTTATAATTATATTATAATTTAAAATTATATAAGTATTAATAAGGTTTAATTTTTATATCTTTATTAATATTTAAAATTATTATTTTATTTATAACTTTATAAAAGTAATTAAGGTATAAGTAATTACCTTAACTACTTTTAGTTTTTTAACTTTCTTTTATCTTATTATAAGCACTGCTTAGTAAAATATATAAGGCTTTTATAAATAAAGCATTTTAAGCCTTTTTTAAAAAGGTTTTAGTTATTATTAATAAAGGTATAATTAAGGTTTACTTTATTTTTATTATATAGCTAAAGATATATAGTATAATTAAAATAGTATTATTTTAAGTTTATTAAGGTTATATTATTATTTTATTAGTCTTTTTATTTTTTTTTATAATTAAGCTTTAAGAAGTTTTAAAAATAGTTAGTTAAAGAAACTATCTTTTTTTTAATAATAGGGATATTTTTATAATATATCTTAATATAAGTTTATAATTTAAAATAAAGCTTAATATAAAAGTTAAAGGCTTACTGCTTTTTATTTTAAATTAAGAACTGTTTTTTAAAAAAGTTAAGATAGATATAAAACTCTTTTAAAAACTAGTTATTTTATTAATAAGTATTATTAAATAGTAAAATATAAAAAAAGTCTTAATAAGTAGTGTCTTTTAAAAGAATATTATTTTATTTCTTAAACTTATTTTAATTATACTTAAAATTAATAGCCTTTACTTTTTTTTTATTAAGGTATTATTTTTAATATATATAGTATTTACTATTTATATTATTTAGTATAAAAAAGATCTTTTTATTATTCTTATAGTATTTTTAAAAGGCTTTATTAAAGGCTTATTATAAATTACTTAGCTATTTATTATATATTTAAAAGTTAGCTTTAACCTAAAGTTATTAAATATACTTAACTTTTATTTCTTTATTTAAACTTAATAAAAAATTATAAAAAAGTATATAATAATTTAAAAGGCTATTAATTACTAAGGCTAAGGCATAAAGTAACTCTTATTCCTTTTTATAAAAAGTAATTAATTACTTTAGCTACTAAATGCAGTTTAAGATAGCCTAGGCAGTCTTTTAAAGCTATTATATTCTAGTCTTTTTTTTAATCTTAGTTAGTATATTTTTATAAGCAGGTTTTAAGCTTAAGGTATTACTTTTAAGTATAAGGATATTTTATATTACTATACTTATAGTATTACCTTATTATTAAGTAATTAAGGTTATTTTAGGCATAATTTATATAAAAGTTATAATAAAAACACTATACTATAAGCAGTAAGTAAATATAGTAATTTAGCTTTTTTTTACTTAAGTAATAGTAAGAGAAGTAAGAGAATTATTATAAAGTAGTTATTAAGTAGGTATTAAAAAGTATATTAACTCTTACTTAAGGTATACTACTAGAAGGTAGGCAAAAGCCCTTATATATTAAAAGGAAAGGGGGTAAAGGCAGGGCTAAGCCCTTATAGCCTAGTGTATTTATATATCTTATAGGCGCTGTTATAACACTTTATTTTTAAGGCTATTTTTATAAAAGCTAAGCGCTACTAATACTATAGCCTTACTAAAAGAACTATAATAAGAAGATTATTAAAAAAGCTATTAACTTTATAATCTTAAAAGTTAAAAGACAGGCTTTAAGTTAAAAGGAGCTTTCTTATAAAGCTAATAGTATAGAGATTATAGTAAAGTATAGCTTTAATCTCCTTAAGGTTAAATTTAGTATTAAGATTAAGCCTATTAATAAGGGCGCTAGCAAAGGCATTAATAAAGGCGCTAGTAAGGGCGTTAATAATAGCTTCTAGTTATAAAGCGCATTGCTATATTTTTTTTTATCTTAATAGATAATTTTATAATACCTTATTATAAAAATACTAAATTTATTAATTTAAACTAAAATACCTTTATTTTTATAAAGACTATACTATAAATTATATATTTAATTTTTTTATAAATTAATAGTCTTTTTACTATTTAGCATCCCCCTTAACCTAGTAGAGCTAGGTTAGGAAACGCAGGTCATTTTTAAGACCCCCCTAGTATATAATACGGGCCTCATATATGTATTGCTTGCGTTTTATCACTAGCACTTAGATGCGGAACACAATTCATAGGGTCAGGGGCTTGATAACTGGGTATAGAGGGGGGGATAGACAGCACTTTTGGTGGAGAATGACGATTGGTTTGACTTGGCTACGAAATACTGTAGGGCACAGTGATAATACCGCTTTAATGTTTAGGTAGGCTGAAGAAGCCTTGTAGATATTGATCTGTTTGGAGGCTTGGATAGAGAGGATTGGGGCGTTGCCTTTTGTGAAACGGCGTGGTTATGCTTTGATCTGCCTCCCGACCTACCTGGGGTTCCAAGACAACAAGACATCATGGCGTCGTGGTATTACTATACGTATTGGTACTCGGATTACGTGGGCTCGCATACGCAACTTCAGGCAATTGAATGTTCTGGTAGATTTTACCTACCTTACATTAGTACATCAAGATACAAGGGATAAATCAGCGGTGGCAAGCAAAAGCAACGAGAAAAAGGCTTGCAAGTTCCCTTGCATGAAGCTCGGGGAACAGAAGGCAGAGAGGCAAAGTTTGAGCGAAACCCAGCCAATCAAATCACATGCTATTTTCCCAATATACCTACAGTTTCTACCCATTGAACTTTGCCTTTTTTTTTTCTCTCCTTTGCTCCAAAGGCCCTTGTGGCGGCGGCATGGCAGAAGCTTCTTCTTGGCCCTCGTGGGAAGAGAATGACTCTTCCGTCGTCGCGAATCTCTGTTTACATGTCCAGATTGGTACCGTGGTCGCGTGAGGGGTGCTGGTAGGGGGGGGGGGAAGTGTACCTATGTTGGATAGGGTTTATGTGTATCTGTTCTTTATTTGTTTTGGTTGTTTACTTCCGCTACTGGCTTATCGGGGAAGGAGGAGAAGAGAAAAAAAAATAGACGCAGTTGACGAGTTGTATTATTAGAGGATGGTGTTGAGTGGAAGGGCAGAGAAGCGGGCATCTTCTGGAGGCAGCCCGCGGTACAAGGTACAAGGAAGACAGCAGCTGTTTCCATTGGGCTTTTAGAAGAACCGACAGTGATACCTACCTTATCAATGGCATCATTTTGTTTCGGTAGGATATCAATGTACGAGTAGTAATAAGGTCAGGTATCAGCTTGAGCTACAGAAGTACTAGTAGTGGCATATTAATGACGGGGAAAAGGTGCCGGAGGTTTTGGGCACAGATGACGACTCGATTCCATGTTGCGCTGAAAAGAATGGAGTCCAGGCATCGACAGGGGAAGCTTGGAGGCGATCGTCTCCATTGATGCCAGGGCTGCCAGTTGGTGCCTGCGCATCAACAGCGCCCGATGGCTGTACCTGGTATTACGTCCGGTGATACCAATAAGGCTGTGGCACCAGTCAGTTGAGCTGAGATAGTACACGTAGTCAGTCACTCCGCATCTCGTACACGACACTCCTCTAATGCAACTTCTGAAAGTTGAATACTCGTATCACACAGCTGCAGCTCTGTTGCGTCAAATACGTGTAGATGCTCGCAAATCCACGACTCGCTGCTGGCTGTCCAAGCTCCCTCCCCATTGGCCCAGCACCCGCTCAATCCCGCCCCCAGCTGCCACTAAGAAAGAGCAAAATTTCGCCCAAATTGTGGGCGGCACCAAGCCGTTCCCGGTTCCCGCTACAGTACACGCAGGTACGTACCCGGGCTGGGCTGCAGTAAGAGGTAATATTCCTTGCGCTTCTTGGTATAAAACTTTTTTTCTTATGGGACACTGACGGGATAAAACCTAAGCTCGACCCCTCGTCAACAACCACAACTTTTCGACCGCATCCTCCTTTTTATTCTTCGCTTCTGCAAATCGCAACTCACAGGCTCGTGTCTCGGTGCTCTCGCTACTGCCGTCGCCGGTTCTAGAATCTCAGGTTTCTAGGTAGGTGCTTGTTTTGCCTTGCTTTTTTTTCCTCTGCGCGACTCCTTTTCCAGCTGCGTGTCCTCACGAGCGCCTCCTGGCATTGCGAGGCGAGGCGAGTGTCACCGCCACAGACACTCCGGATGACTCCCTTCGTCAGTCGAGTCTAGGCTCGCCGACTGCGGATCTCGATTGTCGGCTCTCAGGATCGGTGTCGGCGGGACGGAATGGCTGTGATGCGACAAGCTCAGCCAAGCACATAAATTGCGTGGAATTCTTGACGAGCCATCAAGCTAACAGGCTTCTCTCCGCCTCTATAGAACTCCCAATCTTCTCCTCTCACCGATACCCCCCTACGGTGCCTTTGGTCTCCACAAAGGCACTCATCCTCTCTCATCACGGCTCCCCAGGCCGTGACTGACAAAGATTTCTGCGCGCGCAAGCCCCCTCACATCATCAACACCATCCCTCCTCCCGCCGCTTGGTCACTCTAAGCGCCTCGACGACTTCTTGCTCTTCGACGTGCCGCCTCGTCACCAGACACCGCCTCCGTCGTTGGACGACACCCATCAGCTGCCGCATAGGAGGAGTTCTGCGGTTCTTCCTCTCGCCGAGGAAGAGTCGAGGAGGCCTCGCCAGATCACTGAGGGAACAGTCTGCTATCGCTTTCGACCACCCTAACAACCGCTTGGCTATTTAGCTGCACAGTTCCTCGTTTCTTCGGAAAACAGCTTCGGACCTGATCCCTTCGAACTACTTTTTCTCTTCATCCCACAGAGTCAACGTCCCCCCCGTCAACCTCCTGGGATATGGTTATGGCAACAGCTGTCCTCGACAACTACGTCCAAAATGTCTTCCATAATCACGTTGTGAAGAAGAAGCCCCAGTATCTGGGTGCTCTTCAGAACAATGTTGCTGTTGATCCGAAGCAACTGATCGGTGAGGCCTTCCACCAGCGTGTGGGGGCCGTCAACCATGAGCTCTGCGATCCCGGTGAAGAAGACACCTTCTTCGTCGCAGACCTCGGCGAGGTTTACCGCCAGCACCTCCGCTGGAAGAAGAACCTGCCCCGCGTCAAGCCCTTCTACGCCGTCAAGTGCAACCCCGATCCCAAGGTGCTCCAGCTCCTTGCTGCACTCGGCACCGGCTTTGACTGCGCCTCCAAGGGAGAGATTGAACAGGTCCTGGGCCTCGGTGTCAGCCCCGACCACATCATCTACGCCCAACCCTGCAAGACCAACTCCTATGTCCGCTACGTCAAGTCGGTTGGTGTCAAGCAGATGACCTTTGACAACGCTGATGAGCTCCACAAGATCGCCAAGCTCTTCCCTGGCGCCGAGCTCTTCCTCCGCATCATGACCGACGACACCTCCAGCTTGTGCCGCCTCAGCATGAAGTTTGGCGCCCCCATGGACACTACCGAGAGCCTCCTTGCCCTTGCCAAGGAGCTGGGACTCAACGTTGTCGGTGTGAGCTTCCACGTGGGATCCGGCGCCTCCGATCCCGCAGCCTTCCGCAAGGCCGTCGTCGACGCGCACACCGTCTTCCAGCAGGCCCTCACCTATGGTTTCCATCTGCGCGTCCTCGATGTCGGCGGTGGCTTCTGCGGGGAGACCTTTGAGACCATGGCTGGCGTTCTCGACGACGCCCTGGCCGAGTACTTCCCCTCCGGCTGCGGCGTTGACATCATTGCTGAGCCCGGCCGCTTCTACGTGGCCACCGCCTTCACCATTGCCTGCAACATCATCGCTCGCCGCACCGTCGACGATCCCGCGGCCAAGACCACCAGCTACATGGCTTACATCAACGACGGCGTCTACGGCAACTTCTCGAGCATCATGTTCGACCACCAGCACCCCGTTGCCAAGATCCTCCACGCCGGTGGCCAGACCCTCTACAACACCTACGCCGCCGAGCCGGCCCCGGGTGACGAGGGCATCGAGTACTCCATCTGGGGTCCCACCTGCGATGGCATCGATCTCATTAGCCAGAGCACTCGCTTCAACCGCATCCTCGACGTTGGCGACTGGCTCTACTTTGAGAACATGGGAGCCTACACCAAGTGCTCCGCCACCCAGTTCAATGGGTTCCCCAACGCCCACGACACCATCTACGTCTACAGTGAGTCTGGCGCCAAGGCTCTCTTGGACCTCTAGATGGTACAATGTGTCACGTCGACACATGCCCTTTGCATGTACCTGAACAACAAAAAAAAGGAGAGATGGAATGGTGGGAGCGGATTACTTTCTTGGCATTGGTCTTTTTGACCACAGGCTTAGAGGCCACAATCACTTGCGGCCTGTATTATAACAAGTTATTTATCATGACGAGAGAAGATTCTCGAGTGTAGATAGACGATTTGAAAAGACGTGTTTGCACACGATTTCGAGTTCGCGTAAAGATGCATTGTGCCTTTCTTGTCTGCCGTTTCCATTTGCGTCACTCACCTTGATGGTCCCTTCTGCCTGATATCCCCTTTGAACTCACCCTTGGCGGCTTCATCAAAGATTGATAGGCTTCGAGCTTTCACTGTAGATGGAATCGAGCTTTGATCGCTCCAACGTGTCACCATGGACCTCCTGCCGCATGGCCAGAAAGCTCGGAACATGCCGATGCCAACAATGAAGTGAAGCAAAGCAAGGTTCTTTTTCATATATCATCAACACTAGTAGTGTGTCGGTAGCCGTCTACACTAGCGACCGTACCAAAATTCTTACAATATCAGACAACGTGAACGTTAAACCTCCAACGCCTTTCCCTTTGAAAATGATGACCGACATATACTTTCACAACGGTGCGTTCCGTGACCAATTGACCATGTCAATGCCGGTCGGCCACCTCTACGCCGAGAGCAAAGATTCTAACCGCGTCTATGAACCGCGGAAAAGGAATTGCATGTCTTCAGGACTCAAGGTGTCCATCGCCTTATCATCGGCATTGACGGTCGAGTGGATCATGCTTGTTTTCTTCTCCTGAATCAGCACCATTCGGCTTTCGACAGAGTCTTCGATGCAGAGGCGCGTGATGATGCATGGTCGTGTCTGTCCAATGCGATGGCAGCGATCAGCAGACTGCCACTCAGCCGCCGGGTTCCACCAACTGGCAATGCAATGTTAGCCAAACATACAAGTATAGTGACTGGGAAGAAGTTTACTTACGGGTCTACAATGAATACTCGTGATGCCTCAGTGAGGTTGAGTGCAACACCGCCAGCCTTGAGCGAAACCAGAAAGCATTCCACGTCAATGTTGTTCATGAAGTGCTCAATTGATGCTTGCCGCTGCGCGGGGGTCATGCTACCGTCGAGCATGACAGTGGTGATTCCAGCTCTCCGAAGTCGCCATTCGATCAGCTGCAGCATCGTGGTAAACTGGGAGAAGATGATGGACTTGTGTGTGGCATTGTCCGAACGCAGTTTGTGAAGTTCGTGAACCAGAAGCTCGATTTTAGACGAGGAGGTCCAGTTCTCCATCTTGATGCGATTGACAATGGAAGATTTCTTGACCAAGGCTTCGTCTTGCTCAATTTCTGGTTGCTCAAGGTCAATGACCAGGCCGATGTGGCATCGTGGGCAGTCTGGCTCATCTGTCGATTTGATATAGCTGGAGACGCACGCCCTGCAAAAGTCATGCTTGCAACGACTCTTGATGGTGTCCTCTGCTGGTTCATCACAGATGCAACAGACCAATATGTTTTGCCCTCCTTCGGCGTTCTTCTTCAAAATCAGATCGGGATGGTCGGCAACCTGTCTCATTTGCATGATGAGACCAAAGATGTTGGCATAATTGTTCAAGAGAACGCCCTGCGCAACGTAGGTATCGAACTTGCGCTGTCCGTTGGTCATGATGCTGTTGGCAAAGTCGTTCTCTTCTTCTCCAAAGAACTGACGGTCGACATGCACCTCCTTCACGGGAAGTTCCATGGAGTTGGTGTGGTCTTTCTTGAGACGCCGCAGCATGATGCGATCTGTCATCAATCGCAACTTCTTGAAGGCTTCTCTGCCAGGACCCAGGTTACCAAACTTCTGGATAGGGTTGAGAAGCTCTTGGTTGAAGACGGATACATGTTGCATGCCTGCATGCCCACAGTCGGAACAGCGACTGTTCTCGTCCATAGACCACTCGAGCGTCGAGCAAGGACATTGCTTGCAGAGATATGATGCAAAGGGCTTGATGTTGAGGAACCTCACCAGAGAAAAGAGCTCTCCGATTCGGTTCTGCAGAGGTGTACCGCTCAAGCACCAACGATATTCTGTCTTGAGCGCGAAGCAGGCTTTGGCGGTCATTGTAGTCCTCGTCTTGATACAGTGTGCTTCGTCGAGGATGGCGCGATGGAAAGTGATGGCATGAATGACACTCTTCTCCTTGTAGATGCCGTCTTTGCGTTTGAAGCCCTTTTCCTGCTTTCGATACATGGACTCGAGGCTGTTGTAGGACATCATGATCACGTCGTATTTCTTGAGTTCTTTGACAGTGATGTTTTTGGCCTTCTGGTTAGTGCCGTGGAATACAAAGGTCTTGAGAGTGCCATCTGTGTAGGATTTGATCTCCGATTGCCATTGCATAAGAGCGACAGGGGGGACGAGGACCAGGGTGGGTTGCTTCGCTGGATAATCGGACATGATGAGGGAGACTGCTTGGATAGTCTTGCCGAGGCCCATTTCATCGCCCAAAAGTCCTCCTTTCCACTCCATTTTCTCCATTGCCTTCATCCAAGCAACACCTTCGAGCTGGAACGGCTTGAGCTGCCTTGAGATGCTCGCTGGTTGGTCGATCTTGCCAGCCTTCATCACGGGCATACTTTCCAAGTCTTTCCACATGGTAGTGAGCTCTGGATGATGCTTTTCGAGACGATTCCGTTCCTTGGTAGCACGGCTCTCGCTTTTGCCTCGTCTGTATGCACGGCGCCTGGCTGCAGCTTCCCGCAAATGATCAGGAAGTGGCAGATATAGGCGAACAGCCTCGATCTCATCAAGGTCACTAACCGAGTCAGAGCTCGAGCTGTAAGGGTTTAGAGGACCCCAGAAGTCATCATCATCGTCCCAAACTGGAGGCGGACGTCGTCTGGGCTCGGAATCAGCTGTGGTGGCTGTTGGAGCATCGGCAGACGGTCGAGTAGCTGCGGCGCGCTTTTTAGCAGGCGACTTCTTTTGCCGTCGAAGCGGTGGGAAGTCATCGTCACTTGAAGCCGCTATTTCCTGTTCATCGTCGTTCTTAAGGTCCTCGTCTAACATAAATTCGTCGCCATCTGAATCATCATCGCTTAGTGCAAGACCGGCAGCAATTTCAGCGTCCATGTCAACGTCGTCATCAGAATCGGGGATGACTCTGCTCTTCTTTGTTGGTGGCCCGCGACGGGTAGAGGGGTTAAGGAGAGATCTGGGCCGTTTCCCCAAAGATTTAGCCGAGACTGACGATGGTGTATCAGTAGCATCGGAGCGACGAGATCTGAGGTTGGCTGCATGGTACTCTTCGTTTTGCAACCGGCGAGCGACCTTGGCATCGCGAGAATTCTCCGGGAAGTCATCGTCTTCCTCCTCAGAGTCTCCAATCTCCGTCACTCTCTTGCTCTTAGCAGTTGAGTTCAGTGAATAGATGCTGCGCCGCAATGCTCGCTCATCCCCATCTGGTCCTTGCAGCCTGCTCTTTGCAGGAATGCGTACTTCCAGGGAAGAACGGGTCTTTTTATCAGTCGCGGTAGCTCCTTCAGCAGGGCTCGGGAGTTTACTAGTTCCAGGCGTGGAGTAACCGCTTTCCGAAGTCAGTCCAAATGGCGTAGGGGCCGAAGAAGCGGACTCCGTAGTCAGACTATCATCGTCTTGCGCAAGGAATGCATCAGATAGTCGACCGCGGAGAGGTCTTGTCAGCGACGCCTTGATCGCTGGTGGTGGTATAGACAGTTCATCTGCCGCAGAAGAGACGCCAGAGTTTCTCGCAGACCTGGCGCGGGTCAAGCGGCCAGTTGCGCTGCTGGGGCCACTCTCAGGAGCTATGGTCTGTTAGAGATGAACAATTATGTGGTCGTGGTGGCAAATCTCGAATTGTATCATACCGGAAGTCTTTGGTCCAGGGGTGGCCGAGGCCTTCAAAGAGGGGCGACGAGGCATTGTGATGCTTCACCCGCGGGGATGCCAGATGAAAGGCGTTGAGAGGGCACAAATCGGATGAGAATGAGAGAATAAGGGATCGCTTGCAGTGAACCCGCAAAGAGAGAAAGGTGGCTTTGGCCCCGACGGGAACGAAGGACGAGAATTGGGCTGCAGATGGGAAGCGGTTCACCAGCCTGATATGTAAGCCTCGGGCTTGCTTACAGACTCACAGCGCTGGGAGAGGCTTCAAGTGACTGTCGGATGAACGACCACCGGTCTCGCAGCCTTGGACACCGAACAGCGGGAGATGAAGCCGATCCTCGTCGCTTCAGTCTGGTGAAGGGGGAAGAAAACAGACGAACAGAAGAAAAAAGATCGGGCTGAGGTGACTGGATGAAAAGTTGGCAGCAACTCGCCTCCCATCAGCCGTGACTACCTAAAGTGATAGCGGCCATGCCAATTCACAGTGTCTACTGCGGCAGCAGGACGCGCTTGCCACTTTACGCGAAAGCACGTGCGACGATAAGGGGCGTTTTAATGGGCGAATTGAGACTGTATGCGCACTGTACAGGCACTTGAAGTGCAGATTGCGTTACCTAGAGCCGCGGTGAATTTAGACAGTATCAATTGAAAAATGAGCTCAGCTTCCGCTCACGTGACACCGTGTTATCACCGTGACAGTGGCGACACGCCTGAATCATTCGGCACTGGGCGAAAGAACGGGCGCAAAGAACGACCTGCTGCACGCCTTCCTTCTCTTCGCCGCTCTGCAAGAAGAGAGAAATTTTCATTGTCCGAGGTAGAGCGCAAGAATCCTGCGCCTGCTACCATCGCCAAATTCTGCGTTCAGACACGGGAGAATCGCCTGGGCGCCACGTCTTCACCATGTTTGTCTCCCAACTTTGGCCCAATCCCTGCATCAGTACCTTGAAGTAATGGCTGACCAACTTCTCTGATCAGGACTCGCTCGCGCCGAATTGAAGAAAATCAGAATGGGCGGCCGAGTCGTAACATTACTGGGCCGTAAGTAGAGCGATGTCATGGATCATTGGGCTGGTCCAAGCTGATAGTATTCTTCCAGTCAATCTGCCTTGACTGACTTCCTTGCGGTATGTCTCAATCGCATGTCTATCACTAACGTTACTTTCGCTGACACCATCCCTAGTCGCACAATATCTCTGCTGCTCAGATCCGAATCGAGGCGGACCGACGAAGACAACAAGCAGGCCAGGGCGAAACGACCGAGGAAAACAATGCTGCTGAAGTTGTTGAAACCGTTGAGACCGTCTCGGTCACGGTGGAGGCAAGCTCATCGAGCCGGACGACAAGAAGTCGCAACACCGCGGCTTTAGACAAGATCAAGGCAAGCAAGGCCTTCAAGAAGCGCAAAAAGATGGCCGACGATGATGATGACGACGACGACATAGCTCTGGCCATCTTCGAGGAGAGGCGGGCGCCGCTTCCTGGCCAAATGGAGAATTGCGAAATATGCGGAAAACGCTTTACCGTTACACCTTATTCCGTGGCTGGACCTGACGGAGGCCTGCTGTGCGCTCCCTGTGGACGCCAAGTAGCCAAAGAGCGAGAGGGACAGCCTACTACGAAGAAACCCCGGAAACAGACCGGCGGCGTGGGCTCGCGGCGCACCATCCAGAGTCGCATGCTTGATGGAGACGTCGGCACGAAAAGTCTTGCTACCCTTTGCGTTCAGACATTAGCAAAGAACGTGGATCTGGCAGAAAGCTTGGGTGATCTGCCGGAACATCTTATCGACAAGATTGCTCGGATATTCTCCAAGCGGCGTCTGTTGAAGCCAGATACCTTGCCCTTGTTCATGCAGCCATCCACCGAAGTCCTACACATCTACGACGGCGCAAAGTTGGGTCACCAAGAATTCATCAACATTCTTCAGGTAGCGTCAAACTTGAAGAAATTCAAGGTTCGGTGTGCGGTCCAGTTCAAAGACGAGGTCATGGACTACTTGCTCTCGAGAGATATTCGACTTGAGAGTTTCTACCTGCATGGTGCAAATCTCTTAAGCGAAGAAAAATGGCACGAGTTTCTCGCTGCCAAGGGCAAATCATTGAAGGAACTACAAGTTTACTTCACGGATAGGCATTTCGGAGACGAAACTCTCCAGCTTTTGAAAGAATGCTGCCCACAGCTGACTCGCCTAAAGGTTTGCCACAATCAAAAGGTCACAGATGCAGGAGTCACTGCGATTGGACAACTTTCGAGCCTTCGGCATCTCAGTCTGCAGCTCCTACATGACCTTTCTCCAGAAGCTCTCAAATCTTGTATAACCCAGATTGGAAAAGATCTCAGGACCTTGTCTTTCAAGAGGGTACCGGATGCCGACGACAGTGTCCTGGAGGCTATTCACAATCACTGCCGTTCATTAGCCAAGCTTCGCATCACGGAAAGCGAAGTGATGACAGACAACGGCTTTGCTCAACTCTTCACCAACTGGGAAAACCTGCCATTAGAATTTGTGGACTTTCAAAAGTGCCGGCAGTTGGATGCTGCTCATCCGCGGGAGAACCCCAAGAATATTGGGCTCTGCAGTGAGGGCTTCAAGGCGCTGATGAACCACTCCGGGCGTATGTTACGACATGTCAATGTGCATGCTTGCCGAAACATTTCCCGCGAAGCCTTTGAAGAGGCCTTCGGTGAAACGAAGCAGTATCCGGAGCTGCGACATCTCGAGATTAGCTTCTGCGAAGAGGTTACGGACTTTATCCTCGGGTGCATATTCCGAGCCTGCCCGAACATCAAGGAGGTCAACGTCTTTGGCTGCATGAAGGTCAAGGAGGTCAGAGTGCCACGAGGCGTGATCCTAATCGGTGTACCGAATGCCCAGGGCATGATAACTGAGGGCACTCACTGAGTCTCATGTCTTCTTCTCCTCTTACGATTTGAATGCGGCGCTGGGCAAGCGGGCTATGATGAATTAAGTCTCATTTCAGATAGATCATGCGACTTCTTCTGAAGTAATGAAAAGCAGATAATACAAGATTTAATCACTGCGTGCAGCAGACAGAATGACGAGTCGTCTCCCAAGCATTTTCATGACAGTCCCTTGGCTCATAACGATGGTACGTATGTAACTCTTTTGTGAATTACTAAACTCATCTGTTATCAGGCTGATATGTATGTGATTCAGCCCAGTAGGTTTTTTCAAGCAAATCTTTACAACCCTATTATCATCCTCCTTGTTTTATCTTTGTCACTTTGTGGCTTTCTGTTCCCGAGAGTACCTACCAAAGCCGATACAATAACGCCTTGCAAAACATGAGGTATACACCTTCTGCATCTCTTATGCTTTCCCAGAAGCAACCAAAGCTTGGTCCTCATGACTCCATCTCACAAGCCTATCAATGGTAGCCTGGTCAATGTCGTCGGAGGCGGTGGAGTTATCGTCACGCTTAAACTGCAGCCCAGAGGGCGCGCAGGCCGAGACCTTTTCAAAGTAAAAGGAATGAGCAGTGAGATCGACGCCGTCGGTGCTGGCGTTGCAATCCGCGTTGTCAATGCCAGTGCAGACTTCAATATCGGCGACAGTATAGGAGACGGTGTCGCCGTCGCCAGTAGAGAGCCAAAACTCGGGCGAGACGTGGCGGTACTCGAGGAGAAGGGGGGGCAGCCGAGGCACGGGGTCGTCGACGTGCGTAACGCGGAACTCGCCGCCGGGCTGGCTCGTGACGAAGTTGGCATACACGTCGTTGCCCACGCGGGGCGATCCGTACGTGTAGACGTCAACGGGGAAGCCCTGGGTGCGCAGGACCGTGGCCGCGAGCGTGGCGACGGCGCCGCCCAGGGAGTGTCCGGTGGCGACGATGCCAAAGGCCGGGTTGGCGGCGGCGGCCTGGGTGACGGCGGCGGTGGCGGCGTCGGCGATCTCGTTCCAGGCCTTTTGGAAGCCGTCGTGGACCTCGCAGCCCGGGGCGAAGTCGCAGTCTTCAAAGGCGAATTCGATGTCGGCGATGAAGTTGCGGATGTTCTTGCTGCCGCGGACGGCGAGGATGATTTGCTGGTGGGCGGGATCAACGGCGACAAAGCCCCCGATGCCGGTCTCAGAGCCTCTACAAGAAGGCACATGGTTAGTTCCATTTTTTTAGATTACAGTCAAGTATGTAATGGGAGGGGGGCTTACTCGAAGGAGTTGATGACGGTTGCTGCTACGGCGGGACAAGTATTGTTGGCGCAGGCGACTGGCTGTCCGGCGGGCGTCTCGGTGTTACAGTAGGCGGCTCCAGCATACTGGACAAAGAATTCAAAGTTGGTGAGATCTGCTTGGGTAGCTGTGAAGCTTTCGCCATCCTCTTTGTAAGGCGTTAGCAAACGAGTTATGGTGGAATAAGGGGGGCAGAGGAGGAGACTTACGTCGAGCTGTGAGGGTTGACACTGGGCTGCCAGCTACAACAGCGGCGAGGGAGAGAAGTTGCCAGAACTTCATTTTGAGGAAAACAGTATATGTACAAAGAAACAGAAGGAAAAGGGTATCATAAATTGATGGAGCTGGTGTTGAGGCTCGGCGAACAGCTGAACTATACACAGACTCACAAGAGCTACGACAGGAACGACAGGAACGCCACCAGGACCGCTTGCAGTATCTCCAGGAAAAGGATCACCAGTCTTGCAATTTACGTTCGTCCATCGGTCTTTATATATTTATTTCGCGCAACGAGTTTTCCGCCTCACGATTGTGAGACAGCACACAGACTCGGACAGCCCGGCCACCCCTTGATGCAACCTACCTCCTCCTACCTTCCCATACCATACCATGAGGGCAACAGGCAGCTTTCGGAAGTTTCATGAAGCAAAGCGTCTCATGCTGCGGCACGCGAAATCTCCCGTCTGTCTTTGTTACCCGTTTTACCCCGCCCTACTTCATGTGTGAGGGCTCCCATGTGGTTGTTTTCTTCCTTCTGTTTTGCGGGTGGTGGCTTAGATTTCCGTGCATGAACGCGACTCAGGTAGAAACTCGGGCAGCGGAGCCGACGCCCCAAAATAGAAACCGGACAGGCCTCTCCGTGGCGGGAAAGGAAGTTGGATCCGAGTTGGTTGTGACTCGATGAAAATTCTCGGCGGGATTTGTGTAGAGGAGAGGAGGAGATTGTTGCGGAATAGGAAACTCGGATGGCGTTTGTGAAAGACGATTGGCTGCTTGCGGATTCCTCGCTACTTTTCACTCGTGGGAAAGTAACCACAGATCGGGAGAGACGGCCAGAGCGCCCTGTTGAGATGACTTACATAATGTGAATTGGCGTGGGGGATGTGCCTCAAGGATCTGACATTTGACAAGTTGAAGTTGACAGGGGACGCGGGAGATAGGCTTTCGGTGATCGATATGGCAGGTAGAGTTGCTAGACTCGGACCTTTGTGGATGGTTTCATGGTCAATGGCACTCTAGAGGGTGATGGAACAAACTGAGAAGAGAAGCACGAGAGAATTGAAGAGCAAAGGCCGTGCAAAGTCATATGCAGAGTCGATATAGACCCGTCGCGGGAGGCTTTGCGCAGCATCTCCGTGTAAGTCAACTCGACGCTTCGACAACCACGCACAACATCGCTGACTCCCATGCCGTCTCACTACTAAGTTCTCTGAAACATTCAATTTTGTTTCTCGGAATAGTCCTGCCCGTCGGATTTTATTCCGATCAAATGACTTCTTGATTCCGGTGATCTTCAACGGACGTGCCAATGCTAGCAGGTGGTATTGACGGCTCGATCGGCAAACGGGAGGGATTTGCTGCTCAGGGTCGTGGGAGAGCGGCGATTGGCGAACGAACGTACACGCCCGTCTTGATAAACGGATTTGCGTGATATGTTTCATCGGCTCTCTATGTACTCTTTCAATTATTCTTCTACTGCGAGATGAGAAATTGCATGTGATCTGGGAGTATATCTCCCTTAGTATCATCGATATGCTGCGATTGATGCAGAGGGTGGCTTCGAACAAGCTGAATCGGCTCGCTACAAAATCTGGCTTGATGGCTTTTTCTCTACGCATTGCCTCGCTCTCTTTCGCTCGAACACGGCTTTCGCCAACTCCACAACGTCTCTCTACGAGCTTTTTGTCCTGGCGACATTTAGGAGTTGCAGGGGACAGTAGGACCAGCCGATCTCGGGCAATGCCTCCAAATCTGCAGCTCACGAGAAATGGCTCTAGCGTTGCAGCGACTCCTCCACCAGCGCTTAGGAGGCAGCTTGAAAGACTGGGAAAGACATCCCGCCAAGCATTGGGTGAGATAGAATCATGTGGCCACTCACAGATTTCCCAAGGAGTATCAAGAAGTATGCAGTTAAGCTGCGGCAATTGAGACGATTCAGAGCGGGCTTGCCGCTATCATGCTGCGGAAGAAAGACCAGACCAAGACGGCTGTATGAAGACGCACTTTATCTGTTTGGTAATCGACCCGCAGTCGAACTAGGAGTTGATGAGGCCTCTACTTATGGTTTCTTATCATTCAGCCTATGTATCAGTGGCCAAGTCTGCATCTAGAGACTCAATCGCTTGTTTGTTTGTTTGTTTGTTTGATATTAACGTCCGTGGCCGTAAGGCCTAAATCTCCTTAAGGAGCAATGTGGACGGCCCGAGCTAGCTATATCTAATAGATACAAGACCATTCAAGGCACGTAGGCTTGACGCAAGGAAATATCTAGGAAAAACCCTCTGCGGCTATTTTATGAGGGTGAAAAAAAACCTAGCGTAGATGACCGATAACCAAAATAACGCCACAGCACCCTCCGAGTCCTCGTGATACCGATGATGTCGTAAAAACCCGTCGTCAGGCTGGATGGTATTGATCGGTTGGCAAGGGTTGAGGGGGGTCCTGATTGCGGCTACCCCTTTGGCCCGGTTCTGCCGTTCCATATCTGCATTTTGGTCGGTCGGGCTTTGCAGCAGCGTTATTGAGGCATCGTAGTGTCGTGAGCCGAAGGAAGGAGGTCGTCAGCGCGGCTGGAATTGGGTCGTCAGCGCGGCTGGAAGGAAGGAAAGAGCCGGCGCGCAACGCAGCCAAAGCCGGCGCGTATCACAGCTAGAAGCCGGCGCGCAACACAGCTTGAGGCCGGCGCATATCACGGCGTTGTTGTTGATTGATTTGGTTGGATTGAACAGAAGGTATGAAGCTCTCAAAGTTCCCTTCTGTGTGTGTGTGTTAAGGGCTTGTTAGGCCCTAAGAAGGCTTTGGTGTAGGGGCCCTGCAAATATCCCTGCCCCCCTAACTAGCTGCTAACAGCAGCTAGAAGCGGAAAATATTTACAGGAGAGAGTTGGAGACTCAATCGCAGGCGTTGTCCTGTGCCCTTCTAGGGTAGGCCTGGTTGGCTGTACGACTCCAAGCTGTAGCAGTACATGATGAAGACGATGTACGAGTACGACTCGGGAGGTACATGCACGTACTGCCGGATTATCCTTGTTACGTCCCCCATATCGAGCTCATCGTCAAACATGAAGCATCTACCTAGATCTCACCATCACACATCGCTTCTGATCTGGTGAGATGCGAGTGTTCCCATCGACATGGAGTATCGAATCGCGAGTTGCAGAGAATCAACAGCCAGCAGCCACCAAAGGAAAGCCATCACGCGGGGTCTTCCATCGTTGCATTCAGGTTATATCTGATGGCACCCACCATCGTCCTCTTCTTCCTCGGATCAAGCAAACTATTGCTGCTTGCACAACATTCCCATCGCCATGCAGGACGCTAACGATGGGCCATCCTCCTCCATAATATGACCAGAAGAGTTCTAGATCGATTGACCCGAGCCGAGCGTCACCCTCCTGGAGTTGTCCATCATTCCTCGTCATGCCACATGACTAAGCCTTCAATGTGTCCGACGAGCCTCGAAAAGCAGTTGACCTATTCAGCTTCACCCTGTGGCGCTGCTCCACGCGATGCGTGTGTTTCTACGCCAAGCCACGCCATTGATCTGCTTCTCTAGCCTGCCTCCTTCTCGACCCTGGTTCGTATCTACATGCTCTGCTATTGTTGCCGCTCGCTGCCATTGTCGCCGCCATGCCGGATATCCCCGCCACTACTGCGTACATACAGTCAATACGCTTGGACAACAACGCAGAGAAATTCAAGCGCCGCTCCACCGCGGTGGCCTTTTCGAGACATTGCACCGAGGCCGATGCTTGATGCCCGAATGCGCGAGCCCGAAAGCGCAATGGTGACGTTCCCAATTCTGGGCTGGCGGCCCATTCGTGCATCTGCCAGCTGGAGGCGGTGACGTGGGATCGTCCGTCTGACTTCATGGCCGCCTTCTTGTTGATGCGACGAGCAGCTTCTGCGGGCAGGACATGGTGCAAGTGCAACCACATTGCAAGCGTTTCGGCTCTTGGCTTGGAAAATGCAGAGAACAGCAGATGAAGCATGGGGAACAAAAGAGAGGGGATGCCTGCGCCTGATTGGCCTTGTTGGTTTCTGCACTTCTCCAACCGGGGCCTCTCTGCTGTCCGAGTGTCTACACGGCTTGCTGGTATAATGCCCGTCTTTGGGACGATACAATGCACAGTACGGATGGAGTAGTGATTGACTGCCGTCCATGAGCCACTGTGGGCGTGAAGCACAGACAAAGGCAGCATTGGTCTATCTGTACGAAGAGAAGCAAGAAAAACAACCGGAAAATGGGCCAGTCTCTTTGCCACGGCCCTCTCCCTTGGAACTTGGCTTGGCTGGGCCAGCAGGAGGGGGGTCGCTGATGTCTCACCGCGAACACGAGGCTGGCGTGCGTGGTCCTCATGCATGATGAGTTCCTACTCCCTTGGGCATCGGGGCTCAACAGGGTTCATCAAGATGGGGAAGCGATTCAAGGTATATACTCGACGTCGTCTCCATCGTTCGTCCCATCCACTTGGAAAGGAGCTGACCTTTGACTGCAAAGTACTACTACCATGCTTCTTTGGAGCACGCGAGACCACGGGCGTCCGCTTCTAAAATCTCTACATACGCATCAGCCACGCTCTGTTGTTTGTTTATGCTCTGGATAATTGGCACTATGCCCTCGTTTTCCGACAGCGTCAGGTTGTCTACCGTGACGTGTGTCTTATCCGGCTTGGCTGCACTGGGGAGTGCCGGACCTACTGCTGCGTCGGCAAATGCGCAGATAGCAGCAGCAGCCGCGGCCCAAGCCTGGGTCCCGGATGGTTACTATGTGCCGCCGTATTATCCTGCGCCGTACGGTGGATGGGTGGACGACTGGCGAGAGAGTTATACCAAGGCCAAGGCTCTGGTCGACTCTATGACTCTGGCAGAGAAGACGAATATCACCGCAGGAACGGGTATCTACATGGGTGAGTGTTGGCTTCGTCAAGATGAGAGGCAGTTGCAGACTGTGAATGAGCGAGTACTTGTATGCTGACTAGTGGAACAGGGTGAGTTAAATCTGGAGACTTGCAAAAGCACAGACTGAAGCCTCTTCGAGTGATGGATGGTCTTTGTCATAACTCCGGCAAACTGGTCTCGTACACCATATGCTGGAATAAGAAACCTAGTTCGAGATGAAAGCTAACTCTGATTAGACGTTGTGCCGGTAACTCAGGCTCTGCTCTCCGAGTCTCCTTCCCCCAGCTGTGTCTCAACGACAGCCCTGCGGGCGTCCGACATGCGGACAATGTAACGGCGTTCCCTGACGGAATCACCGTCGGCGCAACATTCGACAAGGCGCTCATGTACCAGCGCGGTGTGGCCATTGGAAAGGAGAATCGCGGCAAGGGCGTCAACGTCTGGCTGGGACCAACGGTTGGACCAATAGGCCGCAAGCCAAAGGGCGGCCGCAACTGGGAGGGCTTTGGTGCTGATCCTGTGCTTCAAGCCGTCGGTGCAAGAGAGACGATCAAGGGCGTTCAGGAGCAGGGGGTCATTGCGACTATCAAGCACTTTCTTGGCAACGAGCAGGAGATGTACCGCATGTACAACCCCTTTCAATATGCATACAGCTCAAACATTGGTAGGTGTTGTCTCCGGCGGTATTGGGAATAACGGAGTCGGGTGAGATGCTAACAAGACTTGTCGGGGGAATAGATGATAGGACGCTGCATGAACTCTATGCTTGGCCATTCGCTGAGGGCATTCGAGCGGGTGTTGGCGCCGTCATGATGGCATACAATGCTGTAAGTGAATCCGAGTCGAGTGGCACAAAGCCTATAAGAAGGTTTCGAGACTACTAATACTTCTTATCACCACCCAGGTGAACGGTACTGCGTGCTCTCAGCACCCCTACCTCATGAATGCCCTCCTCAAGGACGAGATGGGCTTTCAGGGCTTCATCATGACCGATTGGCTCGCTCACATGTCCGGTGTCGCTTCTGCCATTGCCGGCCTGGATATGGACATGCCTGGCGACGTTCAGATCCCCTTCTTTGGCGGCTCATACTGGATGTATGAGCTCACTCGGTCCGCTCTCAACGGTTCCGTTCCCATGGATCGCATCAACGACGCGGCTACACGAATAGCGGCTGCATGGTACAAGATGGGCCAGGACAAGGGATACCCCGCGACGAATTTCGACACCAACTCCCGTTCTGCAGTCAACCCGCTGTATCCTGCTGCGTTGCCCTTGTCGCCGTTTGGAGTCACGAACGAGTTTGTTCCGGTCCGAGCCGACCACGACGTTATTGCTCGCCAGATTTCTCAGGAGGCTATTACCTTGTTGAAGAACGACGGCGGCATCCTTCCTCTATCGCCATCGCAGCACCTCAAAGTTTTCGGCACTGACGCGCAGAAAAACCCAAAGGGCATCAATTCATGCACAGATCGCAACTGTAACAAGGGAACTCTGGGCCAAGGATGGGGATCTGGTACGGTTGATTACCCGTATTTGGACGATCCCATCTCAGCTATTACAGCCGAGGCAGACAATGTCACCTTTTACAACACGGACAAGTTCCCTTCTGTCGGCGATGTATCAGACAGCGATGTCGCCATCGTCTTCATCAACTCGGACTCGGGCGAGAACACTTACACCGTGGAAGGCAACCACGGCGACCGCGACAAATCTGGCTTATACGCATGGCACAACGGCGACGAGCTGGTGCAAGATGCCGCTAGCAAGTTCAGCAACGTCGTCGTCGTGATACATACCGTCGGCCCCCTGATTCTCGAGAAGTGGATCGACCTGCCATCCGTCAAGGCTGTGCTCATTGCACACCTGCCCGGCCAGGAAGCTGGAAAGTCACTTACAAATATCCTCTTTGGACACACCTCGCCGTGCGGACACTTGCCTTACTCCATCACGAAAGAGGAGGACGACCTGCCCAGTAGCGTCACCACGCTCATTGACTCGGAGTTTCTCAACCAGCCGCAAGACACATACACGGAGGGTCTGTACATTGACTACCGCTGGCTCAACAAGAACAAGACTAAGCCTCGCTACGCCTTTGGTCACGGCCTGAGCTACACAAACTTCACCTTCAAGGCAGCATCGATCAAAAAGGTCACCCAGCTAAGCACATACCCTCCGGCTCGCGCGGCCAAGAGCAATGTCCCCAGCTTTGCGCAGTCCATTCCATCTGCGAGCGAAGCCGTCGCGCCTTCGGGCTTCAACACAATCCCCCGCTACATATACTCCTGGCTGTCGCAGGGTGACGCCAACCAAGCCGTTCTTGATGGTGAGACGGGCAAGTATCCGTACCCCGACGGCTATTCCACCACCCAGAAGCCCGGCGCTCGTGCTGGCGGCGGCGAAGGAGGCAATCCTACGCTCTGGGACGTTGCGTACAACCTCACGGTGACGGTGCAGAACACGGGCGATGACTTCGCTGGCAAGGCATCCGTGCAGGCGTATCTCCAATTTCCGGACGATATCGACTACGATACGCCCATTGTCCAGCTCCGTGACTTTGAAAAGACAAAGGAGCTGAAGCCAGGGGAGACGACGACTGTGACGCTGACGCTTACACGCAAGGACGTCAGTGTGTGGGACGTGGTGGCGCAGGATTGGAAGGTCCCCGCGGTTGATGGAGGATATAAGATATGGATTGGGGATGCCAGCGATTCGCTGAGTATTGTATGTCATGCCGATACTTTGCAATGTGAGACGGGTGTCGTTGGGCCGGTGTAGATGTGTGATTTAGCTTAGTATAGCATGTGCCTTTCTTGAAATGACTAGCCTTTTTATGTTGGACTTGATTGTTCCCAATTGTCGTGATTGAGCCCTATGTCTGACAAGTAATAGTACATTGCAATGCAGCTCTCTATATCTAGTAGATGCGCTTTGCCTTTTGATATACATCCCATTCCCGCTCCCAAGATCCATACCCATCACCACACATATTTCGTCCTCACAAAAACGTAATATTCCTCCGCCCACTCCCAAAATTTCCGAGCAACTCCCCTTCCCTTCCCCTTCCCTTCCCTCTACCACGCAACGTGTCTCCTCCCCTTGAGCTTCCTCCTCTGCAAGATCCTCCTCCCCGTCTTACTCCTCGTCCTCTTGAGCCAGCCGTGCCTGCGCTTCTGCACGAGCCTCGTGTGGCCGTTCATGGTGTTGCGGGGGCCAAAGCGCAGCTGCATGCCCAGAAGGGCGGGGTGCGCGGAGACGGCCGTTGCGACGGGGACGACGTCAGCTGCTGCTGCTGCTGAGACTTCTGATGATGGTGATGATGATGCGGGAGTGAAGGATGTGCTGGCGGTGGTGGAGGGTCGGAAGGTTGGGGATAGGGTTGGGCGGAGGGGGGAGAGGCATGTATATGTCCTGGAGGGCGAAAAAAAAGCAATTGTTAGCGATTGCGATTGGGAGGTTTGAGGGTTGAGTAGAGGAGGGGGAGGATGAATGGTTTACCGTTGGGAGAGGGGCGCGATGCGCGGGGCGAGGAGAGGCCGCGCGAGGCGGATGATGGAGTTCATTGTGGAAAGAAAGGAGGCGGCGACACTTTTTGCGTTGATTGTCGTGCCGCTGTTGGGGGAGGAGAGAGAGTGCCGGGTGGGCGGAATTGGGCCGGTTGGAAAGCTGTGATGGTAGGTAGTCTAGGTGGTTTGGGAGGTTTGAGAGTTGAGAGTTGAGTTGTTGGTTGTTTGGTGTTGAATTTTTGGGGGCTTCGGATTGGCTGGAGGGGTAAAGTTGTGGGGACGAGGCTACTGGTACTTGTGTGAGGCTGTTGACCGAGGATGCGAGAGATTGTGTCTGTGTCTGTGATGATGCAGAATGGCTCAGCTTAGACTTGACATTGCGAAAGAGTTGAAACGTCTGGCCATGAATATTCAGGATCTATTTACTTGTCAGTAGCACCCAAGAAGGAAATAGAAAGGCAAGGCAAGGTAGAAAAAAAAACAGCCTCCACAAATGACTCTATCCCACACATCAACCACCACAAGCCATCACAAAGAATCTACACCAGAAAAAATCAAAACAAAAAATTCACATCACATACTCCAACTCCCGATACCCCAACCCCTCCTCGATCCCAGCTCCAGCTCCAGCTCCAGCCCCCTCCCCCCACCCCATCACCATCTTCACCTCTCCAAAGTAATTCGCCTCCCCTTCCTGCCTGAAGCCCAGCTTCCCGAACAGCGCCCTGCTTCCCGCATTGTCCTCCTTGATCTTGGCCATCAACCCAACCAGCTGCACCTTTGCTGCTGCTGCCGCCGCCTTGCCGCCATCCAGCAGCAGCAGCCCCTCTCCCTTTGCGTACTCGTCGAGCACGTCTGACAGGTGCCGCCGTATATAGCCCAACATCGACCGCACGGCGGCTTCCCCAAGGCCTTTTCCGCGGTGCTGCGTCCTTGCTATCATGACGTCTACTTCACCTCTCAATCGTATCGTGTTGCTGCTCTCTCCCCTCGCTCCAGCAGCAGCAACTTCCTCCTCCTCCCCCTCCTCATCGTCATTGTCATCCAGATATAGAAAGAAGTTAATGTCGCCTCTCATCTTCTCCGGCGCATCGTCGCCTTGAGCCGTGACGACGCTCTCTCCGTTTGATAACGGCTCACAGACGATAAACGTCAGTTTGTCATGCGACGTCCGCCACGACAGCTGGTTCTCGAATTCTTCTTCCAGCGTCATTGGCTCTGAGGCGGTTGCCTCCTGTATGGCCTGTTTTTTTGTATGTTAACCATTTTTACACTGTAAGCAAATAAGCAGGACAGAAGAGAGAGAGGGAGGGAGGGAGGGAGAGAAAGGGGCGGCTGGTACCGGATCTTGCATCCAGTCGTGGTAGGTGAGCACATGGTGGGCTTCATACGGCACCAGCAAGGCTTTGCTCGTTGAGATGGCTGTCCCCATGTGATTAGCAAAGAGGGAAAGAGAAGCAGAGTAGTAAAGAATCTTTTGTTCATACCGATTTTCTCGTTGACTTTCATCTTTGGAGCCAGTTTTCGCTCTGCGCATGGGGGGTTTGGCTTATATGATTGAGGGTTGCTTGAGTTGGAAGAGGGAAAATGGGGGTGTTGGGTGGGCTAAGCGCATTTGCCCGACTAAAAAAGTGACGAGTTTGACTTACAACTTACAACGGGTTTGCTGTCAACCACCCATTGCACAACGCAATCTATCCTCTTTTGACTCACAGACATTTTGATTATGCTTCATTCGATGAGCGCGGTGTTTCATCTATGATTATGCTTTTGAAATGACATGCTGCAAAGTGGCGACCTTGTTTGAACCGGCCCCTTTATCTCGTCCATCCATATCGTACAAATATTCCTACTTCGTACAAGCCCAGCACGCTACCCATATGAAGCCCCGACAAACCCCCATGCTCTTCTTCACTGACGTCCGGTCTTGGCTGCATGCGCATCTGCCAAGAATTTAGCAACCGCCTCCTCGCCCATCCGCGCCTCCATGGCCAGCAGCTCGGCCATCTGGTTCATCTTGTTCCTCGTCTTGTCCAGCAGAGCCACCCGCAAGTGTTCTGTAAGCTCGTCGTCCGACAGCTCTGCACTCGGTGTTGGTGGGAAGATGGTGTCCCATTTGCTCATCCGGGGCGCTGGCTCGACTGGCTTGGACTCGGTACCGTAATCGGCATCTTTCCCCTTGGCTGCAAACTCGACGGTGCGTCTATCAGGCCGAACACCCAAGGCATCGAGCAATTCTGATGCCTTGGTGGGCATGATGGGCTGAAGGAGGATGCCGGCGATGCGCAGGGCTTCTGCGCAGTTGAAGATGACCCAGTTCAGCAGCGTGCGGGATTCTGCGTCTTGACGCTTGACAATGTCCCAAGGCTTGGCGTCTGTGACGTAGCGGTTCGTCTAATGCATCGCGAGTTAGCATACAAAGCCCATATGAGGTAAGGTGAGTATATCGAGCCATGGCATATGCATACCTCTCTCAGCAGCTCGAAAATCTCCCGGATCGCGCCACTCGTGTTGTAGTCGTCCATTTCTCTGCAGATAGCCACGGGGCTCTCAGCCAAGTAGCCTTCCAGGCTAAAGTAAGTCGCATCGACATCGTCTGCATCATGGGTTTCAGCCCAGGCGCTGAACTCTCCATTGCGATAGGCAGTCACGGCTTCGAGAGTCGACCACCTGAGGGCTGCCTTTGGCTTCGCAATTCTGTAAAAGAGATTGCCAATGTTTGCCTGGAGCTCCTTCACGTAGACGACACCAATCAGCTGGTTGGAGTAACTCATATCCTTGTTCAGACTGGCGTTGCGCATGAGGAAGTATCGCAGGGGGTCAATGCCCCATCGCTGGATGGCGAAAAAGGGGTTGACAACGTTGCCCAGCGACTTGGACATTTTGCGGTTGGACATGGTCCAGTGATTGTGACAGAGGAACCCTTTCGAAACAGGCAGGCCAAGGGCAATGAGCAAGGCCGGCCAGTAGATTGTATGGAAACGCAGGATATCCTTTCCGATGACCTGGAGATCGGCCGGCCACAGGCCCATGTCTTCCTTGGCCGAGTGCCACTTGCTACCGTACCCGGCCTTGGTAATGTAGTTGATGAGAGCATCTACCCAGACATAGATGGTCTGGTTGGGATCCTCAGGGTCCGGTATGCCCCAGTTGAGCCTGGAGGCGGGCCTGGTGACGGACAGGTCTTCGAGGTGGTTCTCGATCCAGTCTCTCGCCTCTGCCATTCGATGAGCCGGCTTGATCCACCCAGGGTTCTCATCATAGAGACTCAGCAAAGCGTCCTTGTACCTTGTCAAAGGAAAGAACCACGTCTCTTCCTTTACCCACTCCACTTCGTTGTCCGTCTCCGTGCTGACCATGATCTTCCTTCCGGTCTGAGGCGCGATACTGGGCCGCACCAGGTCTTCAGGATAGAAGCACTCATCACTAACGCAGTACCATCCTTCGTGGACGCCTTTATACAGCCCCAAGCTCTCAGGCGTCGCATGCTTGAGATGTAACCAGAACTGCGATACAGCGTCCTTGTGCTCCTGGTCAGTGGTCCGGATGAAGAAGTCGTTTGAGATGTTGGCCGCGGCCGCCAGTTCTCGAAACTTGATCGAGTTGCCGTCACAGAACTCCTTTGGCTCCATGCCATGCTTGCTGGCAGCCCTCTGGATCTTCATGCCGTGCTCATCCGTTCCCGTACACAAGTAGGCTTCCTTGCCTTTGATTTGCTGCCATCGCTTGATCACGTCCGCCAGGACCATGGTATAAAGATGGCCAATGTGGGGAGCTTTTTGGGCCAAATGTCAGCCGCTCCGCCCAAAGAAAAACACTGCAGGAGATGGAATTACCAGCATTGACATAGAAGATGGGTGTCGTGATATAATACGGCTTCTCGCTGGACCCCGCAGGCGTCTGAGAGCTGTTCCAGCGTCGCACAGCAGCGAAGCCCGTTCTGCAGCCAGGGCAGATCCAGCCGGACGGCAGAGCCAGCCGTGGCTGAGCTTGCCGCAGCCCGGAAAGAGCCCGCGGTCTGAGAGAGAGCATCGTTTTGTGACGAAGCTTTGCGTTCGGAGTTGAGATGCTGGAGATGGGATCGTGAAATTGCCTGATACAGTGCTGATAGTACGAATTGGCTACCACGATAACTGTGCGATATGCGGGGCATTCTGCACGTCATGGGAAGAAAGGCGGCAACTTTTCTCTTCGCGTCACAACAAGGACGGAGCCATAACTTCCAGTTGTTTGTTGCTCTTCCGCCCCTTTCCAGCGGAAAAGTCAACGAGGAAGCATCAGCAGTGAGACCAGAAGCGGCACCGATGCTGCCAGAGACAGAGGCATCATGACACTGCCAGACGCGGACACGGAAGTGAGAGCTTCCAGCGAAGGCGCGTGGACTTGGCATCTACACACATATCGCGTGAGGCTTGCATCGCTAACTTGAACGTGGAAAAAAATAGCTGCCGAGAACTTTGTGAGCAGCTATTACCAGGCAATCAACAGCCGCACTAAGCTCGACACCTTCTACATCAACTCGTCCACCCGCTACTCCATCCCGGCCGACATCTCCATCAACGGCTCCGTGGTCCCCACGCCGGCCGAGTACGCCAGGCTCCTCGAGACGCAGGGCGACAACGTGCTGTACGAGATCGAGTCGCTCGACACGCACATCATCAACCCTTCGTTCCAGTACGGCGCCCCCGACAATGTCTACGAGAGCGACAAGAACGAGAAGAGCGGGCGCAAGATGAGCATCGTCGTCACCACGATGGGCAAGGTCCGGTTCGGCAAGGGGCGGGACGCGCCGCAGAAGATGTTCAACGAGACGTTTGTGCTGGTGCCCAACTGGGACGCCATGGCGAGGAATCCGGCGAGGGGGCTCAAGAGGTGGCTCATCATGTCTCAAAACTTTCGCGCTCTCTGATTGACGCACACACCTTTTCTATACTGCAATGTCGAATGATACCCTATACACCAAAAACATACCGATACGACGAGGCCAATGCAGCAGACAGTCAGGTGAAGGTTCCAAGGATCTCTCGTTCGTGCCATGCTTGACTTTCCGAGTGCGATTCGCCGGACCAGCCTCTCTCTGCCTTGGCAACTCGACACACAAGAACGGATTGACCAGTCCGACGCAGGCTTCACATACTTGCAAGCGGCCAATGGAAAAGGACACGATAGTATGGCTGGTTGGGTGTAAAGAGAAACTCACAAGCTTGTTGCACCCAAGGTGGAAAGTTTGATAGTCTCGAGACTCGAGCAAGCAACAAGACTCCCAACTCTTGGCTGCATCTAAGCCGAGGGATGCGTCGATGGACATCCACAGCTGAAAGAAAGCAACACTAGATCAAAGATTCAATCAATCTCAAATTCACAATGTAATGAAAAGCGCCCAATCAATGCAAAGTCGAGCGCCTCGTGCTTCTGATTGTTGTTCCCATTGTTCTCAGAAGCAATCAGCCGGACTAAGCCAATGGCGGGGGACAAATTGCAGCCTGTTGGTGGGCACAACGGACCTCAGCTTCAATATTCCACCAGCTCCTCCGCAAAAACACGCCCCGCCATTCACATCTCCAGCATCCAACATGCCGCCCAAGGCCAAGGCCGCTGCAAAGGCTGCCACTCCCGACTCCAAAGGTAAGAATATTTAAAATGTGCCGCTAAAGGTCAGAAGAAAACTTTTGCAAAAGAAAGGAAACGAAGAAAAGGAAAAAAAGAACAAAAGAAACCACCTGTTCTAACTTGCACCGTTTCTGTGTTCTCTGCAGCTACCCCAGAAGCACCCCCCGAGACCGTCGCCGAGCGGTCCAAGCAGCGCTTCTACCAGACGAACCCGGTCGAGAAGCGCTTCGAAGAGGTCGGCTTCCCAGGCCTGACGGCGGCCGAGAGGAAGACGTACGCGCACGCCAACCTGGTCCTGCCCGTGGCCAACCGCCTCGTGTCGCTGTCCAACAAGACGGACCGCGAGTACTGGAAGCACGTCGCCAAGGAAGGGCTGCCCTGCCGCCGGCTCAAGGACGGCTACCGCTGGGGCCAGGACAAGCACGGCCGCGACGTCGGCACGTACCGCCTCGACGAGCTCAAGAAGCGGACGCTGACCCAGGCGAGGCTGACGGCGCTCGACGTGCTGCACCGCCAGTTCCTGACCAAGAGAGAGGCTGCTGCTGCTGCCCGTAGTAGCAAAGGCGGCGAGGAGATTCCTTCCCAGGAGGACATTGACGAGGAAAGGAAGAGGCGGAAAGAGATGGCGGAGCTCAAGAGGGAGCTGTACGGAGAGATCCCGGGGCCGCTGGCGAGCGACCCCGAGTGGGATGATGTCGCTCCCATTCCTCAGACGGAGCCCGAGGATGCGCTGGCCAGGATTGCCTATCCAGACGAATACGCCGAGGGTATGTGAAAAACACTTTTCCTATAGAAGCCCCATGCATTACCGAGTGAAGAGCTGTTTCCTGACCGAAGAAAAAAAAATCAAAACAGCCGTATCGTACCTCCGCGCCGTCATGGCCGCAGAGGAATACTCCCCCCGCTGCCTGCGCCTCACCGAGCGCGTCATCGCCATGAACCCAGCCCACTACACCGTCTGGCTGTACCGCTTCAAGATCGTCTCCGCCCTCGGGCTGCCCGTCCTGGACGAGATCCAGTGGCTCAACGGCGTCGCCCTGGACAACCTCAAGAACTACCAGATCTGGCACCACCGCCAGCTCCTCCTCGACCACCACCACGCCGCGACGCTTTCCGCCGCCGACCCCGAGGCCGCCCGGCAGTTTGCAAAGTCCGAGACCGACTTCATCTCCCGCATCCTCGCCGAGGACACCAAGAACTACCACGTCTGGTCGTACAGGCAGTACCTCGTCACCAAGCTCGGCTACTGGAGCCCCTTTGAGCTCGCCACCACGCAGAGCATGATCGAGGACGACCTGCGCAACAACTCGGCCTGGTCGCACCGCTTCTTCATCGTCTTCTCGGACCCGGCCGTCTCGACGCCGGGCTGCGCCCCCACGGAGCCCGACCCCAGGGTCCCCGCCGCCGTCGTCGACAGGGAGGCGGCGTACGCAAAGGAGAAGATTGCGCTCGCGCCCCAGAACCAGTCTGCGTGGCATTACCTGCGCGGCGTGCTGGTCAAGGGCGGACGCGGCCTCGAGACGGTGGCCGAGTTCGCGTCGCAGTTCTTTTCGGATCTGGGGGGCGAGGGCGAGAGTGTCAGGAGCTCGCATGCCCTGGACCTCATGTCCGAAGTGTACCACAAGCAAGGGGACGTGGACAAGGCCAGGCTGTGTCTGCAGCGGCTGGCGGAGAAGTGGGATCCTGTGCGAGAGGGATACTGGAAGTACCGAATGGCAGAGCTAAAGTAGAGTAGCATAGCGTGGCCATTCTGATCTTGTTGTCTATATGTATGGCTGTTTTCTTCCAAATGTGAAAATGCTCACTCTCCTCAAGTTCACCTCGTTCTATCAGCAATGATTTCATTATTAGGCTTATCATATCATAAAGCGAAAACGGTTCCTTAAACGCCTAACAAGCGACCAAGTGCTCATGCGTAGAAGTAGAAGCCGATGCTTGAAAACCCTTTCCCCCTCCCTTTCGCTCTGAATGCCCCAAAAACCGCATGCTATGTTGATTGCCCCTGTCGCCATTGATACCGAACGCCAGACTCAGTCACATTGTCTCTTCCCTCGCCGCCCTTCACAAGCCAGACGCTCACGTCCGTCTGCATCGAACACTAGCTGGTCATAGATGGCCCGACTGCTCGCTTTCCACTCGCCAAAATTTCCAGCCTTCTCTCTCGCCGCCGTCGCCGTGGACGCCGACGAGCCGTTCGACACCCTCGGTTCCCTGTGCGTTGAGAAACAAGTCCACGTCAATCTCCATGCCGTCTTCGTCTTCGTCAAGCCCGTTCTTCAGTACAGCCGGCCACAGGACGCCCACGCCGTCGCCGCCGAGAGTGGTGCTGAACTTTTGATAGCCTTCGGCCTCGAACTGGCTGTCCAGCTTGGCGAGCTTCTCCTTTGGCACGTTTGGCCTCAGCAGCGTGATGGAGCAGCCGCCGCCGCCGGCGCCCGTGAGCTTGGTCCATCCGATGCCCTCGTGATCCACCAGTTCGCGGACTCGCTCCAGCCTGGGGTGAGACACACCCAGCGAGTTTAGCAGGCCGTGGTTGATAGTCATGAGCTCGCCAATCTTGCGCAGGCTCTCCTCCTCCTTGGGATCAAAGTCCTTGGCTTCGATAAGCTCCGAGGCGGCATCGGTAACGTTGTGCATGGCGTCGAGAATGGTGCCGACGAGCTTGGGATGCGTCTTGTTCAGCTTCCCAACCTTGGCCACTTCGTGCGCCGTGGACTTGGCCTGTTTTGTGTCCACGAGAAGCAGGGGCAGCTCGGGGAAGTCCCATAGCGGGCGGACTGACGGTGGCTTGCTGTAGTCTGTTCGCTGGAATACCACGGCTTTGCCCTGTGTTGCCACCGTGTTATCGACTCCCGAAGGATTTCCGTGGATGCACATCTCGGACACAAAGGCCCAGCGGTTGATGCGCTCGACCTGGAGGCGAGCCTCTTCCGAAGGCTGATCGGGATGGGGACCGGAGAGCGTCCGCAGCTGGAGGAGGAGGGAGGCGGCCAAGCAGACAGATATAGAAGCGCTGCTGCCCAGGCCAGCGGAGATGGGGATTGTGGAGCGCAGGGTGTAGAGGCATCCTGGGAAGCGCGGCGATCCCAGGGAAAGGAAGAGGTAGAGGAATGCGGTGGCGGAGCTGCGGTGGACTTTCCGAATATCTTCAGGCCTATCCGCGGAGACCTCGTCAATGTGTGGCTGCAGGGCGGCCAGCAGCTCCTCGTCGAGCGATGTGACCAAGGAGTAATACGACTTCTTCTTGTCTGGATGGTGGAACGCTGCCCACGGGAGACTGTCAATGTCCCAGGTATGTGTGAGGTCGATGTCGGGGAAGCGAAGCGAGACGGTGTGTTTCGACTTCGAGAGCGTTGTGACGTGGAGGTATGATCGTAGGGAGATGGCGGCAGCGATGGCAGCCTATATAAGGGGAGCGCAAAGAGACCAATTAGCCATTGAACACTCGTATTTCAATTATGACATTATACGCACCTTTCCGTAGACAACTGAGTGCTCTCCAAAGACAATCACCTTGCCTGGCGCAGACACCATAAAGGCCGGCGCCATGGGGGCAGACGGCCGACGAAGCGACATGTTGCGCTGGTGCCCAAGCAGAGACTGTCCGCCGCCATTGACGGACGGCTTGGCCTCGTCGAAGGAGACATTGGGGGCGTCTGTGCCGTCAGACATCTGGGCTTCGTTTGGCAGCCGTTGAGGACTGGAAAGACGGCGGGCTCGAGTGGTGACCTGGCTATCCGCCCACGAGACGAGGGGCAGAGGGGTCGTTTGGAGGTTATGTTGGCAAGGATAGGTAGCAGCCAGGGGGGGCAGAATGCTGGGGGTTTGACCGTATCTGTCCTCTGTCGCGCAGGAGCAGTCGTCGTACGGATTGCGTACTGGAGTGGGCGCGACAGGTGACCTGGACAGCTGCCAACAATTCGAGGCTCGAGGTTCGTGGTGGGAGAAAGGAGGTGGGCGATAAAGAGGCTTTGTCCAACCCAACGTTGGAGCAATCGTGGGATGTCTTGGAGATGTACCGACTACAGTGCGGACAGTGCTGGTGCTGCTCAACCAGCGGGAGCTAGCGCGAGTTGGCCTTGCCAAATGAGTGCAAGGAGAAGGACCCTGCGCACTTGGTACTTTGGGGTTGGTCCCCCCGAACTTCCAGACCTTTTCCACAATCTGTCCAGAGCAGTAATACAAGAGGTAGTTGTTCCCAATTGACAGAGGTGCGATCTAGGTAACTATTGAACAAGAGGAATATTACCTACCTTATACATCCATTCTGTGAGAGCAGGCGATGACAAGATGTCCAGCGCGAGAAGAAACCTGTCAAGTCTGTGCTGCAGTACAGTAGGTAGGTACTTATGAGTACACCTCGCCGATGGAGGTGGGCGTCTTACACGAATGCGCGTACGAGGTCCGTCCGTCTTGGTTGCTGCCACGATGCCGCAAACCGCGAGCCTGCATTAGCCGGCCGCGACTAGGCCCAAAGGCACCGCTCAGCGGGCTTTGTACATGTCAGTACAACTTGAGCAGCAAACGACCCGATGAGGATGGCCGGTGGGTGACAATAACGACGAGGCGCCAATTGGAAGAGACGTATTACCAGTTGGGTGGGAACCAATTGGCTGGTTTGGCACCGACTTTTGCTTGCTAGAGGGAGTGGGTTCGGGTTGCCAACAGTCGAGTGCGGGATGCCGCTGCGTATTCGTATTGGCTCGCTGTCGCAGGATTTCAGTCGTGTTTCGGCTTTGGGGGAATTTGGGGTGATGCAAGCAGCGCATCTTGCCAAGATGAAAGGACTGGAAGAGAATGATGGTGATAAGGCCCATATTGACCTTACTTCAAGTTGATAACAGACTAAGATGTACACTCGGTGTGCTTGCTCTTGTCATCTTACACTCATCTCTCTTTCTTTGAATCATCCTACCGTACAAGTAGAACAAGCTACGATTATCGGCCTCGAATCCGAGTCTATCCGCAATGCAAATGCACCTCCACCCCAGCCTGATGCCCAAACGATTCCCCATCTCCGCGACTCTCGTCTGTCTGAACGGCATCTGCTCAACAAGGCCAGAACCATCAGTGTGACCGATATACTAGCTTTCCGTCCCAAGTCAAGCATCCTCGCATCAACAGTTTCTGCGTCTATGCGCCTCGGCCTAGACGATAGCATCAGGTAGATCATCTCTCCATTGACGGGGTGTCTCAGCTCATCACGTCCATGTTGGATCCTCAGATGAGTTAACCAGACAACTTCACATAAAAGCATTTGTGACCAGGCTTGTAGACACGATGGCTGCCCAGCGGCAGGATTTGCGCCTCCCATTTCGGACCTTCTTTGCTCGTGACAATATGTTGCACCAAGTGTCAATCGTGTCTCGTCATGATGCGGCAGCAGTGACAAACCTCTCTCGAGTGCCACCACAGAACATATGCTCACCGAGGTACAATGTGGACACTCGGTCTGCAGCAGCATCGTCGGTATCAAGGTATGCTCCTGGGTGCCAGTCGAGAACGCGAGGACTCGAACAAGACAGGCCGACGACTTATAAGCACTCTAATAACGCCCTTTTTGATCCATCGTCTCCGGGAGTTGATCCGTCGTCTCCCGGAGCAGAACCATCAGCGATAGCTCTCAGATGACACACAACAACTCAGGACCCCCCAAGCCATCCATCATGTATCCTTCGTAGCAACCTTCGTAGCAACATGCTTGCAACGTCCAATAACAAACAACCCATGACAAACCCCCCGAACCTCATCTTCCCCAAGTCCCTGCCAAGCCTCCATCTCAGCTCTCCCCCCACCCTTCAACCCTTTCTCCCCAATTCCAACCAGCGCCACCCCCGACCATCTCCAAAAGCCTAAAACCCTAAACCGCAGAAAGTCGAACGATGCCCGCAATGCCACCGCCATCCTGTCACTGCGCGGCCTCCCTTCCGGTTCCATCGACAAGCGATGCGCGGGGCGATGACGACAACCCCCCCCTCCAGCCTCAAGGGAACTACTACGATAACACTACTATTCGCATCCAAAATTGTGAGGAATAGGTATGTTCCCCGTGATTTGTCGATTCGGTGCGACGCGTACTTCCGACCAAGGTCACGTTTTCTTTTGTTTGATGGGACTTGGGTCGTCTGTGGCTTTTCCTTGTGGTTCTTCGGGCGTTTTATAAGTAAAGTGTGAGGGCCTGGTTGGAAATTGGCTGGTGATGCTTCTAGGTAACCACCATCCTACGCAAACCACAGGTTATTAAGTCCGCGGAGAGTCATCGTCACCACAGGCCTGCCTAATCCAGATACATCCCTCAGTACATCATAGCATCCGCAGTAAACGGCTGCGTCTTTCCAGACCTATAATCCATATTCAACAGACCAGAAAAAATAGGAAGAAGCAGAAGAAGAAACAATCGCCCATTCCCCTCAGCGCCCCCCCTTTCGTATCACAACCACCCCCCAAACAATGCCCGTCACCGAGTTCGCCATCATCAAGCTCCGGCCCAACTACGACGCCCTCGAGTTCCTCGAGACGCTCATGACCTGCCAGGAGATCCAAGACAACTGGGCCCGCCGCAACCAGCCGTGCAACCTGGCCCCCGGCGCCAACCTCAGCAGCATGTACACCGACGCCGCGGACCAGTCGACGCTGCTCATCACCGCGCCCTGGGACTCGGTCGAGGCGCACGGCGAGTGGATCCAGAGCCCCGAGAACCGGACGGCCAACGGCAGCCTGAGCGAGTTCGCCGCGCCGGGCTGCGACTCCGTGCTGCTGTTCCACATGGAGCCCGCGGGCGCGCGGGCGCAGATGCGGGAGGCGTTCCAGCACAAGGACAGCAGCGACGTCTTTGACGTGTGTCGCATCACCGTCGCGGCCGAGCAGCGGGAGGCGCTGCAGAAGAGGTACCGGGCGCTGGAGGATGAGCTGCGGGCCGAGGGGCTGGAGAAGAGCATTTGGGCGGGCTGGAGGATTGAGAAGCCGCCTGGCGAGGAGGACAAGGAGGATCTCATCGTCTTTTGGACGGGCGATGTCCCGAGGAAACGACTGGAGGGCTTGGCGGATCTGGCCCTCAAGAAGGATCATCGCCGCTTCAGACACGTCGTGTGAAAGGGAGCTAGCCCCCCCCCCCTCCCCCCTTTCTCGAGGAAAGAAACACCGAGGATCGAGGATTTGAGATTTTCAACGAGCGAAGGAAATACCCTTTTCTGTTTTTATTGGAAGAGAAAGATTCACGCAAAGTTGGCAGAGAAAACGCCGGCCTGCGATGCTAGGTATCTTATTTTTTGTTTGGACTTTCCCACACTATTTGTATCTCTCAGTCATGGCATAAAAACAAATGCTGGAAAAAGAACAAACATGGAGAAAATATATCTATAATTCGACCCTTTCCGGCATCGCCTCAATAGGACATGTCCTTGGCAAAGAATCAACTGGCCAGCACTAGGCAGTTTTTCTGTTTCCTGTACCGAAGAACGACCTTGTTCCCTATTTTCCGATTTTGTTTACCAATGCAAATTCCTTAGTTCTTCCTGGGGACCTCGGCGATTTGCAGGTCTGTTAAGAACAACGTCTTGTTAGCTTTCCGTCTCTCTCCTGTCTCTCTCTCTCTCCTGTCTCTCTCTCTCTCCTGTCTCTCTCTCTCTCGTGTCTCTCGACAAGAGGGCATGTAATCGGGAATCGTGGGGGCTTCTCGGTATGACATACTGGGAGGAAGGCTCTGCTTCAACTTCTCGGCCTTGTCATTGTCCTTGAGCACCAGAGTGTAGAGGTTCTTCTGGCATCGGACCTTGAACTTGATGTTGTGGGCCTTCTTGTTCTTCTTGATCCGCGCGGCTGCATAGTTTCCCAACGTTAGTCGACTTCAATTCCCCTCTTTGCTCAGTCTCTCATTCCCATCTCCTCATCCTCTCTCTCGCTTTCTCTTTTCTCGAAATCTCGCCGAAGAAATGGGGGAAGAAAGGGGGAGTTGGCAGCCCTTCGGCTAGCTGCGTTCGACTATACACATACAGGAAGCGTCCTTCCGACGGCAGATCTCGATGAACTGTGCACAAGAGAATCGTTAGCAATGCCCAGTTCAAAAGCTCGTGTATAATCCGTATAGAGCAAACTGCCTCACCTTCTTGATGTCAGCGACCTCCTTGGGCATTTTGGCGGTATTTGATCGACTCGGTGAGACGGGGAAAATGAGTTTAAGGACAGGACGACGGAGAGGGTACGAAATTCAGATTCGAGATAATGGTGGATTTTTTTCCGGGACAAATTGTTTTTGTGCGCTCCAGCTTCGCGGGGCGGGCGACGCACGGACCATCCCAATTGCGAGACACAAAGAACAAGCCGGGCAAGCCACAGCAAGCTTGGAAAGTTGTGTTGTGGCTGGTGGGATGTGGCGCTGGTGCGGGCGTTGGTTCGTCATGGACTGCGTACGTATAAGTGGCTTTGCCTTTGTATGAAGGCGAGAGAACACCTCTCGTCACTGCACAGTGGCCACTTGATATATACCATCATCAAACATTGTTGATCCATCGTTGCTTTTCCCTCTTAGTATCAACATTCACCATATTTAGGGCGTTGCTTCTCTCAAGATGCCCAACACCGCCCTAGACAGCGCCATGAAGTCCAAGGTAAGCCCACCCCAGAGTCACCCAGGCGCACCCTGACAACCATCCAGATCAACTAACAACACACATGCCCCAGAACGTGCTGCTCGGTATATATAACGCACACCTGTCTCACACTACAAGGCTGATTATATACTAAACATCATTCCACAAAAACAAAGCCTTTGGAGGCGTCGTAGTCGCAGCCGCAGCGTGGTCCATCTTCGGGGGCGACATGTTTCCCGCCCAGGACGACCCCAAAGGAGACCCCGAGACGTGGACCAGAGACGAGTTGCGGAGATGGTTGAAAGCGGTCAGTTCTTTGATGCATCTTAAGAATACGATTCAACGTGCCGATGTTTCATGACTGACTTCTGGTGCCTGTGCTTCTAGAGGAACCTCTTTCCGAATAAGCGTGATACCCGGGAGGAGTTGCTTGCGCGGGTGCTGGCGAATATGAGGCATCCGAGGACATGAAGCTTGTCAGTTTTATGATAGGACCCGAGTCTTTTTATTGTTATCGTCATTGTTGTTGTTGGTTTGGTTATAGTTCATCAGGCTCACTCAGTTGCAACGCATTTGAATCGATAATGAGTTCATGAAGGATCGCCCTTTTCTAACAAAGAAATCGCCTTTTGCTAATAGTATTTTTACACAACCCCATGCCCTACATGCTCATAGAAAGATGCCGGCCCTCATAAGGCTTTTCTCTGCTCTCACCATGACAAAGAATGACTGAAGATTCAGATGCACACAAATTATCCTCTTTTATTGCTGGTAAACAAGCCCAACAGTCGCCACCCCTCATCTTCCTCGTAATCACCCTGTCAACTCCCAATACGCCTTCCAATGCAACAAACCCATTTATTCCCACTTGAACTCGCTCAGCTTCGCAAACTTATTATCCATCTGCCTCCTCGCAGCCGCCGTAATGCCCCTCTCCGGATTCGCCAGCTGCTCGCTGTAACAAAGCTCCACCAGAGCCCTGAGCTCGTCGTACGAAAAGCTGTTGAGATCAATCGCCAGCGTCCCCATGCCGTGCCTGTCCTTGTACTCTCGCGCCTTCTCGACAATCGCGTCAGGGCCTCTCTCAAACAGCTGGAAGTAGCTCGTCGCCTTTGCCAGGTCCACTCCGTCCTCGATATTCTTGAGGTTCTGCTGGAGGACAAGAATGTTGAGCTGCATGCGATGACATCCCTTGTCGTTCATGGGAGAGGCCAAGCGGGCGTTCTGGACTAGGAAATTGTTGATCAGGATGCCCAGCCCGGTCCGTATGAAGACAATCTCCTTTTCTCTCAAAAACTCCACAATGGTCTCGTCCAGGAGAACCAGCTCCTGGTTCAGACTGATGATTTGCGGATCGGGCTCTCTCACATCCTGCTCCAGAACATACGGAGCCGAGTCTGGCGATAGGGTGTTGCGCAACGAGTAGATGATGCGACAGCGCACTTCCATGTGCAAGGTTAGCAGAGCTGTAGCAGCCAGCTCTTCAAAGGACGACACGATGGTGTCAAACGTTCTGTGAGGGAAACAAACGGTTAGCAAGGGGAAAAAAAGAGACATGCCAAAGTCTCAGAAGGGGAACTTACTGAGCCGTCTCTGCCGTAAGTGGAAGCTGTACTGAGTTTTGCCCTGAAGTCTTACTCGGGTCACTCAGCGTCCACCGTTGGCTTGACTGGCGTGGGAGATGCTGCCGTGACGAATCCGTGTCTTGCGCCGTAATGTATTTTAAGCTCTGAATCTTGGCAGCCAGCCACCTCATGCTGGTGTATAAGAGGCACAATGCCGAGATTGTGTCTCGATCCTGGATAACGTCGTTTGCCTCCAGCCGCTGGCTGTTCGTCTTCTGGATCAGAAGCTGCACCTCTCTCCTCATCAACGCGCTATCCAGTTCCTCCAAAGCCCACAGCTTCTGTGCGACCTCGTTTACCTCGCTAGACTGCACCGAAAAGCGCGCGGATGCTCGCAGATTGGTCGAGTCAGCAGGCTGGTCGTGTCTCTTAGTCACGAGTGATTGAAACCAGCTGAAACAGCGGTCGTAGTAGCGCATCATTTGCGTCACAATGAGAGAGCTCAGAGCCTGGTCCGGAGGAATGGTGCCCAGCATTCGACAAAACGCCGTGACAACCTGGAAGAAGGCGGTGGCTCCCTTGAATATGGGCCGTTGAGAGCATTGATTCCAGTCGGGATCCTGCAAGAACGAGTCGGCCTCGCCAAAGACGGCATCGCACAGTTTCCCCAGCGTCTCGTCCAGTTGCGGCTGGAAGACATTGACCAGGAAGTTGTCGAGGAATGTGGTGAGTGTGCTCGTGGCGAGATCAGAACCAGGGGGCACGATGGTCTTCAGCCGCTGCAGGAAGATGAGCGTCGGTGGTAGGAGAAGACTCATGTTGAAAACGCTCGGCTCGACCAATGACTTGTAGGAGCCCTGTGCCTGTCGATTCGCACCGTAGCCGGCACTTCTCCTGGAGCCGACATCGTCAGCCGTGGCCCTGTTCCTCTTGTTCTCGGAGCCCTGTTTTCGGGAGCCACTTGTCAAACCGGGAACCGTAGCCTGAATAATGCTCTCCAGTGCATCAAACTCCGCAGTCACCTCCGTGGACTTGGTGTCGGTCTCCGAAAACTTGAATAGGTGCTCTCGCATGCCGTCTTTGCCGCCGGCGCCCGCTCCCGGCGTGGGGGAATCAAACTGGTAAACGTCGGCATCTGTCGTGACGTAGTTGTGCAAAAGAGAGCGGATCTCGTTCTGGTAAAGGTGCCATAGCTCCTTGAAGCTGCCGAGCAGGGCAATGTTATTGCCAGAGCCCTCACGGCGGATGAGCGCCTTGATGGACTCGTGGAAGACACGATGACCTTCTCCAATGGCCTCGAACTTGCCATAGAGCGTCCACAGCAGGTCGTAAATGACATCTGCTCGCATCTGAAGCTCTCTGGCACTGTATATCTGCACACCATCCAGCTTCCCAACAGCGGAGCGAAACGAAGTCGGGTGTCGCTGTTCAACCTCGTTAATGGTCTCGTTAACGACACCAAACAGCTCGACGGGCAGCCTTTGCTTCAAAGTTTCTACAGCGTTCTGCAGCCTGCCGAGCTTGTTCAATGCTTCAACTAGCAGGGTCACGTAGTAGAATGTGTCCGCCTCTGGGTTCTTCATGGGATCCTCCAGCACCGGCCTCTCAAAATCCATCGAGTCTAATATTAGGTAGAAAGGGGTAATGGGTTGGTTTGTGTCGTTGTGGTGGTGGTGGTGGTGGTTGCTCTCGTTCATTCCGCCTCGGTTCTTGGCCAAACTTGACCACCTTTGCTGACAGTACGGCGACTTCAGGTAGAGATGTTCGTGCAGTTCTTCCACCAGGATATCCATCAGAACGGTTTCCTGGTTGGCGAGGTAGCTTCGCAGATCGCTCAGGGCACCGATATTATCCAGTTCGGGCTTCCTCAGTTTCCGCAACGCAGTCTGCAGCACCTCGACGGCCGTCAGAAAGCGCTTCTCGGATATACGGGCCTCCAGTTGATCGGGGACGGCCCGAAGATCGTCCAGTTCGTTGAGCGTCTGCAGCAGCTCGTCGTACTCCTTGGACTCCTCGGAGAGAATCTTCAGCCCTGGATCCGTCGCGCACAGGCTCGTCTTGGCCTGCGCCAGAGACTCCTTGAGAGCGCGAACTCGCTTCTGCGAGACCTGGATGCTGCTCTGGATCTTGTGGAACGTGCCTATGGAGCTGTTGAACCCCTGGTGGTGCTCGTGCACAATGTTCTTCAGCGACTCCTGGAGATACTTGTGCGTCGTCTGGAACTTGCGGTAGTCGTGCGCGCGGCCGACCGAGCTGTTGTCCAGCAGCTGCAGCGCCAGCTGGACGGGCACGCAGTCCTCCCGGCACATGGACGGCCACTCGCTCTTGATGTGGTCCAGCACCTGGGCTATCTGCCTCTCGGCGCTCGTCTCCTGGACGCGCGGTCGCGAGGGCATGTTGCGGAGGCTGTGCGGCGCAGCGGCCTGGGCATTGTATCGCTCGCCTCGGTAGTTGCTGTCGCCATACGGATCGTAGTCGTCGGTCGGCCTCCCGAAGTTGCCGTATCCGTCGCCGCCGCGCTTCGAGCTGCCGTAGCCGTTGGACATGGTGCCGTCGAGTTGAGTGTCACCAGAGGGGGGCACCAGCGAGCATCGTCGTCGTGTGCGGTGGGCGGAGGAATTGGCGCGGCCGGAGCTTGGGTTCGTGCAGCTGCTCGGTGTCGATGTCTCGTGCTTTGCCCTGGACCATGTAGGGAGAAGAGCGGGCGAGCTGCAGGGCGGTATGATGATGTCGAGTCCAAGAGTCTGGAAGCTGTTGGCTGGAGGTTGACCCTGAGGTTTGGCCTGGGGGTCTGCAGCAGAGCACGCACAGACCAGCTCGCAGCTACAGGCTTCGAGTCTAGTACTTGTAAGCCGTGAAACCCCGCCAAAGCTTCGAAACTGACTGCTCACTTTGTCACTCGAGGGTCAACCAAGAGTATATGACTTTGCAATAGTAGTAGGTTCAAATTCCAAGGTTGCACCAAGACGTTTTCTTATTAGAAACGACAGTTTTTTGATACGTGGCTGCTTGAATTTGCATGCTTTTGCTGCTGCGGTAGAGGGCTGGATGCCTCACTGGAAATCAAAGCATCTTCACGTGCATCCGGCGACATCAGATTCAATGTCTCGAAATGTGGTATCAACGTCTCCAACGTATAGTGAAACAACCAACTACCTGATTACTCGAAACAAATAATGACCAGATCAACTGGGAAATAATTACATAGAAGTCTCAAAAACAGATCCTTTTTGCTCCAACAGCCATCCAGCTAAGCCGCTCCGTTCACAGGCGCCTGGAGCCTCTTGTCCACGGCAATCAATGCCTTGGCGAGGTTTCTTGCGCCCTCTGCAATCACCTGTGGTCGTTCCCAAGCCAACAACCCCTGCTTGCCACGGACCCGGCCAGTCCAGACGACATCATAGTGCTGCTTGCCCCAGCTGGGGCACGCATACGGCTTGGCCGATGCTGAGGGAGCGCTCTGCTGAGCTGAATTAGAAGCACTTTGTCCCGCCTCATCGTCCGCCACAAACACTGTAATGGATGCTTTGGGTTTCCGTGAAGGTTTAAGGCCCAGATCATCTCCCGAAAGGTAACTGTCTGCCAGCAATCTGAGTGTGCCCTCTGGCCCCGGAAGCCACGTCAGCTTGGTTGTCGTGACGAGTTCTAAGGAAGTGTACTCTTTATCGGAATCCAATTCCCTGAACAGGGCCAAGAAAAACACGAGCAGCCCCGTTGGAGAGTCGCAGAGCGCGTAAGCCAGCGTGTTAGGGTCGTATGCACCGGCAGCGAACGGCCCCAGCGCGAGGATGTTCGAAAAAGGTGTCTTCTCGGCTCTTTCTCGCTCGTTCTTTTGGAGAGTCACAATGTCCTCCTTTGTATAACCAAAAATGGACGTTTGCAGCGTCTTTGCCAACGTCAATTTCATCCATTCGACGGGTGACTTTAGCGCCTTTGGTGCTTTCAACGGCGGCGATATCAAATGGACGCCGAGGCATGAATCTGGGTAAGTAGCAGCCAGGAGGTTGATGATCTTCCAGTCGACTCCGCCTTCTGGCGAAACGACTGATCCAGAGCTGCTCGCGATATAGTGCTCGTACCCAAGTCGCTTCATGAGGGTATCAAGCATCTCGGATGTCTTGGGGATGACGGGCATGTTGTCCGGTAGAGAATCGCTGAAGCCCAGGCCGGGAAGCGATGGCATGACAAGGTGGAAGGGCTGGTCGACGGTCGCATCGCTGGGATCCGTAAAGGTTTCGGTAATGTGGCGGAAGGAGAGATTGGTAAAGGGGAATGGCGGTATCAGGAGCAGAGGCACGGCATTGGCATGCCGCGACCGGGCGTGGATGAAGTGTATCCTTGTAGGGGCTTCCGTGGCAGAGGTCTGGAAGCTGATCTTGAACTGCGGGACGGACTGGTTGATCTCCCTCTCATGCTCTTTCCAGAAGAACTTCTCAAGCCTGTGTTTGAATTAGTGGCCTTGCCATCATGTAGAACAGACGAGGGCGGAGGAAGATGCCTACGACTTACCAATAGTCGATCAGCGGCTCCAGGGCCGGCTTGGGATTCCACCACGACGTCGAGTTCGCGTCGGGAATCTCGCGCGGCAGCCGGGCCAGCTCGAGCTTCTGCCGCGTCAATTCAAGGTACTTGGTCGAGGCCTTTTGCACATGACATCTTGATTAGCTGCGCCGCGTCTTTATGCTTGTTTGCTGTTAAAAAAAAAAGAGGGAGAATACAGAGGAGGTCGTCGCGCACTTACGTGGATCTTGTACTCTCGAATCTCCCCGTCAGCCGCCGCAGCGCTTGCCGGCTGCTCAGTAGACTGAGCCATGGTTGGCGAATACGTAGGTCACTGATTTTCAAGAGGTACGGACGATGGGCTTCGTTGCACGTCGATGGCGTCAGTGGAAGCCAGATTTCATCGCAGCAATGACACGTGCAGCGACGGGAGCACTCGGGCGCGGGAGACGGCGCGTGAATGGTGTTTGGTGTTTGTGAGAGGGAAGAAGGCGGAAGAATCACGACGGGACGCTTCCAGACTGCTTTGTTATTAAGGGCAGCTCTGGCTCAGGTTCGCCGCAATCATCGTGGCAGTCCTTGGAAAAGCGGCGGCTAGCGCCTAGCGTGCCTCTAGCGCTCTAGTTCGTAATCTACGGGCACCGCAGCATCAGCCTCCAGCGGGCTGGCTTGGCGGGCCTCAACTGTGGCTCGTGCTGGCCGCGCTTCCGCCCGTCGTGGAGAGCGCGACTCAGCTGCCCGGAGCCAGTCCTCCTCAGTGGCTGTGCGGACACAACCATGCGCGTGCCTACATCTGACATATGTACGCTGATATCATCCGTCACAGATGGATCCTCTTGCATGGTACGGAGTAAAGATGTTAGTATGTATGTGCATGTACCGGATACGAAGCAAACCATCCACCGCAATGCTACAGTGCATCCGCATACTGGTGTCGGTGAGCGTCATCCAAGGCCCAGCCGTCTTATACCGCGGCTTGTTAATTCAGTCAGTGCTGCCGACGTAAAACCATTAAATACAGTATATTAGATAAAGTATAGAATCGCTGACGTTGTCTCGGTCTAAATACGTGTGTGCTCGCATATCATTAGTACAGTATATCCATGGCAATGGTTCGCTCCAGCCACGACAGATATGCAGCCCAACATCCAGCCCAGTCGTAGAGTCTTGGTGCCCATCGGTGCCATCTGTGCACCTATACCGCGAATGTCATTGTACATAGCTCTCTCCCTGTTTTCAACGTCGCTGTGATTTGCTGCCTCGTTGCTGAGGCCTCTCTAGCCACGTCGGGTTATCTGATTGGGTAACGAGGGCCGCACTGATGGAAGAATGAGTGCTATTACAAAGGTTGTCAAACCGGTGTGGTGTGCTGCGCTCATCTTGGTCACCAATGTCTGTGGACAGACAGACAGACACACACACACACACACACAGGGATGTGTAACTTCAAGGTACATACATACTCGGGCATTCAGGGGTGCTGAGAGTTTCGGAAGTTGGCTGGGCTGTTACCGGTAGCGGTGCGTACGGGAGCGGGACGGGAATTGCCATGGTACCCGCCAGCTGTAGAAAAGTTCGTAATGCCATATCAATCGTTTGACCCATATCACAGCAGGCTACTGCACATGGCGCTTTTGCCTGTTCTTGGCCTCTTCTTGCTCCGTCCATGCGCAGTATCGCCGGAGCGTTGTGGTAGTACAGGTGGTACTACGTAGTACCATCATGAACCCCCCCTGCTTGGTGCAGAGTTCGAGGGTGCCAAGGGTGCCGACGCGCCGCGAAGATTTATCTGGCCGATTCGTGAAACAATATTGCTTCCAACGGCATCCACAGCCCCTCTGGGTGAGGTCAGTGTGGGGCCTGCCGGTGCCGTCTCCTGGACGCGAAAGAGCTTGATGGCAGTTCCGTTCCATATGCCCATGGTGCCCTTTGCAATCTGCATTTCGCTGGCGAAGATGACGCCCCAGAGCAGGGACTCGTACCACCCGAGTGCCAGCGACGACCATTCAAAGGAGTGAACTCGTATGGGCGATGGCTCGAGGCCGATGAATTCAATCTTCTGAATCCGACGCAGCGTGTCCGGCAGGGCTTCTCGGGCCAATGCGTGTCGTGGGAGAACGGCTGTTGCCTGCTGAATGATGGTCAACATTGTGTGCAGAGGCAACTCCGGCAGCCAACTCTCGATCCAGGGGGCTGTGGGTTCGAAGCTGCCTCCGAACGCCGCATTGCTGGTCGAGTATGCGCCAAGGCTTGTTGAACTGTTCTGCCTGGAGAAGGACTGGATATTGGCCGGCATCTTTCCACGGGCCTTCTCCGACATTCCTCGCAGCTGCACAGGCACTGCATCTTCGACATTGGTCACAGAGGACGCTTGCGACGGATTTTCGCTACCCGTCGATGCGGCCGGCGTTGCCTGAGGCTCTTCATCGCTGTCGTCATCTTCGTCGTCTCCAACGGCAAATGCGCTGTCCCCCGGGGGTTCATCCAAGGACTGGCTGCGGGACAGAGCATTCGTTGGGCTCCGTACGCTATCAGCCGAGCTCCGTCGAGACCCGTCATCGAACAGCCCTGAGTGGTTTCCGAACTCTTTTCTTCTCCTGTTGATCTTTTCAATTTCCTCTTGCCCGCTTTCCAATGTGAATGATCGAAGTGCCTCTATTCGCTTCTTGTTTTTCAGAATGGCCATTATCAGCTCTGGATTTTGGCGGTATTTGTTTTCAAGAATTGAGTTGAGTGACTCCAGAAGAGACTGTAGAAGGACATGGTTTGTCTCGTTGGCAAGCAGAAAGGATGGGGATGCCATCAAGGAAAACAGATGCATGAGCTGAGCGCTGGTTGTGGCACTCAGGCCTTCGACGTGTGGCGCTATGTTGTTGATGACCGCTAGAAGCGCGGGATAGACCGGCGCGAAGTTCCCCTGACTCGTGGTAATCAAGGTGTATATAGAGTGCAGAAGGAAGTCGGCATAGGTACCCCTAAATCCGCTGATCCTGATGCTTGCAGGCAGGCTCTCTTGTCCTTCGAATCTCTTGTTCAGGTGAGAGCCAAAGCTCACTTCAACGCTCAACGTCTGTAGGAGAAATGCGCACATGCGCACAACCCCCTGCTTAGACGGCTCGTTTCTGTATTCCAGAGCGTAAAACAGAGATAGCACAACGAAATCATGTGCCCTGTCTGTATCGATGATGAAGGATCGAAACCGTTTGTTGCACTGAATCAGCTCCCAGAAAAGCATCAAGACCTCCGGGGCAAGATTCGAGGAAGACTGAGCGCCGGGAATGTATGAAGTCTTCTCTTGAAGCGGCTGGTTGAGAATGCGGGTCATCCCATCGACTATGAACTGGAAATCTTGCGGGCGATGGATCCGACCGAGAAAATGACGGAAAAAGTTCTTGTGCGACGACGAGGTTGCATCTTCGGGTATAGGGTATATGAGCATCGCTAATAGAAAGTGTATAGAGTAAGTGACAAGAACCTGCTTGGTGTCTCTGAATACCAAATTGTTGTATGGCACGCGCCAGCTGGCTGGATTGTACTTTAACGTCTAGGAGATGGCAGTCAGGTAAGGATCTCTGGCAGAGGAGGGATAACCCGAGGGTACTCACAGTGTTTAGAAGAGAGCACAATACCGAGAGCACGACCTGTTTGTCGGACGACGTGCAGAGATAAGTCAGAGTCCGCACCCCTCTTTGCGGCAGCACTCCAGCGGTCATGTACATGCTTTGACCAGCAAGGGTCATGAGGAGCCTGAGGATTTCGCATCTGTTGCTTTCGAATTCTTTCGTCGTCGCCACGGCGGTATTGCATCCAACCCCGCTCTGCCATATGGCATATGTGACTTTGGACTGGCCATCCGGCTGACGAGGGAGAGTGAAGCCGGAGAAGAATAGGAGATCAATCAACGTGTCTATCAATTCTTCTGCCAGAGGCTTCAATGTCTCTTGGACATCCGCTGCGGGTTGGGGCTGTTCCTTCCCCTCTTGGGCTTCATCGAACAAGACTTCGTTCTTGGTAGGCGATCGGCCCTTTCCCTTTCGCGGAGTCCACAAGAACCGTTCTTCCCAAGCTCCTAGGCTCTCTTTCTCATAGAGATATGGCAATATTCGGGTCAGGACTCTGATGCAGTTGAGGATGTCTCGTTCTGGAGCTTGTTCGGGATCTGGAAAGGACGGATGATGACGTAAACCAAGGATTCGCGATATCAGGGCTTGAATCAACGTCTCGATGTTCTCTAGGGCATTGTCACGGGTTCGGCGGATGTCGTTTGGCGAAAAGAGGCTGAACACATCCTCGGACGACTCAGGAAGCTCCCAGAACTAGGATCCCATCAGCATCAGCACCAGCACCAGCACCCGCACCCGCATCGCCGTTCGCACTCTGGCGGCATGTGGGATCGGGAATCAAGAGCACCACGTACCGAGGTCCAGTAAGGGTCGCGCGCCGCAATGTTGCGCTCCTCTGACAGCTTGAAGATGCCCTGCTTGAAGCCGATTTTGGAGTCGCTGGCACCCATTTCTGCAGCACAAGGCGTCGCCCTGCTGACTGTTTGAGATGACGTACCAAAGCCGACTGGAGCTTCTGGAGATCCACGATGAAGCTTCGCAGGGGAGTTCGTCATCAGCTGCCCTGCCCATGAACTGCAGGGCGGATCACGTGTGGCGCAGGCCATCCCTGTCCCGCGGTATTGCCGGTTATCATGCACCTTTGCATGTCTTATCGATAAGAAAAGTTTCAATGATGAAAGTCGAGCTGCCCTGGTGCTTTGTTCGTGCAGCATGTGAATCCCATTCCAACACCAGCAGCACTCGATACGCCAGGGTCACTGCAAGGATGTCCGTCACTTTGGAACTGAACGAATAGGCCACGTCCGTGTTGCTCCCTTGAGGGCACATTGTCACAAATTCCGAGATGCTTCACCCATTTCTCCGTGCCAGACCGCTGGCTCAGTCAGCTACTCTGCGGGCCATTCGCCAGCAGCAGCCTCTTGCCAGCATTGGCCTGAGAAGCTTCACAACTACCCAACAAGTCCTCGATGGTAAGCCAGGGAAGAAGCCGCCGCGCACAAAGCGTCGGCGCGAACTGAAAGCAAAGGAAAAGGCTCCCATCAACCCAATTAGAAAAAAGTCGCCAAAGGATACGCCCGCGGAACCTAAGAAACCCGGAAAACCTGGAAAGCCTACTCTGGATCGCCAGGATGAAGAAGCGCAGCAGCACACAGGACAATTCCAGACTGCAGGGGCGCCGCTGTCTGCGGGGATATGGACCTCCCTAAAGTCTCGCCTTCAATCGCCGGCTCTGAAAAAGAGGACAAGAAAAGCTGCCGAATTTGAAGCTGAAGAGGAGGATGTGGATGTCACGAAGCGTGACGCAGAGAAGCCGATGGCACCAGCGCCCTCGGTTGCTGAAAAGGCGTCTCTAGCTGGACAGCTTGGAAAGGGAAAACGAGCAAGGGGGCTCAAACGAGGTTTGAATGTGAAGACCATAAGACCTCAGCATCTCCAGTTATGTCCGGTTGAAGAGGACTCCTTGGTGCCGGTACCGCAGCTCTGCCATCACCTGGATCGGGTGCTGTTCAACCCGGGAGTCTATCACATGCAGGATGCCAGATCCCGCGTGTACAACTTCGACCCTTACCTGGCCTCCATCATGCCCGTGAAGGAATTTGACTTTGACGCCCTCAGGAGATATGTTACATCATCCAAGGACGTCAAACTGAGACAGCTCAGCGCGACACATGGGATGAAGTACTGCGGCTCAACATCCAGCATGACTTCGATTTTATCCCATTTCCATTACCTCCTCTCAGCCTGGAGGAAGCCTAATTTCGCCTTCTTGTCGCGGTCAATAGAGCCTGAGTCATACAACTTCACTGCCTTAACCCGTGGCCCTGCTGCTGCTTTTGCACACTTCAAGGATGGCACCTACGCGTTTGATTCCGACAAAGAGTACGACACGGAAAATATTCTGAGCTTATTGGGAAAGTCGATGGAAAAGCTCCTGACCCTGCCAAAGGATGACTTTGAAAAGTATCGGAGATCAAAATCCCACGAGCTGTCAGACGAAGAGAGAAATGCGCAGGACTCTTTTCACTACACGACTCTGGGAGACTTCATGATGCGATCCCAGTTGGACGCCTACGATCCTCGGCTACCTGGCTCCGGCATGTTTGACCTGAAGACGAGAGCGGTAGTCGCCGTTAGGATGGACGTCCGGGGATACGAAAAAGGAGCTGGTTACGAAATCCGGAAAAGATTCGGCCAGTGGGAATCATTTGAGCGAGAGTACTACGACATGATCAGAACCGTGTTCCTGAAATACTCTCTGCAGGTGCGAATGGGCCGTATGGATGGCATCTTTGTCGCCTATCATAACACGCAGCGAATATTCGGCTTCCAGTACATCAGCTTGGAGGAAATGGATGTGGCTCTCCACGGAACATCCGACCGTCGGCTCGGTGATCAAGAGTTCAAGACAAGCATCAAGCTGTTGAACGAGCTCATGGACAAGGCAACAAAAAAGTATCCAGGGCGGACACTGCGTCTGCACGTCGAGACACGGCCAACCAAGGTGCCCCTGACATACTTCTTTGTGGAGCCGGTGACGGAGGAAGAAATGATGGATACTCAAGAAGCTGGCAAATCGTCGGTTGAAGAACTGGAGCGCGAACTTCTTTCCCTTCGCGAGACCGAAAACCAAGAAGACTCGGAAGACACCGACGGGATGGCGCAAGTCGAATCACAGCAGTCCGATGAAGAGGCAAAGGAGCTCTCTGACGAAACTTCCCCCATGGACTCTCCTAATGAAGCCGCCTGGAACGTCATGATGTTAAAGGTCGAAGAAACAGTAGAAGACGAGTCTTTGGGAATAGGCTCGGTCCGAGAGGCTGTCCAGGAGGCTCTTGAGCAGAGCGGGCTTCTCAACAACAAGACGGAACTGGAAATCGAACAATCCCTGGATGCTATGGTGGCGTCGCTCACAGCACACACTTCAAAGATTAAAGAATTGCGGGACAGATCAGACGAGTCAAGCCAGGCTACAAAGCAAGCCGCTAAGAGCGACGCAGAGGACGACCTCGGTGATGAGGAGGAATCAATGGCCGACGAAAAGCAAAGCTCAGAGCATGGCGCTGCCGGAGACGCGTCAGAGACGGAGCGTGCTTCTTTAGCAGATTTGATCTTGAGGGCCACGGAGGGAATTGATAGCAGGGCTCGCAACCTGAAGACGTTCCAACGCATGTTTGCTGATCTTGCCGTGGAGTCTCAGCAACCCGACACAAAAGTCAGCGACACGAGAGGAAGGACGCCAGCTGCGGACGAAGAGTCGAATGAAGACGAGCTTGCCGATGAAGAGGAGGAAGGCGAGGGCGATGCTGACGAGTCCGGGCAACAGGATCGTGAGCTACTGGGCATGTACGTCACGATTCGCAACCAGGTGAATGGCGAATACGTCGAGCGGCCTACCATTAACCAGGAGGACGATTTTGATTGGGCGGTTGAATACGCCATCACCGAGCTGCCTGAGAAGAGGGCGCGGAAGATTTACACCAAGATCAAGCAGCGGCGGAGAAAGGTGCTTGCACCGCAGTCTTCCGAAGGATGGGATTGGTACAAGATGTTCCAGGGGAAGCTACCAGCATTGGCCAAGAAGGGAGAGCGGTATAGAGAGCTTCGTACACAGCAGGAAGAAGGCGAGCCGGTGCATGTTGCTTGGGAGCGAGACTCTCATCCTCCAGATGCCTTCAAGCCTGCCAACGACGGCGAGGAAAACAAATGATGGATCCACGATCACAGTTTCATTGTCAGTGGGCAGAGAGTTGCTCTTGTGTATGATATGGATGTTGTATAAGGCTTCTTTGAATGGCCGGTCAAGTCTCGCGTTAGAAGTTAGGGAGTTAGATGTATTGTGATATTAGTCGGATAACGGGGAGGGAATCAACGGGTTGAGGGGCGGCCAATTTTTGTATGTATTATTATGAGAAAGCAAGACATCAATAACAGGAACAGGCAGGATACTATTACGAGAACAAAAATGCAAAAGTCGATGCACCAAACTCGACCATCTCCATCCGAGGAAAAGTCGGTGCTGCAACACCCAAGCAAGCCAAGCCTTTCACATGGCAGGAAATTGATCTATGCCTGCTCGGCCACTTCCCCCCTCACGTACATGTATTTCCAGGCAGTATTGGGGACTTATGTGCCGTCTGCTCAGTTGGTTGACCGAGGCTGCCAAGGAGGAGAACCTAAGGTACGATTTTGCGAGCAAGGGGGGCTGGGCTTGGGCTTGGCTGGAACGTGAGCCGTCGGCGGTGGTATTTCTTGCTGTCCTTGGCTCGTACTGCGGCGTGAAACCTCGAGGTGAAAGTCATTTGACGGTGCGTTTTGAACGAACGAAATATGATGTGTAATGATGGACTGAAGGTAATTCTGACATTTGCGGTTGTGTAGATGATCTTCTCAACATGAAACGCATATCTATATAGGTAGCTCATTGTTCATGCAAGCGATTCTGCGGATCGCAACGCATGCATCGGATCGTCGTTGAACCAACCACATAACACGAGCTCTCTCCCTCCCAAGCAAATCATACGCCAGCCAGCCTTCCCCGCCTCCATGATCTGCCGAACCGCACAAAGCCGCGCATCAATCCAACATCTTCCTCTAATGAGCTGGTCCATCCCGCGGCATGTGTAACGGCGAAGCCTCTGATTGGATCATTTCCCTTCGGCCCTGCGTTCTTGGACGGCCTTGGCTTTGGACATTGATCTTTTGACTGGCTGGTGCCTCGGTCTTGGGTTCGCTCAGCGTGGTATTGGGGATGGAGCGAGACGAAAGTCCGGCAGGTGATCCGCTCCGGGGAGCATCCTTGGCAAGGCACAGGGGGGGTGGTTCCGTGTGAGCTAAAGGCTCGTGAAGACTCTAGATGTAATGTTCGTACTGTCGGGCGGACAAGTTCTGCTCTCGGCTGTCTTGACGTTGCAATGCTACATATATGCAGGCACTAACTAAATATACCAACTTATGCCTAGATAGGCCGTATAGCCTTTTGAGGGGACGAGATGTGGCCGTGTTATATATACGATGGAAGCCCCCGGGGATTTTCTGGATCCAGGCTCTTGGTTCCTGAAGATCGTCACCTTGACTCGGGCGAGGCTCGCATCCATCATCGACAATGCGTCTCAGCTCGGCGCTCTCACTCCTGGCCCTGGGCTCAGTTGCTCGGGCTGCGGGCTCTCCTGAGAATGGCCGCCTCTCTCCTCGGGATATCGAGAACATAGAGAGAGCCATCGAGGCCAGGGGCTTGGCGGATGATATCTGGAACCAGATCAAGAATGCGGCTACTTGTTCTGCCTGTCAGGTTCGAATACGTTCATAATCAAACCTCGCAACGTAGCTGATGCTGATATGTCTTCAGGGTATTCTTGTTCTCCTCAAGGGCCTTGCCGCCTTCGGAGACGGAGCGTTCGTTGATGTGGCCACTGCTATATGCAAGCTCGCAAATGTCAGTACATAAACTCAGGCTCTCTTCCATCTCGTCTTGGCTAATAAGTCTCTAGGTCGAAGACGATGATGTTTGCGAGGGCACCGTTGCGCTCGAGGGTCCCATCATTGCCAACTCCATTCGCAACATGGACCTCGGCTCTACGACGTCGCAGCTGTTCTGCGGCTCATTCCTCGGACTCTGCGCTGAGCCCGCTGTTCCCCAGTGGCAGATTCCCTTTCCCTCTCCCAAGCCACAGACTGGCCGTCCTGCGCCGAGTGGGAAGAAGTCTCTCAAGGTTGTCCAGTACTCGGACATCCACATTGATCCCCTCTATGTGACTGGATCTACCACGAACTGCACCAAGCCCATCTGCTGCAGGTGAGTCGGCGCTGAACAGAAAGAGTTATGACGAGAAACTCATGTTATGGGACTGACGATGCTTCATGGCAAGGCCTTATACGGATGCTGACGAGCCTGGCACTTCGACCACGCCCGCCGGGCCTAATGGGGACCACAAATGCGACACTCCCGTCAGCTTGGAAGTGAGCATGTATCAGGCCATCAAGGAGATTGTGCCGGATGCAGCCTTCAGCCTGTTCACGGGCGATATTGTTGACCATGCCATCTGGAACACCTCGCAGCCCTACAATGAGAAGGAGAGTAGGTCCCCCTTTTGCCTTGGAAATGTTGCATAGCTGTGTGGCATGTATCGACTGACATGCCTTTCCCTTTCTCTGCAGTTTCGGACGCGTACGAGCACATGAGCCAGTACCTTGGCCTGGTTTACGGTACCGCCGGCAACCACGAGGCCAATCCCACCAATGCCTTTCCTCCAAAGTCCATCAGCAACTCCTCGCAGTGGGTATACGATACGCTGTCTGACGAGTGGACGCGCTGGGTGGGCGTCGCGGCAGAATCCCAGATTCAAAGCATTGGTGCCTATTCGACCAGGTATCCCAGCGGCAACCTGAGAATCATCTCTCTCAACACCAACTTCTACTATCGCATGAACTTTTGGCTGTACCAGGAGGAAGTTGAGCAGGACCCTGATGGCCAGATCCAGTGGCTCGTCAACGAGCTCGGCGCCGCAGAGAAGGCGGGCGAGAGGGTCTACATCATCGGCCACATGCCCCCTGGCGAAGGCGACGCCTTCCACGCAGGCTCCAACTACATCGACCAGGTCGTGAACCGTTACTCGTCGACCATTGCCGCCATGTTCTTCGGCCACACGCACGTCGACCACTTTGAGATCAGCTACTCCGACTACAACAGCCGAGACGCTTCCCACGCCGTCATGACGTCGTACATCTGTCCCTCGCTGACGCCCACCTCGGGCATGCCCTCGTTCCGCGTCTACGACGTCGACCCGGAGACGTTTGCCGTTCTCGACACCACGACCTACATTGCCGACATGGACGACGCCGCCTTCCAGACGACTGGCCCCGTGTGGAAGAAGTCCTACTCCGCCAAGGAGACGTACGGCGCCAAGCTGAACCCTCCCGTGACCGATCCGAGCGCCGAACTGACGCCTGCGTTCTGGCACAACGTGACGGCCCTGTTCGAGTCAAGCCAGGACGTGTTCGACACGTACATCTCGCTCAAGAGCCGCGGCTGGGACGTCGAGCCGTGCACCGGCGACTGCAAGACGCAGGAGCTCTGCAAGCTGAGGGCGGCGCGCAGCGAGAACAACTGCGTGGTTGTTTCGCCTGGTCTTCACCTGAGCAAGAGGTCGGATGAGCTGCGTGGCCACGGCCATGATGGCCACCGAGAGCACAACCACGAGTGCGGCATGTCGGCGGGGATGAAGATGCTCAGCTCGTTGGCCGTAAGGAAGGACTTGTTGGACGAGCTGGAGGGCAGGTTTAATGAGCTGAAGGCCAGGGATGCGACTCAGTGATGACGAAGGATTCGTCTTCGGATGACTGTGCCTGAGTGTACAAGAGTTTGCGTACATCCATCCGCTCAACTGTGTGTTGTTCGTACATGTATATACATGTAATGCCTCCGTGTTACTGATTAGTCGTTGAAGCTGAAATACTGATTAGTCGTTGAATCTGCTGGATTGATGATTATTTCGTGAACCTGGATTGCTGATTAGTCGTTGTACCTGGGCATCTTAGAGTGTGAAAGCGAGTTCTGTCCAAGGATCAGCGAATTAGAAAGCGTACGATGACCTTGAAGCCGGAGTCTAATAATGGAGGCCGCTGATTCGAAAGGAATTGGAAGACGACTCGGAAGTATTAGGTGAACCGACCGACTGCGTCTTCTGCACGTACCTTTAATCAAGCAATGCCTGCCTAACTTGCAGCACTCCAATTCGGTTCTGGTAGAGGCAATTACATTTCCAATTGCCCAATTATCACCTGGAAGCCTTGCCAGTAGAGATCAGTCGAGCTCCATGCGGCAAATGCGCGTCCATTGTGGCTTTGTTTTCAGTTAAAGGCACAATCTAAGCAGCTTCAGTTGTATTGCGATGTTACATGGCCCGAGTCCTGCTAATGACGGCGTCTGGTACCTCTACCTGGTCCACCGGGGCAGCTCCCTATGAATCGCCTGGCTGTCTGGCAGCTGTAGATGTACCAGTACCGCACCTGGCACTCAATTCACCATGCCCAGTCCAACTTGAAATCCGAGGCCATTCCCATCTTTCTCCATCCATTAAAGTCCCAGCTCTCAGCATTCGTCACTCATTCTTCTCCTGTTGGGACCGCTGCCCCCCCAGACCCAGCCACGCATCTGTCGTTGGCCATCTCCTCGGATGTTTGCCTGCATCACGCCCGCATGCTGGGACTGCAGCCACGGCTCAAGGCGCGGCCTTCTCTGCTGGACCTGATCCGCGAGGGCAGCATCAAGGGCTCCAGTGACGGCGAGGCCAGCAGCGACAGCGACAGCGACAGCGAGGACAGCGTCCGGTCCCCTGTCCTGCAGCGGCCTGCGGGTGCTGCCACAGGCCCTCCAGCTGCTAACGGCGCCGCTGCGTCCGCTGGAGGCACCGCCGCCTCGGGGGCCAGTTTTGGGTCTGTTAGCGGGCTCGCCCGGGCTGGTGGGACTGGCAGCGCTACATCATCGCCTCCACCCCCGAGCCCTGTGCTGTTGCCTCCAACTGCTGTCGAGCTTCCTCTGTCCGACTCTCCACCTGCATCTGCATCTGTCTCTCCTCCTCCCTCATCCCCCGACGCATCTCCTGCCTCTGCCGATACAGAGCACGACGACGACGACGCCTCTCCTCCCCAATCGCCCACGATGCCTTCTGTACGTGCCCCCCTCAATTCCCTTGCCCACCGGCTCCTCAGCGCCGTCACCAGGCTCGGGCTCAGGTGCTGTCATAGACCGTTGAGCCGCAGCTGTTGGCCAGCTGGGAAGAGACGACGAGGCTGATGCCCCGCTACGTCAACCACTCACGAAGCTGACCTGTATGGCGTCACAGAAGACGACACAGTCAGATGGCGATGCCATTCACTATGGTAAGGATGCGATGCCGAGCGGGAAATAGAGGTGCAGAGTTGCTGACAAGCTTGCGCAGGCAAGATCTACTCCATCTCAGGGTTGGCTACCTCGACAGACTCGACATCACAATGATCCGACTTGGCTAACCAGACTGCAGTCCCGTCATTGTCGCCGAGGACATGATTGGTGTTGCCATGTACGAGCTGGTAAGGAGCAACTTCATTCAGCCACGCGATCCCGCTCCGGCGAGCTAACTGAATTCAAAGGTCAAAGTTGGTCACGACAACCTCGTCGGTGAGGTTATTCGAATCAATGGCGACCAAGCAACCATTCAGGTCTACGAGGAAACCGGTATGGCGACGAGCTTCTTTTTATTAACTTATCCTCCCCACGCACCAAGTCCAATACGAACGCGATAAGAATCCATACTGACGAGCTCCCATAGCCGGTGTCAAGGTCGGCGATCCTGTTGCGCGGACGGGCAAGCCCTTGTCCGTCGAGCTGGGCCCCGGTCTGCTCAACAGCATCTACGACGGTATCCAGCGACCACTAGAAAGCATCTCCAAGATGGCAAAGTCCATCTATATCCCTCGCGGTGTCGCCGTCCCGGCCCTCGACCGAGAAAAGAAGTGGGAGTTCACCCCTCAGCTCAAGGTTGGCGACCACATCTCCGGCGGCGATGTCTGGGGACATGTGTTTGAGAACTCTTTCTTGTCGGTCCACAAGATCTTGTTCTCTCCCCGAGCTCGAGGTGTCATCACCAGGATTGCCCCCAAGGGCGAGTACACTGTGGTCGAAAAGATTCTCGAGGTTGAGTTTGACGGCAAGAAGACGGAGTACCCCATGATGCAGAGCTGGCCCGTCCGAGTTCCCCGTCCCACCTCCGAGCGTTTGACCGCCGACCAGCCCTTTGTTGTCGGCCAGCGAGTTCTGGATGCTCTCTTCCCCAGTGTCCAGGGTGGTACCGTTGCCATCCCCGGTGCTTTCGGCTGCGGCAAGACTGTCATCAGTCAGTCCGTGTCCAAGTTCTCCAACAGCGACATCATCGTCTACGTTGGCTGCGGCGAGCGCGGTAACGAAATGGCCGAAGTCTTGAAGGACTTCCCCGAGCTCACCATTGACGTCGACGGCCGCAAGGAACCCATCATGAAGCGAACCTGCCTCATCGCCAACACCTCCAACATGCCCGTCGCTGCTCGTGAGGCCTCCATCTACACGGGCATTACGGTGGCCGAATACTTCCGCGACCAGGGTCTCAATGTCGCCATGATGGCTGATTCATCCTCTCGATGGGCCGAGGCCCTGCGTGAAATCTCTGGTCGTCTGGGAGAAATGCCTGCTGATCAGGGTTTCCCCGCCTACCTGGGTGCCAAGCTCGCTTCCTTCTACGAGCGAGCCGGCCGAGCCCAGACTCTGGGATCGCCCGAGCGAAGCGGCAGTGTCAGCATCGTCGGTGCCGTCAGCCCTCCCGGTGGTGACTTTTCCGACCCTGTCACCACCTCCACCCTCAACATTGTCCAGGTCTTCTGGGGTCTGGACAAGAAGCTCGCTCAGCGAAAGCACTTCCCTTCAATCAACACTAGCGTCTCGTACAGCAAGTACAACAATGCCCTCGACAAGTGGTACGAGCAGAACAACCCCGATTTCCCCAGGCTACGCGAGCGCATCAAGCAGTTGATTTCCGACTCGGAGGAGCTGGACCAGGTCGTGCAGCTCGTCGGCAAGAGCGCCCTGTCGGACAACGACAAGATCACGCTCGATATTGCCGCCCTCGTCAAGGAAGATTTCCTGCAGCAGAACGGTTACTCCGACTACGACCAGTTCTGCCCCCTCTGGAAGACGGAGTGGATGATGAAGCTCATGATTGGCTTCTACGACGAGGCGCAGAAGGCCATTGCTCAGGGCCAGAGCTGGGCAAAGGTCCGCGAGTCAACAAGCGACCTGCAGACCAAGTTGCGTCAGCTGAAGTTTGAGGTGCCCACCGATGGCGAGGACGTGATTGTCAAGAAGGTATGTGCTGATACTTGCTCCAAACCTCAGAGACGTTTTCCGTTGATGGCTAACATTGTCACTGCAGTACGAGGCTATTCAACATGAGATGCTGGACAAGTTTGCATCAGTCGCAGACGAGTAAAAGGACGTCTCAGTGTGTTTTCCCCCCTCCCCATTGTTTTGTAGATGTTGCGCGTATAAATGTTTGGTGCAGTTTGGGCCTGGAGTAATGCTATACAAGTCGGAAATGCAGGAGGGTAGAAGACGGCGGGGAGACTGTGAGGCGCCGCCTAATCTTGTACTGGCCTGATGCCAAAGTTTGTGCTTCTCTTTTATCCTTTAAACAATCTATTACCGATTCACTCCATGGACGTATCCGAATGTGCCTTGATCGTATGTGATGAATGTAATCTTTGAGCATACAGGCATACCGTGCGGCTGGCGGAGATGATGACTGACTGTACTGTGTGAAAATCATCCATAGAACCAACCACTGGCTTGTTAGACGGATGTCAGCCCAGCTCATGATTGGTGAGTGCGGCCGGCTTCAAGAACAAATGGAAGAGCACTCAGTTCAACGCCTCTTAATCTAACTGAGACAATGTCCGAAGACCTCCGCGATGAGGTTGAAGCTCTCAACTCCATCTACGGCGAGGGCTGCCTCTGCCCCTCCGAGGACCAAGACGCATCCTCCTCATCGACGACGTACATCCTCCAGCTGCCCGGCGAAGAAGCCTCGTCACTGAGGCTGCAGTTCCCCAACTCGTACCCGGCGGAGCCGCCGACGGTGCTGGGCACGCAGCACAGCTCGGGGGGCAAGAAGGGCGCCGGAGCGCGGGACCTGGGCTTGTTCCGGGAGGCCCTGGGGACGGTGTTCCAGCCGGGCGCCGTGTGCTTGTTTGATGCGGTGGAGGAGTTTGTGAGGAGGATTGAGGAGGAGAAGGAGCGGGAGAATTTAGTACTTCAGCAGCAACAGGAAGAACAACATGAAGAGGATGGTGGTGGTGGTGGTGAAGAAGGGGTGAATGCGACTCGAGGCGAGAGGAGGACGCTCACCAGCGCCGCCGCCGCCGAGCAGATCGATTTCGCCTCCATGGAGCCTCCCCCGTGGACCGTGTCGGACGTGGTCGTGGAGAACAAGTCGACCTTTGTGGCGCACGTGGCGCGCGTCTCTTCGCCGACGCAGGCGAAGCTCTTCCTGCAGCACCTGCTCTGGTCGGACCGTCGGGTCCGGGCGGCGACGCACAACATCAGCGCGTGGAGGATCCGCGGCGCCGGGGCGACGAGCTACTCTGATTGCGACGACGACGGGGAGGACGCGGCCGGGTCGAGGCTGTTGCATCTGCTGCAGCTGATGGAGGCGTGGGATGTCATGGTTGTGGTGAGTCGGTGGTACGGCGGAGTGAAGCTGGGGCCGAGGAGGTTTGCGTTGATTAATGGCGTTGCGAGGGATGGGCTTGTGAGGGCTGGGTTGGGGGAGGGGAGGGACAAGAAGGATGATAAGGGGGGGAAGAAGGGGAAGTGAGGGATGGGAGATGGTGATGAGGATGAAGAAGAGTGAATAGGGGGCTGTGGGTATATATCGTGTTGTAGGTGGTGGGATCAGCTTCAAGTTGTGATATTTCATTTTGTATGGCGGCATTGGATAGATGAGGAGTTGGCTTTATTACTTCTCCCTTTGGCAATGGAAACCGGACGTATGATCCTACATCACATCTGCTTGTCCCTCATCTAGAAGTTCATTGTCCACAGAAGATATCACCATGGAGGGTAAGAGAGGGTGTATGTTGAATTCTTTCATTCTACATATCTGCGAGTATTCTCTCTCTCTCATAATCGTCATGTTTCATTGCCATCGTGATCCCGACAATCCTCATCTAGAACAAGACCAGATATGCCAGCTTTTTGCGGAGAAGAAAAGTAAAAGCGAAAGGCAAGTAAAAATCCATCAAAGGTCAAAACAGGCATGCTTCCTAGACAATCTCTATAACAACTTGCGGTACCATCTCTTTGATGTCTTTGTTTCTTTTCTCATCCAACTCGTCGCAAACTATGGTCGTAAGATGTACCGAATCTTTGTGGCCGCTCATCGCTCGTGCCAATCGTTCATGAAGAAACATCTTCATTGTTGTATATCGCGTGCCCCCTTGCTGGGACGTTTGCACATGCTTGGTGAGCTTGGTGCAAGCACTTATATGGTAAAATAATAGGAACGAAAACGGAGCCGCGTAATGAGCCTGCTCTAGGCGGTCGTCTCCTTGTTGTTCCGGGACTCGGGAGCCACCAGCGACTTTTCCCACTCGTCCATCAGGTTGGTGGCCGTCTTCTTGAGGTTCCGTGGGGATAGATGATGAACCACGCTAGGAAGTAAATCTTCAAGCGCCGGAGAAAGAATAGATGCATCGGCTTTCCTCGCCCTAGACGATAGCAAAACTAATCATTAGCCAATCCATTCCCGCAAAATTTCGAGGTGAAGCTCGGCATCCTTACGGTTTGGCATCCTCCTCGTCCTCCTTCTCGGGAATGTCATCAATGCCACTGCTATTAACGGTAGAACCACTCCAGCGGGCAGACTTGGTGGAGACGGGCGAATCCCAGTTGAGCCAGTCAGAGTCGTCAACAGAGTCGAAACCAAGCGGTGTCCAAGAGTAGTTTTTCCCTCTCCCAGTCCCAGTCTTTGGCTTCAGCTCGGGGGTTCTGTTAGCTTGGGATGTGGTCGACGCGGCCGTACTGGAACCTTCATTACTGCTGGTCCTAGTGTGGATGGTGGCATGGTTCGGCTTACTCGTATCCTGCTCACGAGCATTGGCGATGGCAGTCGACATGGTCCTCTGCGGCTGGCCAGTAACCGGTTCGTCTCCAACGGTGATCTGGCGAATGTCCTCCACGAAGGCGCGGAATCCTAGCTTAAAGTCTTCGACGATGGAAGGGACGCCAACAACGGATGCGACGCTCTGCTGTGACCGCGGCTGCCAGGAGGAACGCTTCGATAGGGTTGGGTCGGTGAGCTGGGCCATTCTCTGTTCCGCGGATGGGAGCGTGATCGGATCTGCTTGTGTGGCTTCGTTAAGGGAGAAGACGCTCTCCGTCCGTACGGGAGAGAGCAGGGAGAGCGTGCGGGCATGTCCGCCACGGATAACCTTGCGGCGGGCCTGTGCCGGAGTGGTCTGGCCCTGGAGAATGTGCTTCCGGCGGTCCAATTCGACGCTGCGTCGTGACGCTACCAATGCATCATCGTCGATGCCGGCCTGCGAGCTGCCAAAGGGATCGCTTCGGTAGCTGTCGCTCCGCTTGCGGTAGACCTCCTCGGATGCCCATTGCTTCTTCAGCCGTGCCAATTCCGTCTCGGCCTGTGCGAGCTCTTCCTTCAGTTCCAAGACTCGCCGCTCCTGAGCCGCAATTGCTATGATGAATTCGTTTGCATTCGAAGGAGAGGTTGCCATGCTGGCAGGAGTCTCCAATGGCGTCTGAGGGACCGACGATGCGGTGATGGCGGACGCCGTCATGATGGCCGGCGAGTCGGCCAGCCTTGGGCCGTCACCCAGCGGCAGGGCGACCGGCAGCGTAAGCGAGAGGCGGTTCTTGTGGCGGGAGACGGAAGGGGAAGCGCGGGAGCGGCCTCGCGTGAAAGAGTCGCTCCGGGGGAGAGGCGGTGGAGGCATTGCGCGTGCCGAGTCGTCAAAGGCGGACGAGGTGCTGGACGCACTGTGCGATCGTGAGATGCCAGGGGAGGAGGAGGAGGAAGCGAAGGTGGCCGTCCTGGCGCGTGCGGAGGACCTGGCCTCGGGCACAGGGCTGCCGGCCGCAGACGAGCGAAGGCGGATCTCGTGCTGCTGCTGCGAGGCCATAACAAGATACGTCGGCAGGTGGATGCGGGCTCGTAAGGATAGGGCGACTACTTGGAGCAGAGGGAGGGAATGGCTGCCATCAACGGGACGGCGGGTGTCGAAATGAGTGGCTGGGGCACTGAGGCACCGATAGTGAACGAAGACGACCGCTACTCGGACAAGGAGCGCTCTGTGGTGGTCCTGGCTTAGCAGCTGATATTCATCGAGGAGAGGGCGGGCGCTGCGGTCGACGATGCAGATTCCAAGATGCAGGCCGCTCATGGGCAAGCCGATGCTGATAAGGAGAAGGAAAATCGGACGCTCCCGCTCTCATAATAGCACCGGCTGCGGAGCCCTGGCCAGGCCTTGTCCAGTCCTTGGGGGCAGATGCGAGGACTGGGCTTTGTGGGTGCCGTTTCGTTTCAGCACAGGCCCGTCTATTGGACGGCCAGAGAGCAGCCGGGGTCGCCTTACCCAGAAGAAGCCCGGGGACGCGACAGGGGGTTTTCGTGGACGGGAGCCTTTTTCGTCAACAGACGGCGGTGCTGGAGCTTTCTGGAGCTAGGCTGGCGTGTGCTGGTGGCTCTAGTCGGGTCCCAGCAGATGAGGCGGTGGGCGATATATGAAGTAAACAGAGGAATCGTGTGTATGTAAACACAGGTCCTCGTATGCAGGTCGACAAAAGGGCGAACAGGTGATGGATTCGCTGGCGGGCTGGCGGCGTTCTGGAGGCCCGAGAGAGGTGAGGGGGTTTCCTGTTCCCTTGCTGATGACGCTGCTCCCAGAGATCCGCTTCTCCTCTCCTCGCTCAAGAGGAGGGACCAGAGCTGCGTCTCAACAAAAGATCAGGCGAGATTCGTTGGCGAGAAGCGGAACCGCAGAGCGTCGCAACCCTGGTGGGAGTTGAGCCTTGTCGGAGATGCGTCTGTGAGACCGTGGCTGAGGTGCACGTTGGATCTATTGGGTATCACGGTGACACAGATCGTGGTATGTAGTTCACAGGAAAAGAGGCTGCAGATGATGCTCAAGTCGTCCTTGTTAATACTGGATCTCTTCCTCAAAGTTCCATATAGCCGCTCGGATGCATACATAGTCGTACTTGTACTCGCCCAAGGTCAGACATTTGGGCTCCCTTGCGGAGGCGTCAACTGACTTGCACGCTGGAACCCGAAGCCGCCAAACCCGCCCAAAGTGCTGCATCTGCAGTGGATCGACTTCAAGTTGTTGCTCTCAGGGGCTGGCGAGTGGGGGCGCAGCCGTGGTGCTTGTACATGTAGCGCTTGTGCCACTGGGCGTTAGCGGGTAAGCTCACCATCATGCCCGCTAAGCTTCGACGTTTAGTGGTTGGGCTGGCCTGTAGTACTCGTGCTCTGGCCCTCGCCGGCTGTTGACAACCTTGGAACCAAAACACCTGATGGGTGGCCATATCGCCGGTAGCACCTCGGAGTAGCAGTACCCGCGATGACGCTCCCGTTCGCTGGCGGGTGCTGCTCGTGCAAGCTCCATGCTCGGTACAGGTACGAGACGCCTGCTCGCCGCTCGATGGCCGCATAACAGGCAATTTGTACTGCGCCTGCCATGGAAACAGCCTCCAATCTCCGCGCAGTCTCTCGCCAACCTGGACAGGCGGCGCTGCCGTGTTTCGCATGCATTTCCCTGCCTCTCCTGCAATAAACTTCGAGATTATCACGATCATGCCCGTCTTTCTCTTGGCTTTGTGACTTGTATCTTTTCGCTGGTCCCGCGCCTCGAACAAGCTTTCGCCTTCTCCACAGCCTGCTCTCCCCAGAGCTTCGGAGGGCTGCAGCCCGTCTCACGTGCAGGCCGTTCATGTGACTTCCCGTGAGTCTCGCGTCGCGTGCCTCGAGATCCTTGTCACGCCTCTGGCCTGTCTCCTCCACGTTGGTGGGGATCTCGCACACCCTCTCGCTCGCTCGGCAGCTGGTGTCCTATCGCGCTGCCACAAGCCCTGCTTTTCCAGATGCAGGCATGATCACGAGCATCTTCTCTCGTTGAACAGGGGCATCTCCTATGTTTATGAGCCGATGAACTTGTCTTACAGCCTTGCCGATCCAGCCTCGCCCGACAGGGGAGCTGAGGTTGTAGCAGCAGCTGGCTCTCCTACCGAATTCCCCGATCGTCCTATCGGTTGCTTCGCCGGTTGTGCGCGAGTCATCAGAGGACATTGTGACATGTCACTCGTCGACATCACGACGATATGCCGCTGCCGTTCTCTCTGGCCTGCGACTTGTTAGACGCATCTTACGCCCTAGCAATAGCTCGCAAGCCCAGTGCCAAAGCTGTCACTGCCTGGTGCTCTCAGCATCGCAGCCGTATAAATGCGCCAGACACCGACCTTGCGGCGTTACTGTCCACACTGCTGCCCGAAAAGAGGACGGACAGGGTGTACTGCATACAGGCAAACAGTCTGGAGAAGATCATCGGACGCGGCTTGATGCTTGGCGCTTCTCGACTCAGGGAACTCGCCCTTTATAAACAACCCGGCCTGGATCTGGATCTTGCCGATTGCGTAGAGCGTATCTTGACTGTCACTGTAAGCTTCCTCATATCTCAGTAGGCTTGACAAAGGGGACTGGCATCTGATCCATCTCTAGCCGAATCCAGCTCTTCCAGAAAGACTTCGGGTCACTGTTGAAGTAATCGACGAGATCCTGCATTCCGTTGCGGCGAAGATAAAATGGAGCTCGCCATCAAAACGAATTGCAGACTCCAGCCCTGCCGAATCGCCTGGCCGTGATGGCTTAGAAGCATTATATAGGCGCCTTACTGCGAAAGAAGCCAAGTGGCTCACACGGCTAGTTCTCAAGGACTTCCAGCCTCTCGTCTTCGATGAATTTGGGCTTTACCGTTCGTTTGATCCCATGTTGCCTTTGATTCTGAAAGTTCGCGAAGATTTCACCACCGCTATCGACACTCTGCAGCGGCTCAAGAAAGAAACGCCCTCTCTACGACCTGGCATGCCATATGCTGACCGAAAATCTCTTTCCGCTGTCAAGCCGAAGTTGTCAGTAAAGGTAGGGCGACAGCAGTGGCACAAGGCTCGCAGCATAAAGCATTGCCTCCAGATGTGCAAGGGCCTGATGAGCGTTGAAGCAAAGGTGGATGGAGAATACTGCCAGATTCATGTTGATGTTAGCAAGGGCAGACGCGGTATTCAAATCTTCTCCAAGAGCGGTAAAGACAGCACCGAAGACAGAGACAGGTTGATCGGGTAAATCCCCTAGAAGACACTGCCTTCAAGCACAAGGAGACTGATTATTGAGACAGGGCCATCATCAAGTCATTGGCAATAGGGACGCCCGGATCTCATGTCAAGACAGAGTGCATACTGGAAGGTGAACTGGCGGTATACAGCGAATTGGTGAGCTATGGGAGCAAACGATGTGAATGCGAATTTCAGATAGCTAACATGGTGCTTGCAGGAAAAGAAAATCCTGCCTTTCCATCATATTCGAAAACACGTCGCCCGCCGTGGTCGATTCATGAATACAGAGCAGGATTCGCCGTAAGTCCCTGCTTGCAGCTGCGATGTCCAGTGGAAGAGCGTCCTAACATGATAAGTCCGAGGTCCTACGAACACTTAATGATCGTATACTACGATATTCTACTTCTCGACGGCCAGTCACTATTGAATGCTCGGCACTCTGAAAGACTCAAACTTCTGGAAAAGATCGTTCACTGCGACAAGGGTCAGGCTGAACTCGTACAGCGACAACTCATTAGCACCAATCATCCCATGGCAGCTTCGGCGTTGCGAAATGCATTCGCCAAAGTTATTAGGGAAAGGGGCGAAGGGTTGGTTCTAAAGGCAGACCAGCCCTATTTCAACTTTGATAATCCCGCGGAGCCGTTTACAAATCGCTGCATCAAGCTCAAGAAGGACTACATTGGCCGCTTTGGCGAGGTCGGCGATTTCGCCGTAGTCGGCGCTGGATTCAATGCGGCCAAGGCGAGGTCGTACAGCATCGACAACCTCAAGTGGACGCACTTCTATGTTGGCTGCATTGACAACAGGGAGGAGGTAAAGCGATGGAACGCCATCCCGGAGTTTACTGCCGTCAACGTCGTTGAGCTCAACGAGACCATGCTCAAATCATTCATGCTCTATGCGAATCCAAACTCGGTGCCGGTGGAGGAAAACGTCGAAACCAAGGTGAAGCACGCCGCCGGAGCCCAGCCAATACCAATGACCATGGCGTTCACGAGTCCACCCGTTTTCGATATGCGATGCTTCAGCTTTGAAAGGGCGTGGAGCACCAACTGGTGGACCTTGCGGTTTCCGTCCGTTGCCAAGATTCACTTCGACCGGGATTTCTCTGATGTGCTGTCTTTTGACGAGCTACAGAAGATTGCAGATGGCGCTACATCCGCCCCCGACGTAGAAGACAGCCAGGAGAACCTGGCGTGGATTGCCAGGCTGGAGCAGGCTGACCCGAGGGGACTGGGCGTTGACGCTGCTACGCAGTTGACAGCAACGACCATGCCAACGCCGTCCCCGAGACGGGCCTCTTACAACTCTTCAGGCTCCCAGCCCCTGATTAGACACCTTGATGACGGCCCTCTGGAACGCTCGGTCGACTCAGCAGATGCCATGGCACCACCGCCTCATAAATTGGCTGCTTCACAGCCATCTCCTACCACAAAAATCTCGAAAACCGGTCTGCCTGATAATCATAAGCAAAAACGGACTGCTTTTTCAGCGGCTCTGTTCCCTCCGTCGAAGAAATCCCGCAAGGCTACCGGTGATAATGAGTTAAAACCATCGTTACTGAGTGGCGAGCTCGAGTCCGAGTCGCCCAAACGGCGTCCCCTGCGGGAAATTGACGGTAATTCTACGCAGCAGCTCCAAGCATCATCGCCAGCTGTCGCCGTCTGTGTTCCCGATGACGAAAATTCGGGTATCTCCCCTGAGCCTGCGAGTAATCCGAAGCAAAAGGTGGATCCTGCAAGGCACGAGCTTCCTGCTGATCAACCGCTGGGGTCATCATCTTCTCTTCCGCCACTACAGGATAGTGCTATTATCATACCTGATAGCGAGAGTGAAGACGAGACGGACAGCGACAATGATATCCCACCTTCACCCTGTACTAATCGTGGGCAGCGCAAAAGCGATGCCCAAGACAAGCATTCAAATCAGACATCCCAAGAACCGAAAGCTCAATGTCGGTATGCTGGCATCGAATGCCAGCTAGCCGATCGCCTTGTTTTACTTCCAAATTACTTTTCGGATCTCAAGGATGTCGAGCCCCTATTCCGGGCCCATGGGCTGTCGAATATTATTAGAGACGCCGAAGCTTGGATTAGAAACGAGGCAACCGATAATCCTCCATTGCCAGACAGCCAGACAGGTCGTAACAAGATTCTGTTTGTCGATACGGTAGAGAAAGTGTCAGAGACAAAGGCTTTGCTTTCGAGACTGGAAGACGTTCGCGAAAGCATCCCGGAAGAGAGACGGGAATGGATAAGTGTTTTTGATTGGCGAGTTCTGAACCACCTCGCCATCTTTGAGGACGCAGAGACTACGAAGAAATATTACGATGGGTTTCATGATCCCTGGCGGCGTTGGTATTCTGGGTTGATATGAGGCCATATCTCGACTACAGCAATCATACATTTGGCGTTTATTATAGATATCCAACTTCTAAATAACAATTACTACATTTGGCGCTTACGCATCCTTCTTCTCATCATACAAGGTTCCGTAGCTCGCCTTCAATCTCATAAACAGATGCTCATTCGCCGTCATAACCTTCCTCTCCGCATAAGGATTCTCATTCGGCGCGCTCTCATCCGGAACATAATTCCTCACCCTGTCACTCGGCACCGGCTCCAAGGGCACCGACCCCCGAGGATGACAAAAGAAAGCAATCGAGTACCGCGGCCCCGCGCTCGTCTCGCCCTCAACCTTGCTCCTTCCATCCTCCGAAGGGAAGACCACCCGATGGACGGTGCTCCTGAAAAGCCCGTTTGTCCAATACGACAGCAAGTCGCCAATGTTGATCAGGATGGGGGGGCTGGGATCGTTCTCCGAGCCTGGCGGGCAGACTGGGACGGGAGCCCAGGAGCCGTCCTTCTTTTGCAGTTCTAGGCCTGCTTGGCCTTTGAGGCGGAAGAGTAAGGTGATGGAGCCGTAGTCGGAGTGGGCGCCGGCGCGGACGTCTTCGCTGGAGCGGGAGGTTTGCTCGGGGGGTGGGTAGCGGAGGAAGCGTAGGATGGAGCTGGATTCGCCGTTTGTGCTGTGTGCCGAGGAGAAGAAGTCACCGACCTAAGGCTTATCAGTCTTGAGTCAAGTATAGTCTGAAGAAGAGCGGAATGAAGACTCCTAGTGAAGGTGACTGGAGTGACTCACACCGAGGCCTATTCCAAGGAGGTGTAGCAGCTTCTTGCAGAGTTTATGACAAGAGTCCGCGAAGGCGCTGATTTGAGGCTCGTCGCCGGCAATGGTGGGAGGGAGAGGCTGTTGGGCCTTTCCGTCGATGAACTCGCCAAAGTTAAAAGCTCTTTACCATTATGAGTATCAGCCTTTTTGGATTTACATCCGCTCAGGGACAGGAATAAGGTTGAGCTCACTCTTTGAAGTCTCCGACCTGGTGAGATGAAGCATGATACCGTCAGCCAACCACTCTCTCCACGGATGTGAACACCTAGGGTTGGTAAAGATTACCTTTTGATGTTTAGGATCTAGAGTCTCCGAGTGCATGCCAGACCAACCGCGGTTGTTCGTCTGAATGGTGCACGCCTGCTTTTCAGCGAGGGGAGCATCGAACAGCTTCTTGGACTACATTATCAGTGATTAAGAGAGAATGGTTAGTGAGAGTATCTACATGTATATACCCGACTCAGAGGCGTAAGAAGCCGTACCAGTGCAAAGGCTCCATCGATGCTGTCGGCAGAAATGTCGGCTCCGAGGTTTCTGATGTAGATGAAGCCGTGCTCGTGAGCGGCGTCGACGAGCTGCTGGGCCACGGCGTCCTGGTCTCCTGCTATGTCGATGAGGGGGATGTCTGCCGTAACGGCCATGGCTTCTATTTTCTTCTTTTTTTTTTTTACGAGGCCACCTGGAAATGTTACTGGATTGAGAATTGGAACGGACAAGGACTTGAATAGATAGATGGTGTCGTAGGGTTGAGATGAGGTTGATGCTATAATCTCACACAATCAGAGGTACATGGATGGATCGCTGCGATAAAGTCGGACCCCGCCATCAGCGTGGAATGACGGCCGTGCTGTAGCGGGGTCGACAGCCCTGAGCTTCGGGGCTTCCCGCTAGCTGGAGAGCTCCCCTGTAGCTTCAGGCTTTGTGGCTGCTGGGCCTGGAGGGCGGCATGCTGTGGTCTTGTTCTTCATTCTGAGGACGTAGAGGATCCAAAGATGGACGGACATGATGGAGACGTCGAATTGGAGAATATAGCTCCCTTTTCTCCTTCAGATCCTTTTCAAACCCACCTTGTCCCTCAGTAGTCTCTCCGCTCCTCTGCCATTTGCTTTCCATTCAGTATTATGAAGCCACCGCCGAGGTGTTACCCAGCCACAGCGCAGACCCCATATGAGGCGCCACAGGCACTGTGGATCAGGGGGGAAAGCGCCCCCAAAACAGTCCCAGCCAGACCGAAACAGTGGGCGCTTACCTGTGCAGCGCCACCGTGCAACAGCCACTCCGACACTGTACTCGTTGCCGTACCTGACCTGATTGACTCGCTTCCGATTCCTCCTGGAACCAGCTCTGCTTTCCCTCACGCAGGGCTGAATCTCCAACTCTTCCATCGACTCCTTCTCGGGCGCGGCTGCTGGGGACGTTTTGTCGTCTGTCCGTCTCACTGCCTCTCTGTCCGCCTGTCTCTGTTTGCCTCGACGCGGGAAAAGGGGAAAGCCTGCTGTGGCCAAGCGTTACCGTAGCCTTTCGTCGTCGGTGTCCTGCTTGCTTTTTCGCCAACGATCCTTGTTTGGGTTTCCTCGTTTCTTCCTCTTCCAACTCCGGTTGCGCACTGGTAAACGACAAAACCGCTCCGTTCTCGAATTCGTCCTCTGGCCATACTCGAGAGCCTGTCGACGACACCCGATCATTCCTCGCAATTCCACCGCACGTTTCCAGAGGTTGCTTCGTTACCCTAGTTTCTGTCCGTTTGACAGCCGCGGGTTTTCAGCCTCGTTTCAAAACAGCACATCCTCCCCCGCCGCTCCGAGTCGCATACCACAACCGATAGCCATACACCCGTTTGCTGCGAGGAGGCTTGTTCAAGATGCCTTGTGAGTCCCTCTTAACCTCTGCAGAGCCACTCTCAAGCCCAGCAAAACACTCTCGCCGCCTGCGCGTGACTGCTGTTGCGCCACATGCCATGGGTCTCGATCTGGCCTGCCACTCTTTGGAGCGCCAATATAGGCCTCGCTGGGGGACTACAGCCGAGGCTCCATGGCCGTTTTCCTCTTTGAGGCTGCTCGCCGGCCCAATTGGCAGCTTGGGCTAACCTTTGGCATCGTTCAATGCTTCCCTCGGGAGGTTGCTGCGGCCAGAGTCACATGCCCATGCTCGTGCCAAGTTTACTGCTGATAGAGAGTTTTCGTAGCACCCCAAGCTAACTCTTGTCACAGTCCTTGTGGAGGATTCCTGGATCAATAGCCAGGCAAAGTACGTGAGCATTCTTCCGTCAATTAGCGAACGTTACTGATTGCCTGCCGATTAGCACACATGAAATTGCCGAGCTCGAAGATTGCTCCATCGCCGTCGATGCCTCGTACTACTTGAGCCTCCTTCTGGATACCGAGCCTGCTCACGAGCCCCTGCTTCCCGCACTTGGCGGCCTGACAGGCATTCAGGTCCATATTCGCCAGAATCTTGACCTCTGGGACAAGTTTCGAATCACCCCCTTTTTCATCTTCAACGGCCAGTCTATCGTGGGACAGGACGATATCACTCTCAGGCGCGGTAGAGCCGCGAACCAGAAGACGGATGAGGCATGGGGACTCTATTCGCAGACGGAGGCTGAACAGGCCGTCGCTGCCTTTGGAGCCAATCCTGGTATGTCCCCCATTTCTGGGTCTTCGCCTTGCGTTTGGCGCGCCAGGGACAGATTCACTAATCAAGCTGTCAATAGGTGCCTATCTGATCCAGAATTTGTATCCGCTTCTCCAGAGCATCTTGAAAGAAAGGGGTTTGCACTTCTTGGTGCCCCCGTACAACGCTTGCGCTCAGGTTCGCTTACACAAATTCCCTTGTAAAGTGTACAATGATATCTAACAATTGAAAAGCTTGCCTACTTCGAGATGATCAACTCGGACCAGTGCGCTGGTGTCATGGGTCCCCAGGAGCTGCTTCTGTACCCCATCCAAGACTCCGTCATTCGAAACATCGACTTCAACGCCGGAACAGTGACTGCTGTCTCCAAGAAGAAGGTCATGCGCGTGCTCGGGGTTAGCGAGCCCATGTTTGTCGACGCCATGCTCATGACGGGCACCTCGTTTCTCCCTCCATTCCCGCCGCTACAGGACACAGCGATGTATCCGAATCCGTTTACCATTATGGATGCCGTAAACATCCTTCGGACGTCGGAGAAAGCCGTGGTTAACGCCTGCGCATCCTTCAACGACATCTTGCAGGCGCAGGACCCCAACTGGCTGGACAAGTATCGCAAGGCCAGAATGGCAGCCCATCATTTCATCTACATCAGCGAAAGTGGCGAAGTCAAGGTTAACGACTTTGACCGTCTCACGAAGGACAACCACGAGTACCTTGGCCTCCAGATGCCCGCAGAACTGTTTCACTACCTCAACACGGGGCTTATCGGGGCTCGTATCCTGAACAGTATAACGCACGGTCAGATCATCGTTTTCCCGACTCTGGATGGTAACGCCTCGGATGAGTACAAGAAGCTGGTGACGAGTCAAATTCTTCCGATCAAAGAGCAGACATTTGGTCTTGTTATTCCGAGGGTGCACCGAGGAATAGGCCACAAGGACATCACCATGAAGGTCTGGTTCGATCCCAAGTACTCGTACACCCTGAATCACCGCTCTGCCCAACCGCCGCCCTCGCAAATAGTGGGAACCTGGGATGTCAAAGAACAGGATCTGCGCCGATTCTTCCCTGCCGACTTTGCCGGTCCCATATACCTAGAGGTTCTTGCGCTGGCAAAACAGGACTTCGTGGAGAAGACTATCTGCAGAGGAAAGCCGATCCGCGGCATCGACAGCACTGACATGGTGGTATCAGTCGCCATCTGGCGGTTCCTCCACCTCAGGGGCTATGTCGACGATTCTCACAAGCTGACCAACTGGGGCAATGCCTTGGCAACGACTCTCATTGCCATCAGGGACGCCATGGACGAAACAGTACCGGGTATCGACGAGGCTGCTCTGTTGGCGTTTGAGTTGCTGCGATTCGGACTTTTGAGCGGCAAGTATCGTGAGGGTGCACCCGGTATGCCCCGCAAGGGAACCGACGAGGACAAGGCCAGCGTCATCCTCATTAGCCAATGTGCCTCGTTGCTCAGGCTGAGGCACCAGGTGTTTGGATACACCGGTCCTCTGAACAAGAGCCTCCTGGGCTTCCGCGCACTGTCTACCACGGTGCGCGAGGCTGATCGAGATTTGATTGAGGCAATTGTTGCATCCATGTTCATGTACGGACAGTGTGAGCGCGAAAGGAACGACCAGCTGGAAATCAGCCAAAAGTATGACTCCCTCTTCTTGACTCTCAACGGTATGTGATGGCTGACTGTGTCCAGGCTACCTTTCTCGCAGGAGCCGCACATTGGACTGGGCATTGCCGCCTTGACATTTTTTGATGAAGACGACCCCGAAGATACCAAAGAAGCGCGAGCCGCTCGACTGCAGACATTCCCAAGCACCTTTGTCCCCTTGTCAGAGGCACTCCCAGAAGACTTGCGCATAGCCATCGACTTTGTCAGCGCCCTCAACCAGGGCGTGCAGACGCTGAATGGGAACTCACTACCGGCAAAGGAGAAGGCTGCCTGGACAAAAGCCCAAGACTACATCAATGCCCGACCATTTTAAGACGCCATGTCATGAGCTTCACAACCCGGCGGAAGCAACGAACAAATTTAACAAGAAAAACAGAATCTGAAAAAGGAGTTTACAATATTATGGATAGCTTCTTTAGATACCACCCTACACCGCGTTACATATCCACAATCATCCACAAACGGTTTACACCATAGAGTTGAAGGTATTCTTGGGGGATTCGATGGGACAAGGAAACTACTAATACTTTCTGAACGACGCTCGCAGTTCGTTCATGTCTCGATTTGAGGGCGGGTTGTGTAAAGAAAAGTCTCTGGGAGGGAGGAGGGAGGGCAGGTATTCAAAAGTTATTTTACTCATGGCTGATGGGTATGTCCCTTGTGGACTGGAGGGCAGCAGATGGGAGACGCAGCTGTTGGGGTGGGAGGTTGGGGTTGGAAGTCTCCGAAGGGCGAAGGTTTAAAGGATGAGAGAGTGTGTGTGCAAACAAACCAGCTTGCATGGCAAGTTTCCAAGGAGTTTACGTGTCAGGTGGCTCTTTGTGGTATCTGACGCAACCCTGGAGACGGTCATGAGGTTGTTTGTTGGAACGGAAGGTCATTGATGGCCTTTCGGGGGCTTTTCGTCAGTCCCAAGGCTTTCTCGGACCTCAGCTTATCAATGTTCCTCGGCACACCGTACGTATATATAGCAAGAAAAAGAGGAAAATAAGAAGAAGAAAATCTCAATTCCTGCAGTGGCTAGGGAGTTCAAGTAGCTCAAGAATGGATTTGGAGAGAAGAAAGTCAGTGCCACGGATGTTTCATCTCTGGGCTTCCGAGGGGGCCCCCCACCTTGGATGAGATGAGATCTAGGTTCGGTCTCGGGACTAGCCTGGATAGTTTAGAGGTAGACGAGAGGTTATGTATTGCGTGAATGCACTCTGTGTGTAAAATGACCAGGGTAGATATTCGTAGATTCATCTTAAAACATCATACATTGCTGGAATGGAGCTTTCCACCCGGAGAGTTCATCTCATGGGCACGCATAGCGGTCGGTACTGTGGACATGTTTTTCGTTCTGTTCTTCCAGTTAAACGAAGTGTCATGGGCAAACAATGTTTGTGAAGAAGATGAAAATTGGGATATATTAAATAAAGAGTTGACTCGAAACTTTCCTCATCTTTCCGATTCATGGTACTCCCGAATAAAAAACACAACTGCCCGACATCTACTTGTCCCGACCCCAACGATATTCATATTTCTTTCTATGACACAGTGATGGCGATAGGACCGGCAAGGGTAATGTCATCAGTCAGAGCACCCGTCAGGGGGGCGGCGCTGGAAAGAGACAGATACGTAATGCCAGCGACACCCTCGGGGATGGTGCAGCCGTCGGCCGCGGTGAAGGGCGTGAACATGGTGCCTCCCGGAGTGACGCCGCCAGAGGTGAAGGCGCAGAACTTGGCGCCGGCGGCGGCGTCAGACTGCAGCTTCACGACGGAGTTGACGGTGGTGGGATCGCTGGGGTTGGCTAAACTGAGGGCGGGGAAAGCGGTGAGCTTGAGGTCGGAGCCGCTGGGGCAGGACTTGATAAAGGGCGCGGCGAGGGAGAAGACGGCCTTGGGGCCGAGGGGAGCGTCAAAGGCCTGGGGCACGGCCTTTTCGCCGCTGAAGACGCGGATGGAGCTCTGGTGGCGAGCCTCGATGGTAAGGATCGAGCCGGCAACGCCGAGGATGGCCGGGGAGGCCAGCAGAGGGGCGGCGCCCAGGTAGGCTGAGATGCCGACGTTCTCGAGAATGGCGGCAGTCTGGACCATGGCCGCGGCAGTGGTGAAGCCAAAGTCGTAAGTGCAACGCTGGACGGGCTTGACGCCGTTCTGCGCGAGCGAGGACTGGAGAAGGATGACGTGCTCGCCCTCGGTGAAGCCAATGTTCTGGAGATCCTGGATCTGCTTGTCGCTCAGGCCAAGAGCAGTGAACTCGGAAGCGGGAAACTTGGCGAAGCCCTCGCGGTAGAAGGACTCTTCGAGGTTCTCCAGGGTCAGGGCGCTGCGAACGGTGTAAGTTTACTTGTTGGCCTTTGGAGTTGAAACTGTAGGGAGAGCTTACAATTGAAGGATATCAAAGTCACCGAGACCCAGCGCCGCCGCAGCAGCATTCTGCCTCTTGGCAACGGCATGGTACTCCAGCTGTCGTTCAGTGAACTTGGGCACTGAGGGAAGAGCAGCAGCAGTAGCAGCCAGCAGGGAAACAACAGCAGCTTTGAAGGAAGGCATCTTGACTATTGTTTCTTCGTCTCTTTCGGTTGTCTCCTTTGAATTCGGTCTCGTCAGGTGTCAAACCAAGTGGTCCAGCCGTGCGGAAGAATAACACGAAAAGGATTGAAACGAATGGAAAGTGGTATAGTCAAGGATCGAGTCAAGCGAATAGAATGGAACAAACGAAGGGTATACCAGCAAAAGCAGGCCAGCGGCTTTTTGACAACCCAGGAGATGAAAGAAAGTGAAGGAGAGACGGATCGGAGCGCAACGATGGAGATCCAGAGGAGAAGGGAAGGCCAGTTTCCAAACAGCGCGTTTCCACGATCTTATATCCCAGAGCCAGCTGGGTGTCAGTGAGGTTGAATGTATGGTCCGGCCAATGGAGGATTGCCCAAGTCGGTATAAGTGAAAGATAATAAGCCCCCAGGGGCCACCGCAACGTGGGACAAAACGGCCATGGCGGCTCCATGAGGATCCGTTTCTTCGCTTCAGTACGTCGAGAAAAAGACCCCCAGATGGACGGATCCGGGCCTCAAGCGCCTCACACCTTTCCCCTAGTTAGACAACAAGCAACAGGGCAGAAGAGGAGACAGATCAAGGGCCCGGAAGCTGCAAGAAGCGAAGCTCATCCCAAGCTATTGCCCCCAGATCTGCTCCCCCGACAGGGTCTAGCTGAACTAGCTCAACCCCCCGTCCAGAGTCCGAAACGAATCTGACACAACGCGCAAAAGCAGCGTCCCCGGAGCCAATCTCTTCCGCCTGGCAGAGGGGCGGCTGCAAGCCAGGTTCGTTTTAACTTTAATTTCTATCTTCTTTTCTGCTCTGTGAGCTGGAGGAGACGGATCACATCTGGGCCCTCGTTAGCGCGTGCGTCTTGGCCGTGGGAGGGATGCTCATGTCGCACGATGGCTGGCGGCGGGTTGCAGAGCGTTCCGCGACTCAGGCCGTGCGCGCGTTTTTCTCTTTGCTATCGTGAGTGAAGCTGGTCGAGGAGGGAGGAGGCGGCCTCTCGTAGTGTTGAGGCAACCTTTGACTGCAGGTGAACACTTGCACTTCCGATGGCTGTTTGTAGGTAGTGAGTCTGTTGGAGGATGCTTCCTGGATCTGTGCTTTATGCGATGGTGAGAAGCACCAAGTTGACGCCTTATTAATCAGGAGCTGCTCTTGTGGCAGCAATACTCCGTAATACATTGGTCAGTATCAAAGGAAGGTACGGAAACCGGAGCATCTCTGTGTTCCTCATGCCTAGACTGCCTTACTCATATAAGTCACCTTTCTCGGGGGTTCCACGCTCCGTTCCGTTGGGAAGGTATGAAGGGCCTATTGCTTCGTAGAGATCCAGATCAAGTGATAAGACAAAGGACGGTGTGGTATCAGATAGAGGCTGACTTCAACTTCAGCAATACCTGCTCATAGCCCATCTTCTTCACCAAATGACAAGGCCACCCTGCTGCCCAGCCCCTGCTCCTGTCTCACAGAGTGACAAAGCATCTTCACCGGCTGCCCCCCATGCCTGCCTACCTAGTTAGACCTGTAGCACCAGCTTCAACTGTTTCCAACCACGGCCGGCAAGGCCAGTTTCCCGTCAAATGTTTCAACTGTCTCGGAACTGGCCCCAACCGGACCTTCACTCGGCATCACATCACAGTCGACGCGCTCATCCGTCACATCTTTGAGGTGCAAGATCCGCTCGGGTATGTCAGAGTACGGGGGCAGGGGTACCTTATGTAAATGGAATGCTCATTGCTTCACCTCTCTCTTTCCACTAACGGCATATATCAATCATATCTCATTCTGCTCCACCTCCTGCTCGATTCGCTCTCTTGTCTCAATTACATCAGTGTGCTTTTCCTGTCCTTCTTTGGCTTCCGCAACATCAGATGCATCGCCTTCGGAACCATTACTTCCATGCTGCCTTAAGCCTTCCTTTGTGCCCGATAATATATATAGAGATATATATACATCGCATCGCTGCTATAGTAGACAAACCTACTCGATAGCGTGAACCCATCCCCTGGGTATATCAATCTGCCATCTGCATCTTCTTCGCTCGCATTTCCACCGTCAAGTCCATCCACTCTACAACGCATAGGGGTTGAGAGACCGAATGGTAAGGCAACTATTTGATGTCTTCACGTTAGCAAAACTGGTCTTTCAAAATACGATATGGGAGGGGGCTTCAAAAGTCACCAGGAGACTACTTACGGTGGGCTCTTGGTAAGGTCCGTCTTGAGAATGATGGGAACCCGGGTCATCTCAGTCACGTCTTGGATGTAGTCTCCACCCTCCTCGCGTAGAGTGAACAGCTTGAGGTACTTCTCCTTGTTCGTCAATCGTGTCTCCACGGCCTCTGCGATGGGGACCTTGGAATCGGATCGGGTCCGGTGCAGTGTTCCGGCATTGGAAGCTGAGCGTGCTGGCGATCCCGGCACACTCTGCGTGGGTCGCTCAGCCAGCGATGCTCCCGCCATGGCTTCGGTCACGTCCGAAGTATCGTCCTCGTCATCATCAAACAGGGCGTCGACATCGTCCGTGGAGATGGTACCGGTGACGGTCTGCTTGCGAGCGGCCTCCTCCCTCTCCTTCTTCACCCGCTCGGCCTCTTCTGCCTGTCGAGCAGCGGCCAGCGCATTGGACATTCTCATGGAGGCCGCAGCCTTGGGCCTCTCATCCTCAGGCACATACGCGGAGCTGGGAACGCCCTTCTCCCAGTAAAGCTCCAGAACACGCTTCTCCTTTCTGAACTCTGCCTTCTTCAGCGGTAGCTGATCGCAATGGACCCTCTTCTCGAAGCCCCACTCGGGAATCAGTACGTCGAAAGCCGACTCGTACACGCAGAGGACAATGCCCTCAGCAATGAGATCACCATTGACCTCCTGTCGCTTCTTGTCCATGGTGCGGCAGGATTCAATGTGGATGCTCTGCTCTTGCGCGTTCTGCGCCGAGTCCTTCTTGGTGTTGCAGAGCTCGACAGTCTTAACGAGGTTCTCCATATCGTCGGCAAATTCAATCTTGCCCTCGGAAAGAACAGCTTCCAGCTGTCGATGGACAATGATATCAGCATATCGGCGGGTAGGGTACGTAAAGTGTGTGTACAGCGGCAGGTTGAGCGTGTAGTGAGGCCACACGACCTTGGGAGTCTTGCCGGCAATGAAGTACTTGGCTCGCTGCATAGACTTGAGAAGAACCGTCTCCATGCCCTTGCGCAGATCGGCATCTTCGACCTTGAAAAGGCTGTTCTGGAGTGCCCCGCTTCCAGAGGCATCGATGTCGTATCCAAGGGCTGTCATGCGCTCGACAAACGTCTGCAGGCGTCGTGGGTTGGGAGCGGCCTGGCGACGCAGCAGAGCCTTGTCAGGTAAGCCTTCTGCCAGACGCTGGGCCACATAGCTGTTTGCCTTGTGCATGAGCTCTTCGACAAGCTCCAGGGCCTCCGTAGAATCAAAGATGTTGTGCTGCACTTGGTGGTTCTCGTCATCCAGCTGCTTCAATAAGCGGAGAGGGGCGATGGGCTCGCTGCCGGCACCCAGGCGAGCTTCCCGGAATTTCTGGGCGACAGCCTGCAGGATCTGGATGGTGTTGACCGGAACGGCCGCATTGTCATAGGTGGAAGCGTCAGTCAGGGCCTTGTCAATATCGGCCAGCGACACCTTGCCGGTGGATTTGATGATGCTCTTGCCCACCCAGGCATCGCCTTCGGCAACGGCGCCGTTGACAGGGTTCACGGTGAAAACGACACTGACGGTCAGACGCTCCTCGCCTGGCACGAGAGAGCAAACCTCCCCAGACAGCTTGGGAGGCAGCAGAGGGCAGAATCGGTTGATGAGGTGGACGGCGGTACCACGCTTCTTGGCCTCTCGGTCCACGAGAGAGTTGGGCTTGACAAAATGCGTGACATCCGGAACGTGGATACCAATATCAATCTTGCCATCGGGTCGGGAAGTGACGTGAACCGCATTTCCGAGTTCGGCACTGCCGTTGAAGTCGATGGTGAAGACCTTTTCATCGCGGTAGTCGCGGCGCGAGGCAATGGCCGCCTCGTCCTCTTGGGCGAGCGACCAATCCTGGAGGCCGACACTGCGCAAAACAGCGTCGGAGAACTCGTCGGAACCGAAGTTGTTGTCGCGAAGCAGCGCATCGGTCTCCACCTTAAGGTCACCCATACGACCCAACTGCTCTACAAGCGTACCAAAGGGATGAAGCGACGTGATGGGCCATCTCTTGATGCATGCAACAAAGATGCGATCGGCATAGTCCTGGTGCTTCTCAACAAAGTCTCGGGGAGCTTGCTCCGTGGGGATGGCAATCAGGGGGACGCGCTTGTCAGTAGGCTTGAACCAAACAATCTTGGGCTTGTCCTGCTGGCGACTGTCATTCCCACGGGAATTGCCACCTTCTCGGGCAGCTCTTTCGGCTTCCTGCTTCTCCTTGGTAGCCTGGCTACTGGGTCGAAGCAAGCCCAGAGTACCTGAAAACATCTGGCCTGCCACACGCTCAATAACGGCAACAACGTGGCCGGCATACAGAGGCTTCTGTTCATCGTTGATCTCTTCTTCCTCGACAAGGAGCAGGCTCTGGCCCTCGACTTCGACGTCGTCGTTCTTCTTCTGCGTGGGACGCTGGCGGAGACTGCCACGGCGGCGAATGGCTCCATCGGGAGGGTTGTTCTCATCGGCTTGGCCAGGGGCCTGGCTGCCTTGGTTGATGGAGCCGGAGCGAGTGTCGGTGATGTCCTTTCGCTTCTTCTTCTCTTCCTTCTCGCGCTTCTGGCCCCATACTTCGTCGACATCCAGGAGCTCAACGGCGACCAAATCACCCTCAAGGGCGCGGTTACGGTCTTTGCTACCGCAAATGAAGATGTCGGCATCCAAGAGGCCATCGAGAGTCGTGACATAAGCATCACTGCGATTCTTCTTGTTGACTCGGAGGATACCCGACACAAGCTGGCCATCCCCAAGCAAGGCGGGAAGAGTAGCCTGCGGGAGATAGGGGGTGAAGAGCGTCTTTCGCTGCTGCTGCTGTTGCTGGCCACCCAGCTGTCCAGCGTGTTGGGAGCCCTGAAGGCCCTGGAACTGTTGAGAGTTCATCTGGGCAGCTTGCAAAGCCTGAAGCTGGCTGATCTGCATATGGTTGAGCTGCTGATTGTACATCTGGGGCATCATCATCTGGCCAGCAAGTGGAAGGACCGGAGCCTGGCTGGGGTTATACTGAAAGCCACCGATAGCGGACATGGACTGGTTGACGGAGCCGCGGGGACGGTGGCCGGGCTGGAAGCCCTGGTTCTGGCCAACGTTGCTGGGTTGGTCCTGAGTTTGGCCTTGGGTGCGCCAGTTGCCCTCGTAGTTCCTAGATCCCGTACGAGCGTGGCCGGGACCGCGGCGCTGGAAGTCGTTACCACTCTCAGGAGCGGTGTTGAAGGCGCTGCTGCGCAGGCCGCCGCGTCCGTTGGCAGCCATGCTCTGGCTGCGGCCATGTCCACCGCGTCCGCCACGGGCAGATCCTTGCGATGCGGGGACTTCGAGGCTCGGCTGCGAGGCAGGCTGGTTCTCCTCCTCTGGCTTGTCAGATGCCGGAGAGCCAGCAGCGGGGAATTGGAATCCGGAAGTCGTTCGCTTCTGCTGAGCGAGCTCAGCAGCCTTCTTGGCATCGGCCAGGGCCAAGGAGTGTCGTCGTTGGTGGCCGCCACCGGCACCACCTCCACGGCCGCCTCTGGAACCAGCGTTCTCGCGCCCGTGGCTCGCCGGGGCCTCGAAGTTCCCAAAGGTAGATCCGGAAGCTCCTGAGGATGGCGCGGGTGGCGGACCCATGCCCATGTTGGGCAGAGCCGACTGATTACGGCGATGTGAGAGGGGCTGAGTCGGGGGACCCAGCGAAATGTTTTGTTGTGGGATCTGGTTAGGGAACTGGAAAGCATTGCCCATGGGCTGCAAAGGATTGAATGGACCGCCGGGTCCGATGGCTTGGCCCGGAGGCATCATGCCCATGTTAACATATTGCTGCTGGGTGGCCTGGATCTGCTGCTGCTGCTGTTGCAGGAGCTCGATCTGCTGCTGGATAGCAAGTTGTTCCACTGCGGCACACAGACTCGATTAGTCGTCATTGTCCCAGACTCGGCAATTCTCTTGATCTGGATGGTTTGCGGTCTTGATGTGGTGGATGCAGGGGGGGAAGGGCTGTGGATTTGGCAACGCGGTTGCCCCGCGCCTAGAGCTTGCGGCGACAAGGGCAGCCGCCACAAAGCAAGAAGAAGCGAGAAAAAAAGCCTGCTCGCAGGGCCAAATAGAAGAGATGAAGAAGATGAAAGAAAAGACGACTTACTTCCTGGATTGGCAAACATGCTCATGAGCGGCGTGAGTTCGGACGGGCTCCTGCGATGCGCAATGTGCAGCCTGCGTCCAGTTGGCCCATGAACGCCGCCAGCGGGATGCTGGCCAGCTTGCGGCGGCTGCTGTTGCTGGTCCATGGCGGAAGCAAAGGGCAGCGGAAAGGTGCACGTCGGGTGCGGGCTGGTGGTGAGCGATGCTGGAGGAGGTGTTTGGCGATGGAATGGCCGTGGGAGAAGGCTGTGGGATGTTGGGACGTTGTTGTGGTCGTGGTTCTGTGGTCGTCGTCAAGATTCGGCTCTAAGAGACAGGCAGGCCCCCGTGGACAGGACAGATTTTGCCAAAGGAGGGTCGATGCAGTGGATTCAAGCGAGCTCGACAGAGCCAAGGAGCGTTGGAAAGGAAGGAGTCGGGCTGACGGTGCAATGCAGAGCAGAAGCGGAGGGGAAACAATCAGAGGAGAAGAGAAGGTGAGGATGGATGCGGATGGGAAGTCCAGCTCCTGGTAACGGCGCTGTGCGGGAGTGAGGATGGAGGGAGGATAGAGACCGGCCACGCTCTGGGCTGGGGACGTACAGGTAGAGCTACCGCCCGGGGGCGAAAATATGGGGGGGGGTGCAGTGACGCTCTCGATCCTCCACTCGCTAGCAGCTCGCTGGCGCACGCCACTGGCCACCTCGGCGCGGCTGCGACCGCTGCGGCGAACCAGCTTCAGCCCGGGCCCCCTTGAGGCCAGTCGCGGCTGTTGATGCCTCAATTCAGTCGCCGCACCTGTTCGCGGGCCCTTGATTCATCCACGGCGTCCGCTGCAGCGCCTAGCTCGAAGCATTGAATGGTTGCCGACCTCAATTCAGGGCACCGGCTGGATTGGACACCGGGCTGCACCGGGCGGGACATGTCATCTCTCAGGTACCAAGGCTCAGGTACTTGGACGCCGATTCAATCAATGGAGCTGCAAGGCAGCCATTGCTGGCGACAGAGCGTGATTCACGCTGCCAATTGGCCAATTTCGCTCGTCGAGATCCTTTTGACCATCAGCACGAAGAGATCCAACTGGCTTTCCGACGGCATCACTAGATGGTGTTCCCAGACATGTCCGGTTCTTTGCTCATGGCCTCGTCTCGTCCAAGTCGAGGTTGACGACCTCGCTGGATATCGCAGGCACAGGACAGGCCCAGGGCACGACAGGCATGGCACCCAGGGTCAGAGTCAGTCCCTCGCACGGATACGAGGCCGCCACTGACTGCCATCGCGTCAACAAGCCCTCTCCAGGCCGCCTGGGCGGACATTGACAGGGACAAGCGCATACTACAGGCACACATAGCACTGGGCCAATATCAAACCTGCGCTCATCACAACTCAACATTCGAGCCTTGTTGGCCCCCCCTGCTTGGGGCTGCTGGCGCCGCAGCCGTAGCGCTCCTGTCCCGCTCTTCTAACCCATCACGTCGTCACACGACGCCGCGGAAACCTGCGATATCATGATCCACGGTAGTCTCGGATTCTTTGCAGCGCCAGACAGCTCGCCTGCACATGTATCGCATGCTCTAGGCTGGACCACTCGGCATTAGCAGTCGCCCTTTTCGCTTCTGTGCAGCTGCTGAGGAAGCTTGCTTGTCCGGCTCGGCACAAGGGCCAGTCAGTGGACGTCCCAAGCATTGGAGCAACGAGCTCTGCTGCTGCTACTTGCCCCTGACGCTTCCACTAAACCGCTATCGCCCAACCCTCATCAATACGAGCCCCAGATGCTAATGATATCGTGTCCACCAGTCAGGCCCGTTTCGCTGCGGTAGTCTGTCTGTACCTGATTGTACCAACTCGTGCAGCATCAACCATTGGATCGACCCCCTTCGCCAGCATCGTGAGCTATGTATAAATTCCTGAAAGGGCCCGTATGTATTTCCCCAACAGTCGCTTCACCCTTCCCTCGTGCTGACAGCCAAGCCGTTTGCTGTGCCACAATGTCTTCAAGGCGATCAACGACATCATCCCAGCAGAGACAAGAGTATGGGGTAACATGGATCAAGAGCTCAAGTCCCCTGGCACCGCCAATGCCGGGGGGTCAATTGCATGACCAAATCGAGTGGCTTACATGCCCATTTTACAACAGGCTGCGACCTGGTCCTCTTTACATTGATGTACCGGCTCTGCAACAGACACACTCACTGCATGTGCCTAGCACGGCTAAGGCAGTACGACCATACATGTACAGAACCGTCGGACTTATTCCATCAGGCATTCACAGAAGCAACGTGTTTGAATTCGGACTCCTTTATCTGCCATTCTAAGCATGTACGAAGCACCGCAAGGCTAAAGCGTTTAGTGCGCCCTTGATCTTGTTGCTGGGGCAGAACGAAGCCATGATTCCCACCGGAAACTAAGACAAGCTCCCACCCCATAATAACAGCTGTAACCTAGGTGCCATTGACGCTTTGTCATCTCATCTTCCAAGAGACATACATTACGAAAAGGGAGTCGAATAGGACAGAGCCACGTCACCAGTGACTTGATGTGAGTGACGAGGTCTTGGTGTTGGGGACGAGGAAGATCTCGTATGCCAACTGCAACTTGCAGTGCTCTTCCTCGGTGCTCTGTATGAGCTATGATATCACCCTATCGCCAAACCGTTTGACCGTCTGGAGTCAACAGCTAACCGAAGCATCCATGCCTCGCAAATGCATCCCAGTACTTACAATAGTAGTAGACGAGATGAGACGAAGCGTCAATCGTAGATCCCAGCCCTTCATTACCACCCTGGCCCAAAGGCTTCTTTAGCTCGAGAATCGGCAAGCTCGAAATACAAGGTACTAAGGTGCAGGTACCGGAACTGGTACACTGCCGGTACGGTATTCACCGGGAATACATTTCACCGTGACCGGCGCGTCATCAATCGACTTGCCTGACCAACCACGGCCGGTACGTACCTTGGCATTTCTTTCACGGGCAGACCCAAAGATAATAGACTACAAGGCTTAAATCTTGGAGAGATCAAAACAGTGATTTGGCAATCATTTATCGACCGACTGGCATTGGCCAGGCAATATTCTTTTTCTTATTTGTCAAGAGTCTCGCGCGACGAGCGATTGAAGCTCTTTACTCTTCATTCATCACGCTCCTTCCTTGTTATTATTCCTTCTGCGAGGTCGACATCCCCACGAGTCCACAGTCGCAGATGCCATCGCCATAGCGACTGCTTATATCACCACCCTCCTCGAGAACATGACCAATTCCTCCCCTCCGACGAGGAACCAACTGCTTTCGAGTCCCGAGAACGGCCTCCTTTCCCGGTTTCTCGTCGAAAGCCGGAACAATGAGCTGAGCCACCAGAGTGCTCTCGCCGCCGCTCAGGCAGAGCACAAGCGCGTTAGAGAAGCGGCCATCCGGGTATATGAACTCCACGAGCTTCGAGAAGAGCACCAGCGAATCATCGATTTGGAACGCAAGGAGCAGGAAAGACTGCGAGCAGAGGCTGCCTTGGTCGAAGAAGAGAGAAGGCTTCGAGAGCTCAAGGCCAAGACGGTGCCAAAACTCCCTCCCGAGCCAGTGCCAGAACCGCCCAAGAAGGTCGAGCCAGCTCCAGTTCAACAACCCGAGCCTGCAAAACAAGCAGAGCCTGCAAAGGCTCCAGAACCCAAACCGCAGAACCCTTTCGAAACAAAGCAACAGCCGACATCGAATGCAGTTGCCCCTCAGACAAATGGCTTCCTAGGAGGGCAGACTAAACCAGCCGCGGGCGGTCTCTTTGCACCTACCGCTCAGGCAGACAGCGCGCCAAAACTCGAGAACCGCGCGCCGACAGCGCAGGCTGCTCCAGCCATTCAGACGGCCATCGCCCGAAGCCCAGCGCCTCCTACTGCATCGGCCCAGAAGAACGCCCTCGCGGATCGATATCTTGAAATCCATAAGGAGTTGAAGAAGCTGCGACAGGTGCTGCAGGCTGAAGCAAAAGTCCCTGGGTCGCCCTTGAAGGGCAAGATGGGAACCTATCGAAGAGAAATCCGGGTGTCTATCGGACAGCTTACAGCTGGGAAAGGCGCCAACGCACAGCCCGTAAGGACATGACGAAACTTGATGAACATGACTGTTATACTGACACACATTGCAGATTGCCAAAATCACGATGGCGTTGAAAGAGGCACTCGACGGCAAAGTTCCCAGTGCTCCCATCGAAGTGAGCCGGTTTGTCGTGGGGCAAAGGCAGCCGGCTGAAGGCGCAGCACATAACGACGCCACGCTGCCTTCTCTCTTCATCTACCTTTTGAACATCTGTGCCAAGGGCATCATCAACCAGTTCATCAACGAGTGCAGTGCGAATCCCAAAGCCGCGGATCCAATCGGCGTCTTCACCGCCCATATATTCTCCCAGAAGGATTTCCTGTGGCGCGGTGAATCGCTGATTGACATCCTCATGGCCAAATTTCGAGTCGTCTGCCCGGTCTTGTTTGGGCTGAGAGGAAGTGACAGAACGGAAAGGGGCAGACTAGCCATAGGATGGAAAAAGGATGGCCCCGGATACGTCACTGAGCAGACTCACAACGACCGGATGACGGGTCTCGGCGCCGGTTTCGCATCGATTTCTCTTCGCGACTTCAGCAAGACATCCAAGGCGAATCCATATCCGCCAACCAACTACTGGAAGGCGTTGGCCGGCATCGTCAACTCATCCCCCAACGAGACTTCAAACACGCAATATGTAGTGCTGAGAGCCATGATTGAAGGTCACGAGCAGCGGTTCCTGAACTTTTACGGAAACGCAGCCATTGCCGCACTGCGCCTCGCCTTGCTCGAGTTTCCCAAGAAAGCACCGGCGAATGCAGCCGCAGCACATTCATTGGTGGCCATGGTAGAGCTGCTACGCAATGAAGGACTTGTTTTGACCTGAAAGGTTTCTTTTTATATCTTTTTTTCCTCTTTCTTTCCTTTTTTTTTTTTTTTTTTTTGCTCTGTTTGCCACTTCCATATAGCTTTTCGAGTGAGGGATAAAGACATGAAGGATACAATGTATTCGTCTTATACATTGAAGCAATGGCGTTTGGGAGGGGGGGGAATAATTGGCAACGTCGATTCATCTGATATATATACAGAGATATATGATGGACCCTTGGGGTCCTTTGGTTATGCTGCATTGAAGGCGCTATAGGACGATGGAAATGTGTGTTTCTAAGCTGTGGGCATCATAGATGAAAAGGACAAGCCCGGTTACTCTTGTTCTATCTGGCATTATTCTGCGCCGTAGATATCTGAATCATTGCTATAAAGGCATGTAGTAACCGCATCAACCGATGTATCGGCATAACCCATCTCGCCAAAAACTCCTGATCCCAATTCTTTCGCCCATTAGACCTCTTCCTTTTTTCAACTCTCCGTAGAGACTATTGCCCAGGCATCAAACATTAGAAGAAAAAAGCACAATAAACTCGCAAGAACAGGCGCCCACCCCCTCTGCATTACAGGATCAACAAAAGGACCAGCAATAGAATCAAAACGAAGATCAGAACCGCGATACAGCAGCTGCTCAGCCGGTCCTCGTTCTTGCGCATCACGTACTGCAGCTTCGCCATGCCGGTCTGCAGGCGATTCCCTACCCGGTCCGCCAAATCGTCCACCACCTCCAGCATCTCGTTCTGTTCTTCCAGCTCCCTGCCCATGTCGTCCGCCTGGCGGCGCAAGTTGCCCACCGTATGGAACACCCCATCGAGGTGTCTATCCTGCTCCTGCATCATCTCCACCTGCTGCTGCTGCTCAAACTCCGTATACGCATCCCCCCCGTCGCCGCCGCCGCCCTCCCCGATCGCAAACGAGCTCGGGTCCGGCAGGTCGCCATTCCCCCCGCCGCCGCCGCCCGCCGCCTTGCTGATGTTCTTGTTGAGCTCCTCGCGCATGTCCTGGATCTCGGCGCCGACTTCCTGGACGAGGCGCTTCCGGCGGGAGGCCTCATGGTCGGAGATGCCGAACTGGGAAGGGTTGGACTCGATGGCCTGGACGGAGGCGACGAGGTCGGCCAGGTCCTCGGCTAGGGAGGAGAGCGCGCTCTCGAGCTCGGTGCGGGCGGATGTGAGTTCGGGCGAGGTGGAGGACGAGGCGAGGGAGCGGATGCGGAGGTAGGACGCGAAGAGGGGCCGTATGGAGGAGATTTGGCTGAGGACATCTCTACATGGGAGTAAGGGGTGGGTTAGCAAAGGTAGATTCTATGTGGATTTGGGGAAGGCGGGCGTACTGTTGGACCTGGAGGAAGGGGTCCTCCTCGTTGGTTGAGGACATCATCCTGAAGCCGGTTCAGGACGCATGAGCTCGAGACTCGGTGCGCCAGACGGGGGATCGAATCGCGCGAGAAGTGCAGAACAGAACTGAGTGATAGAAAAAGACAAGATTCTTGAAAAGAAAGAATCGCAGGCTTGGTTCGCTTTCACCAAGTTCGCTTGACTGCTTGGAGTCGCGGAATTGAAGGATGACGTTGCATTGCCAATGTTGCGACAGCCAAACAAGGTGTGGCTAAGGTGAGCTAAGCTAGTGGCGGTACGTACCCTCGGTGAGCTACCGAGAGTTGTCACTTCGCCAATTGCATCAACCCGTCCAGGTCTTAAAAATCAACTTCGATTATCAGCGGCCCAGTAAGAACTCATGTCGAGCAGCATATGATGCTTTATATGGTCGATCTCGAAAGTCTTTGAAAAATAAGATTGCTTATGCTTTGAGATATTGCAGCATAGACCAGCTGTGCTTCAAAACTCCCCCCTCTGGAGTCAATATTTTTTTTTTTTTTTTCTTCCTTCTCTAAACGATTCTCTTTTTCTCTTACGCAGATTATCTCAAAGTCGACACTTCAAGCGCTTTAGGCACGTCAGATACAAGATACAAACCTCAAAAAAGGAGAAAGGGCACTCGAGGTTTCATCATACTATTTCTCTCATTTATTCAGGATCTCATCTAGTCATATGCAGGGTAAGAGCCCGGCATCTATTTGAAGGACCAGTCATGACACCCTCTCGTCCGCTGCCATGCAGCGAAGAGTTTTCCACGCCGGAGCAGTACATCGAGGCCCTCTTGGAATTCGCGCGGAACACGGACATATTCCAGATCCTTTGCGGAGGCGTCCACATCCTCGACTTCTTCACCTCTGATCCGGGCATATTCCACTCAGCACTGCCAGACGAATGGAAAGGGTTCCTATTGTCGTACGACATCATGAAGACGCTCGACCTCTTCCTGAGAGATGACCTGGATGCCCTGAGCTTCGAAGAGGGCCAAGAGCCGCCGCCGGAGAGCCTGATTGAGTACGCCAAAGCTCTGAGGAGGTTCTCTCTAAGGAGAGATTTCACACCACGGCAGCAGAAACTGCCGGTTTTACCAAGAACCGTCTCTGTAGGGATGAAGCCCAAGAAAATCCACGAGGTTGTCAATTTTGCAGACTACGTCGACGCTCTCTCCGAGGACATATATCGGCGGACGGGAAGCGAGATATCTCACTTTGTGGACTTTGGCAGCGGCCAGAATTATCTCGGCAGGGCCCTCGCCAGCGAGCCATATAACCGGCACGTTGTGGCCGTGGAGGGCAGGGATCACAATGTCACGGCCGCCAAGGTGTACGACCTGACGTCGAAGCTGGCGATCCGGCCCAAGATGAAGAGGAACAAGAAGATGTGGAACAAGGCCTTGGAGACGCTCAGCCCAGAGATGCAAAAGGACAAGGACGCCATACAGGCAGCTATCAAGCAGGTCGAGGGGACGGAAGACTTTGAGTTCCAGCCAATGAACATACAGGACGCCGAATACGTTGTGGAAGAAGGGAAAGGGGGTGTTCAATACATCTCGGGAAGACTGGACAGCGGAGACCTCTCCGAGGTCATAGAGAACATCGAACACGAGAAGCGCGAAGATGGATCTGAGAAGGACCTGAACCTGATGGCCGTATCTATCCATTCCTGCGGCAACCTGTCACACTATGGCATCCGGTCTCTCATCATGAATCCCGACATACGGGCTGTCGCGATTGTCGGCTGCTGCTACAACCTCTTGACGGAGAAACTGGGGCCTCCGACGTACAAGCAAGCCTACCTACGGCCTAGTTTGCAGGCTCTCAACGGCCGGATTGTGCGCGAGTCGGAGAGGCGAGATCCACAGGGCTTCCCCATGAGCCAGCGGTTCTCGACTTACGAAGGAGACGGCATCCGCCTCAACATCACGGCCCGCATGATGGCCTGCCAAGCACCACAGAACTGGACCCGGGCAGAAAGCGAGGGCTTCTTCACGAGACACTTCTTCCGGGCCGTTCTGCAGCGGATATTCCTCGACCGCGGCGTGGTCAGCCGCGTATGGCACGACGATTGCGCCAAAGACGGCCAAAACAACGAGGAGCAGCAGGCGAGCCCCTTCAACATGAGCACGAACCCCGTGGTCATCGGGTCTCTCCGCAAAGGCTGCTACGCATCGTTCAAGGCGTACGTGCGCGGCGCCGTGGAGAAGCTGACGACGAGCACCGAGTACAAGCAGTACGCGGACGTGATGAAGGACAAGATGGCGGACATTACGGACGCGGAGATTGAGGCGTACGAGGCCACGTACCAGCCGCGCAAGAAGGAGCTGTGCGTGATCTGGTCGCTGATGGCGCTGAGCGCGGCGGTGGTGGAGTCGCTCATTGTGGCGGACCGGTGGACGTTTCTGAAGGAGCACGGCGATGTTGTCAAGGATGCGTGGGTCGAGACGGTGTTTGACTATGGGGAGAGTCCGCGGAATCTGGTGGTGGTTGGCGTCAAGAGGGAAGATGCTTGAGGTCGAGGCGGGGAATTCAACAGCATAGAGCCCTTTCCAAACTGTTTGGTTCTCTCTCTCATCCTCTCGTCTCGATTTAGGCAGGTGATTGTGCTAACATGATGCCTGATCTCTGCTTGCATGAAAGTAGGGCAAATATTGATAGCTACCTCACTCCCACTTCTCCTTATAGGAATTCGAGGAGGCTTTTGAGATAGTGTATGGACAAGATGCTTCAACCAATGAGGGTGACCAAAACATGCGACAAAAGCGCCAGAATCACCTCATCTGGCTCACAATTACAGCGGTTATTGATTACCAATCTCTGGATGACTGCCTGGGCTCACAAATGGACGCAAAGTTGAAGTTCATGTGCTCCTCGACCCGTCGGTATTTGACACTGCCCACACCAAGCGGGCGAAGGACCCTGAGGGATTGGCCGCATCTGGATACAAAGTAGCCCGCCGTGGCGCACCCATTCACCACCGCCATGACACGGCAGAGGAACTCCAGAAGCGAAAGAATCAATCAAGAGGTAAAGGGGGAAAAAAAAAATCTACCGGTCAGCCTACCACGCAGGGCTGACATCAGCCCTGAAGAAATAAAAAGAAATGATCCAAGAGAAAGCCGCATGGATGGAAAAGCCTGCTTGGCTCCAACCCCCAAGGGGTGACGCTGGTGGCGCATCTCGTGGACCAGCCTGAAAACGGGCCATGTCGAATGACGAGGCGATATCCATGAGCCAGGCTGACGGCGCTGGAATGATCAAGTTGTGGCAGCAATAACATGGGAAGAATAGATGCTACTAGCAAGAAGTTCGTCTGAACTAGATCGTGGATCACCACACCACCTCGTCAGCCTTAACGCGGAAGGGCGAAACCAAGAGGCAGCAGCAGCAGGTAGGCAGGCTACGCCGTTGAAGACCGTTTTTGTCTCCCAGGCGATTAGTATGGATCGTGGACGCGCGGGCTGGGACAGCCGAGCCGAGGTCACGATGCCTCGTTGCTTGAGGCTAGAGCCGGCGTCTCGGTCCTTGTTCTCTCGTCTGGATCATTCGCGCGCGGAGGATGCTGCTGAGACCCGAACCGTGCCACCCATCACCCGCATCGACATCACATCACCATACTTCTTGTGGCTCCAATCAATCATCGTCATCAAGCCCCCTTGGAAGGCTGCTCTGCTCTGCTTGTCACCTGCGTCGGCCGGTTTTTTTGTTTGTTTGTCCTGATGTCATCCATGAGCGAGTTGACATGTCTTTTTCTCACATCTCACAACAGATACCCTGGCGTTGCCATGCACTTGAGCGCCTTTGATGCTGGTACCAGTTATTGGAAACTGCAGGCTCTCTGTTGTGTGCAATTTCGTCTCTGGAAGCGCTATTCACTTTTCTTTGTTGTCTCAGTCAGAACCTCCGCACCGGGTTGCTTACAAGACCCTTTCTCCCGCTGCGGGTTAGAGGGTATAAGAGGGAGAAGGACATTGATGTTACCTATCATAGGAAGAGGTAGACTAGATAGTAGACCGTTGATGCTAGCACCGGAAACAGAATGCAGTGCTTCAGTAGCATCACGACGAGTCCGATGCCAACGTAGCACCAGGCAGAGCTCGTCTCATGCACCTCTCCGTCTTCAACGAGTCGTCCTATCTAGTAGAACACCCCCAAGTACCTCAACAGCGGCGATTCTGCGTCCAGATACTTTTGCAAGTTCTACTCCGTACACCTACATATAGAACCTACGGAGACGACTCGAGTTGCTACAGGCAATAGTAGAACCCTTGCCCCTGCACCCCCGGGTTTTCCCAGCATCGCGGCCGGCCTTCAACGGCTCCCCGCTTCGCCTCCCTGCACGAATTTGCTCGAGTGGTTGGAGGGCGTTCCAGGGTCCTCCCTATTCTGGGTGGGGGGATCCTGGCCTGTTCCCTGCTTGCCGTGGCGTTTAAGCGCTGGATGATGATGTCTTTCTTTTTTTTTTTTCTTTCCTCCTGGGCAAAGCTCTTTGCTGTTTTCTATTGTAGCGAGTAGCGAGACTATAGACATGGCCGACAAAGTTCAAAGTGCTGGTGAACCCTTGGGCTGTGTATAAGTGGCAGGCCGAGGCACTTGGAGATGCACTCGAGCCCGTCAAGGTCGAGAATTGTCCTGCAGTTCTCTGTACATACGGCACAGCTTGTCCATAGCCTGGTCCTCCATCCAGGGCCTCTCGCACACCGTCTCTCCATTCGCCTTTTATCAATATCTACCTTATATAGACGCAGCAGCGCCCCCTCGGCTTCTCACTATCAGCTGCTACTACATTGAAGTCTCCATTTGCCGGTCTCCACTGTGGGTGAAGCGCCAGATTCCAGCGGTCGTTATCAGTCAATCAGTGTATCCAATTTCTACTTCTGGAGGACCTGCGCCAGCCGTGAACCGCCTTATCACTTATCAGCGCCCGTCTCCCCCGATTTACGGCGCTCCGACTGACTCCAGTCCCGTTCGTCTCGATCATACTTCCCTCTATCGCAACACCAAGACTTTTTTTTTCTCTTCTTCATCTTTGTCTCTTCATCTTCTTACCCTGCCTCAGTAATTCTTCTCTTGATACCCGCCCACCATCTCTCCCCTCTCCCCGCGCATCTTGTGCAACACCACCGCCACTTGCACGAGCAGGGAAACCCCCTGTTGTCTGCTCGTCCCAGGATTACGTCGGTTTGGCGTGCCGCCATATCGGGAACCGGAGAGCCAACGTCGATAACGGCAGTAATTGCGCCATCTCGACAATTGCAGCATCCACGAACGAGTCCCGACTGTTTTGCTCCCTTGATATAGTTCTCCCATATCGTCCCAGTCCATCTGCCATCTCAATTGTCTACCTATACTCATACTCTTTTCTCCTCCGCCGACGGAAAGGCGCGGTATCACCATGAATACCCAGGTCTCGTTCCTTGTAAGTGGGCACCACAGCCCAGTCACGCAGCCAGCTTTCCAAACGATCTCGTGTACTCCAATCTCACCCGTGACTGCAATTGACAATTCTTCCAATCGAATACTGACGAGCTCTCGCTTACCCAGGAAGGCACTTACACTCTCATCCACATCCCCCTCGACCTCTATCCGACCCTCCTCCAGCCCATCCTCCGCATCCTCCTCCCCCAGACCCAGAGCCTCAACTTCTCCCGCGACTCAACAGAGTACGAGCTCGAGGGCCTCACGACAGACTACCAGCATGGCTTCCTCAACATCAGCATCACCCCCATCGACTGCTCCGTCGTCTGCCACAGCTCCTGGGCCAAGAACGTCTTCGAGCCCGCCCTCAACGCGCTGCCAAAGAGCATCTCCAAAAACGTATCCGTCTTCAAGGACACCTACATGATCCTCTCCGTGACGAGCGCCGGGCTGGACCCCGGCGGCCGCGTCATGGAGCTCAGCTCGCCGCTCGCCTTTGCGGGCATCCCCATCTTCTTCATCACCACCTACTACTCCGACTTCATCCTCGTCCCCACCAAGGAGAAGCAAAAGGTCGTGCAGGCCCTGCTGGCAAAGGGCTTCGAGCTCTCGGAGAACCAGTCCAACTTCGTCAACCCGTCCATGTACGCGCCCAACAGCAGCTCAGCAGACGCCGGCGCCGACTGGGCGCAGAAACCGCCCGGCACCCCGCCCCCTTCCAACGACGACGAGCTCCAGTCGAGGACCTTTGACCTCCTGCTCAAGCGCAACGTAAAGGCCCGCATCGAGCCGGACCTCGAGCTCGTCCAGTGCTCCGGCCGCGAGACGTCCCCCCTCGCACACCCTTACGGCCACCGGCCGTCCCTCAGCCGCAAGAGCTCGGTCGACTACCGCCGCTCCTGGATCACCCACGTCGACACGAAGCTCTACACGTGCATCGTGTCGGCGCTCGTCTCGCAGCCCAGGTTCCTCTCCCTCACCCTCGCCCAAGATGACCCCCCGTCTCTCCTGCTTGACAAGACCCTGCTGCCCATCTTTGATGACTCCCTCGTCGGCGACACCGAAGGCGTCCTGATCCCCATCTTCCTCGACCTCGTCAACCTGCCCTTTGAGTCCACCGGCATCGTCTGTGGCGTCGCCGGTCGCCTCGTCAAGGGCACAGACACCGCCGAGAGTTCAGAGCTTTCCTATCTCTCCACTGCTCGCGCCGGCACCGTCATCTTGTCAAGGATCCAGTCGATCCGAGCAATGGATATTTTGACTCCGTTGCTCAACAAGACGCCATGAGACGATGGCGCAGAGATCACAAGCAACACGCATGCACTTTATACGCACATAATCACTTGATGTCTTTGTGTTTGTCCACCTGTTCTTTGAGGAGCCTCATCGTTCCCTCCCCCCATGGCGAAGCAACGATGCTGGGTTTGTCCCATCGGTCTTGTTGATTTTTACTAGACGTGTATCGATAATATCCATATGAGAGAATGACGGAAACGGAACTCAAAAAAAGGGAGAGTCGTTTGACCGAGTGTCAACGGCATGAATGGCTCAGGATGTCGGTTGGTCGGTCTGGTGTCTCTGGGCGTTGAGTCTGTACACAGCTGCGCATGTCGTTGTAAGATACCAACTTGCTTTAGACTCTTTTGGTCTAATGAGTGCTCTTGTTACCTCTATATTAATTTAAGAACATCTGCTTTCATTGCTGTACGTGCTGATGATTTCAAATTAAGTATCTTTATACAACCAATTCTATCTGTAGACCATGTTTTGTCTATTCCATATGGATATCATCTTCCCAAAGCAATCTCAGTCTCTTGTAACTCCATTGAACAATTGCCATTCCAAGTGTAACAAACTCCCGACCCATTGCAGCTCTATCCACGAGACATCTTCCCAAGGCCATCTCAAACAGGAGGAGGAACCCACGGAGCCTTCTGCGCATTGATGCGTTTTCTGCGCGGCTCAGCGACAAACTTCCAAAAGAGAAGGCCGCTTGCCAGAAGGAACCAGCTCACTCCCACGACAATCAGAGCAACCCCCCAACTGGGAAAGGGAGGCCCGTCCACCTTAACCTGGACATAGTTCCCCATGTCCGACGGCGGCGGCGGCGGCGGCTGCTCATGGTCGTCCTGCTCCTCATCCACCGGCTCGTCAAGGAACATGCCGGGGTCAAGCCTGTCGTAGGCAACGGACCGCGTCTTGTTCCGGCAAATGTCCCCGTTGGAGTTGTCCACCTTGTCCGAGAAGACAATGTCCGCGCACGAGTACCTATACCTGTAGTGGTTCGGAGAGTCGTAGTTGGACAGGTACTTGAGCTGCAGCGTGGCGTTGCGGCCGTGGGCTGCACCGGGGATTGGGGTGCCGAGGATGATGCAGGTTATGCCGGAGACGAGGTCGACGGGGCCGGCAGCGATGCTGTACTTCAGGCTCTCGAAGTCTTCTTGGAAGGCGGGATCTATGCCATTGTTAACACTTGAGATCAAAGGAAAAATTTAAGGGAAGGGAAAGTATGGAGGAGGAAGATGAGGGTGTTCAGGGACATACCCTGAGAGTATGAAATCGCCAGGTTGAGACCGACGTCTCGCTCGGCGAAGAAGGCAACACGAGCACTCTCTATCATATATCGGTCAGCATATAATAGTATGAATCTTGATAAAACACAAAAGACGTACTCGTGGGAAGCACGACTCTCTCCCCAGACCCAAGAGGACTTCCGCAAGGCGCAAGTCTCTCAGTGTAATAGTTGAATGGCCTCGGGGGAGGC